TACTCAAATAAAAACTTAGAGCATGTTTATTTTTATTTTCAAAAATAATTTTTTTAATAAAAAAATATTTAGAAAAAACTCTTTTTAAAAATAGAAATAACTATACTATTAATTATCATTTTTTGAAATCATCGTTGTAAAATCCAATTCAAATCACCATTTGAGTTTATTCCCTTTTTTTTCACATTCATATTATATATATATATATATGTATATTTTATTTTTATATTTTAACATTTTTTTATAATAAAAACTAAAATAATTGATTAATCTTAATTTCAAACACTAACGATTAAAATTTTAAATATAAAAATAAATTTAAATAATACTACACATCTTCGAGATTAAAGAACATATTTACTTAATAATTAAATATTTAATCACATGCTTGTCATTCTGTCTGAATAGTATATATATATATATATATATATATGTTGAATTACTCAACCTTATGGTTATTGATTTGTGCAAGATTTTACTCTTTGCTTTGAAAAGTGGCTTAAATTTAGCTTAACTATGACATTAAGCTACACTATTTGTGGTTTTAGTTATAATTAACTATATTTTTTTTGTCATATTGTTTAAAGTAAACTTTATCTGTAATACTCAATTTTAAAATTGATCCCACAATTATTTTCTTTTTTTTTAGGTTAATTGGTAAGTGGATAATTTTGTCTTCTAAAAAACTTAGTATACAATCGAATACCTTTTTTTTTTAACTTACCTTTGTCACATTTACCAAAATTTATAATTTTGTTCTTGGAAGGGATCTACTTAACTTGTTTTAAGAGTAAGTTTTGGTTCTTAACTTTTTTTAATTTTTAACAACCAATTTATTTTACTTTTATAGTTATTTATATGAAATTTTAGATAAATTAAACATTCATGGATATATAATCTTATAACACACATTTGCTTATATTTTTAAATAATATATTATATGTTAAGATAGTAAAATTTTATAGACTTAATTTACTTATTGAAAATTTTAAATAAATAATTAAATTAATATTATCTATAAAAAGTTAATAAACAGAATAAATTAACCAAAACTTACTAAAGTACATTATTTCCCTTTTATTTTTATTTATGTTTTACATGAAATTTAAAGCACATTTATAATATATGTAGTACTTACTAATTAGTTAAAGAAATTACCAAAACTATAATATCAAACATAATTACAGAGGTATCTCATCTAAATCTATATTTATATTTATATGTCAAATTAACTACACTTACTTATTACTTTATGTATTAAATTTTAAAATGTATAAAGTCATCTTTATATATGTAATTCTATTTACTTATTATTCTATGTATTAAAATTTAGAATATATAAAGTCACTCTTATGTGCACTCATTTATTACTCTATGCATTAAAATTCAAAATGTATAACTTATGAATTGAAATTATAATTTTTCATACTTATTTATCTTTGAATTGTATTTAAAGAATTTTTATTAGAATTGATGAATTGTATTTAAAGAATTAATTCAGAACTTATAAAGTCACTTATATTAACTGCATCTAATTATTACTTTTTGTATTAAAATTCAAAACGTAAAACTTACTGATTGAAATTATATTTTATTAATACTTATTATCTTTGAATTGTATTTAAAGAATTTTTATTAGATCTGATGAATTGTATTTAAAAAAATTATTAAAATTGATGGTTATATTACGTTACAAATGACAACGTAAATATATATACTATAAATTGCCTTAAATTACCATTTAGTAAAATTAACTACAATATTTTTTAAATTTTATGAATTAAAATTATATTTAATTCATATTTATTATGAAATACATTTAAGAATAATTTATTACAAGTTATAATTATATTATATACGTTGAATTAAAAAATTACATGTATAATATTATTACTTTATATTATATATTATTAAATTAAATTTTTCATAAATTTTTTTATATATTTAAACTATTTTATTAATTAGTTTAATTTAATTTATATTTTAATATTTACTTTAAATATTAAAATGTAATTTGAATAAAAAAATATATTTATAAAATTATTAGTTTATATTATATATTATTAAATTAAATTTCTAATAAAAAGATAAGTTTATATATTTAAATTATTTTAATAATTAATTTAATATAATATATAGTTTAATATATATCTTAAAATTACAATATTTGTAAACTTATCAGTTTATACTATATATTGTTAAATTATATTTCTAATGAAAAGACAAGTTTACATGTTTAAATGATTTTATTAATTAGTTTAATATAATATATAGTTCAATATATATTTCAAAAATTAAAATATATTTTGAATGTGAATTATTGTTTTATATTATATATTATATTATTAAAGTAAATTTTTAACTACTCATTTTTTAATTTTACTTAAATTTTAATTAAAAAATTTTAACTACTCATTTTTTTCATTTTTCTATTATTTTATTTTTTTAAAAAATAATTTAATAAAAATTGATATATCATAATTATGTATAACCTATTAATATAGACAATATTTTATTTATATTTTATATTATAATAATTATGATGATAAATTTCATTTTTTAAAATTAAAAATTAACAATAGTTATACTTAATGATTTTGTTGTAATATTTTTTTATAAAATGCTATAATGATGATGATAAATTAAATTTTTTCAATTAAAACTAATTAATTATAATAATTAAAATAAATTAAAAATTATTATAAGAATGAAAATGAATATGGTTTATCCGTTTTATTTCCATATTTAATAATTTTATATCATAATGAATGAATAAGCAAAGAAAGTATAATATTATAACTTTTAATTAAGTTTAAATTTTATATTTAATTTCTATATATATCATTTGTTTTAACATTTTATAAGTATGAACTTTAAATTTTTACAATTATTAAAAGATAGAAGTTAAAATTTAAAATGTTACAAAAATATTTTTACATTGACATATCAAATTATATTTATTTATTAAAATTTCATATTATAACTGTATGATTAATCAAAATTTTCACATTTAAATATAAATTCTAATTTTTTGAAAATTTTTATGATAGCATTTAATTACAAATGTAAAGAAGAGTATTTTATAATAGAAAATATAGTCATTTTGTGAACTTACAATTAGTTTTTAAATATAAATTAAAATACAGATATTATATATAAAAATATAAAATTAGTACAAATATTTTTTATTAATATAATTATTTATTTTTTTATATTCTTAAAATTATATATATATTTTTATTTTAAAAAAATTAAATCAAGTTTACTGAATATTAACCTCTTTTTATAGAACTAGGTAATATATAAGAAAAATAGACAAAAAATATATCTGAAAATAAAAATTAAATATCTAATTCATCATATTTACATTAAAATAGTTAGAATATATATATTTTTTAATGGCGATATAATATTATAATATATTTATATTAAAGTTATATCTATATATCTTTAAAATAATTAGAAACTTAATAATAATATACTTTTTTTACTTATTTTTAGTTCAATCTATATGATTCCTTTTTATATAATATTTTAAATTTATTTTTTAAATTTTATTTAAGTTAATATTTATTTTTTAGTAAAATTTTTAAAATATTATTTTATTATTAAATTAGTTTATAGATATATTTATTTTTATTAATTCTTAATTAAAACGATAAATAATAAATAAACTGTATTAATTATTTTCAAAAATTAAAAAATAATTATATAAAAAATTAATAAATTTATTATTTTAATTTTATGACCGAAATAACATAATTTTATTTTATTTAATTAGTTATTAAATAAAATTAATTTATTTATAATGTCAATTAATATTAATTCTATTAAGTTATAAAAAAATATAAAATAATTTAATTATTTAAAAAAATTGAATTCTATATTTTTTTTATCAAATTTTTTTTTAATATGAATATATATATTATATTATTATTAAATTTTATTTACAATATTTTTGTATGGTAATTTTATTTGTATATAAAAAATTTAATATATTTTTATTTTTCAATATTAACATATAGTTTTGTGTATATTAATATTCAAAATAAACTTTTAAATTTTCATATATTAGTTGAATAAATACTTTATTTTTATATATTAGTCTGATAAGTTATTTTTAAAAAATATGATATCATATTTTAATAATTATATTGTAAAATTTTATTAATAATTTAAAATTATAATTATAAATAGATAGTTTATCATATAAATTTAATTCAATAAATATAAATAAATATATAAATAAAAAATTAAATTTTATAACTTATATTAAAAAAGTTCATTATATTTAATAATTTATTGTTATAATTATTTATTTAAAATTTGATAATAATGAATAATTTATGATATTATAAAATAATATAAATTTTATTTTTATATTTTAAAAATAAAATATTTATATGCTATTTTGTTTTATGATAAAAAATAATGAATTATATATATTTTAAAATAAATTAATTTAATAAAAAAGTAAATTGTGTAATGCACGAACATATTTTTTAGTATATATATATATATAAAAATAGGCACTCGGAAGTCAAGTCTGAACCGCTTGGTAGAGAAATCATTTTATTTGAAATTATGAGCCCAGCCCAATCACAACAATATTTCAAAATGTTATTTCCATGAGTAGCATACTTAACTAAGAGTAGTCCAAGACCGTAAGACCAATAAATAAAAACACTTAACCAAAACCACCTGATAAACGTGGTAGTGGCAATGGTGGAATACTGAAGAAGTCAAGTCTGGCGCCAAGAGGTGGGAAATAATTTAATATTTAATAATAATTAAAAATTTAAAACCTGTGTTTTTACGTGAAGCTTACAAGGAAGGATCTAGAAGAAAATCCTAGACCCACCAAAGGTTCAGATCCAACGGTCCATGCTTTCTCACAGAAACTTGGTGAATAAAAATTCTAGACCCTTCTACGTGACCTAATAATATTTGAGGCTCGATCCTAGCCGTTCAATAAATCAACCCCTACTCCCTCTATATATACACACGCGAAAAGAAGCATTCCTCTGGCGTTGCGCTTGTTCTTTCGCATTCCGTTGAGATCTAGCGCAGCTTGAACACGGAAAACGCGGTGAAAACTTGGGTTCGGATTCTATCAGGGCACGTAAACGAAAATGTTTGGGAGGGCACCGAAGAAAAGCGACAACAGCAAGTACTATGAAATTCTTGGTGTTTCGAAGAACGCTTCTCAGGATGATCTGAAGAAGGCTTACAAGAAAGCCGCCATAAAAAATCACCCTGACAAAGGTGGTGATCCTGAGAAGGTAAACCTCGTATTACACGCTTTTGCTTTGGTTATGATTGATCATGTCTCCGATTCTGATTATTGATGTGTTTGTGTCGATGATTTGATCTAATAATTTTGGATTGCTATGTTGCCGATGAAATTGTGATTGATTAATTAATTTAGGATATGCTATTTAGTGTTGAGGTTTTTTGGTTAATTTAGGGGGGTTATGTGTTTTTTTATTGGTTTATGATGTGGTGGTGTTTGCTAATTCATGATGTTAAGAATTCGATTAGATGGTTGTACTGATGGATTGCAAAAGCAAGTGAAACGAGACCTGACGTGTGTGTGACTTGTTGTAGTTCAAAGAGCTGGCTCAAGCCTATGAGGTTCTGAGTGACCCCGAGAAGCGTGAGATCTACGATACTTACGGTGAAGATGCTCTGAAGGAAGGAATGGGAGGTGGCGGTGGTGGCCATGATCCTTTTGATATCTTCTCGTCGTTCTTCGGAGGTTCTCCATTTTCGACTGGTATGGGTTTTATTTCTTTATTTAAAGAAGGGAATGGTTGAAGCAATATTTGCGTAATTTGTGTTAAGGGGAGTTGCTGTATGATTGTATCTGTGAACAGGAGGTAGCAGTAGAGGACGGAGGCAGAGACGGGGAGAAGATGTGGTTCACCCCTTGAAGGTCTCTTTGGAGGATCTTTACCTTGGAACGTCTAAGAAGCTCTCTCTTTCACGAAATGTCCTATGCTCTAAATGCAATGGGTGTGTTATGCAGTTAAATATTTTTGGCATGTTTGTTGTTCCTGTTTGATAATAAGGTTTCTTACATTATGAGTTTGTGGTATAAAATTGATTACAGGAAAGGGTCTAAGTCTGGGGCTTCCATGAAGTGTGCGGGTTGCCAAGGTTCTGGTATGAAGGTCTCTATTAGGCACCTCGGTCCCTCTATGATTCAGCAAATGCAGCATGCTTGCAATGAATGTAAGGGTACTGGAGAGACAATCAGTGACAGAGACAGATGCCCACAGTGCAAGGGAGAGAAGGTTGTCCAAGAGAAGAAAGTACTTGAAGTTATTGTGGAGAAGGGGATGCAGAATGGACAGAAGATTACATTCCCTGGTGAAGCTGATGAAGCGGTATGTTCACGATAATCGTGTTACTGATATTGAGCTGGGTTCCTGAATTTAGACTGATTTTGAGCAATTGTGTTTTGCAGCCCGATACAGCTACTGGGGATGTTGTCTTTGTCCTACAACAAAAGGAACATCCTAAGTTCAGAAGAAAGGGTGAAGACCTTTTTGTAGAGCACACCCTGTCCCTCACTGAGGCTCTATGTGGCTTCCAATTTGTGCTCACTCACTTGGATGGACGACAACTCCTTATCAAAACGAACCCTGGGGAGGTTGTTAAGCCTGGTATGTAAATAATTCACATGTCGTTTGTCACTTTCTACGTTTTCCTCAGTGATTGAAACTTGGATTTTTTTGGCTGTGCTATTAAAATTTTCAATCGCTTGATTACAGATTCGTACAAGGCAATAAATGATGAGGGAATGCCAATGTACCAGAGGTCCTTCATGAAGGGGAAGCTTTACATTCGATTCACTGTGGAATTCCCCGATTCTCTGAGTGTGGATCAGGTGAAGGCCTTAGAGGGTGTTCTGCCTCCAAGGCCTTCATCACAGTTGACCGACATGGAGCTGGACGAGTGTGAGGAGACTACTCTTCATGATGTGAATATGGAGGAAGAGGCAAGGAGGAGGCAGCAGGCTCAGCAGGAGGCATATGAAGAGGATGAAGATATGCACGGTGGTGCTCAGAGAGTACAGTGCGCCCAGCAGTAGTGACGACTATTCTCGAGGAGCAGCAGTAGAACCAGCGGTGTGATGCTCTCGACTATGTTATTTTTTAGCCGTGTATGTGTATGCGGACTAAACATAATTAGTGTTTGATCAAAAGATTTTGACAAGCAAAGCAAACGGTGTAGCATTTACTGTCTAAGACTTATCTCATAAAGACATCCCAAATACTTCAATTTTTAAATTGTTGCGAGACTCTGCATTCTGCTGTCTCCTTCGCAAGGTGCCCCTTCAGTAGTTTTTACGAATTAACTACTGAAATAACTTTAAAATACAATCCTGTTATTCTTTAAAATATAATTAAAAAATTATGATTAGACCCTCGCTTCTTTCTAATCTTTTTCTCCTATATTTAAAGATTTCATTGTACCGTATATATACTTTGAAGAAAGCTATTTGACTCTCTTTTTTTATATTTTAATATTTTAGAGAATAGAAAGTTTTAAAATAAAAATGTTTTTTTCTATTATAATAGATGATTTTTTATAAAGATAAATAAAATATATATTACATTGCATATATATTTTACTTTTTATATAATAGAGATCTCCTAAAATTTGGTATTGGTATTGACACTGAACCCAGACATTCTATAAACCCGACATTTGCAATTCCTTCTACTTCTATGAAAATAAGAATAATAATAAAATGATAGTAAATAATTATTCTATTTTTGTATTTTTCTTCCATTAATTTTTATGTAATCTCTTAGCTTTGCCTTAACAAATAAAAAATTACAAATAATAAAATATTAATCATTATATTTTATTAATAAAAATTATATAATAATTTAAAAGTTAATTATAATTAAATTTTTTAATGTACATTAAAAATAAGTATTTTTAAATTTCTATTATATGAAAACTTTAAACGAATTGATTTAAGAGATTTACAAAATCTGTATTTTATTTTATTTTTTTAAAATAAAAGAAAATTTTATTTGATTATATTATAATAATTTCAGCACTTTTAATAAGAATATTTTAATAAAAATAATTTATTTTATTCTAATAATTATAAAATTATTATTTTTAAATTGTATTTTAAATTATATTTTAAAAAAATAATTTATTTTTTTTAACAAGAATATATTTAAATTATTATAACATTAAGTGATATTCGAAGAGTTGGCAAAATGAAAAGTATTTCAGTTCGAATTAAATTCGGTCACTAGATCGAATAACAAGCCAGATAGTGTGTTTTGCCATGTCTAGCAGATATATGAGATGAAAAGAGTATAATAACTTCTATTAAATTCAGTCTTTCTTTTTTCACCTATAAGTGAGCTGGCTCTTCCTGTGTCTGCTTTTTCTTCTCAAACTGCCGTGGGTGAAACGCTTGTCCAATGTCACCTCATGTTAGAAGTGCTGTTTATTAGCTTGGGCTTCCTCCGTTTGTTCATTCAATATATTGTATAAATCATTCTTTATATATTAACGTTTATATATTAATCTTTATTTTTCTAAATGTATTATTTCTTGTTACATAAATATATTAACACATTGAACCATAAAAAAATATTTCTATCTCTAACTTACTTTTTTTTTCATTCAAAATGGTATAAGAAAAACGATTTTGATTTTTTTTTTGTTCTGTAGGTGACTCAGGAGTTTTCAATTCAGTGTGTCAGAGCCAGGCAGCCAGCAGTGAATTTCACCCAACAAAAGAGGTGTTAAAAAGTGTCAAATAAGTGTGTTATTAGCACTTTTCACTTCCTTCAATTTCAAAAGAGCATGATCTATGGAAACTGACTCTTCAAGAGGCAAGAAACGTGGAACCATTCACACAAGGGAGTGTTAAATTTTCTCCCCCAAAACCCAAGGTTTTCAAACAAAAACAAATAATAGACCTAGTGATGGGGAATATCAATCTTCTTTTGGAGATACCGGAATAACTGAGGCATTGTAAATGAAGGCTTGTCCTTTGATTTGATACATAATTTTGCCACAGCTAGAAGACTTTTAAGCTCGGTACAGTCATAATGGTTTCCAAGATCCGGGTCTATCATCTTATCTATGGAATTGTAAAATCGAGATTCTTGGATCCATTCAATTAAATCAGAACCTTCCATCTCTGAAGACTGACCAGTGACCAGTTCCAATATGAGCACTCCAAGTTGGAATATAATCTTACAACTTTTCTGCTTCATGCAATCTGAAATTGACAAATGTAAAGTAACAAAAAGTAAGCACTAGCAAATTTCTTCTCATTGTAAGAGTAATTCACAAGGAGAGGTGACCTTCTGAATATGGCTTCATAATAGAATTATCCCCAGATGTAAGAAGACCAAAATCGGATAGCTGTAATTACAGAAGGGAGCTAATTCAATACGATTGCTAAATCAGTGCTTTATTTGCCTACGGCATGTCAATGTCAAATGAAATATATCATTAATCTCTGCAAAATTTAAGAGTTTACAGTGAGAAATATAGTTTTTTCCTTACTTTGGCGGTGAAGTTCTCATCTAACATAATATTGCTTGAACTGATAGAGACATGATATATTGGTGGCTCACTGAAGAGAAACAAATATTCCTGCTTCCAAAATCAACATATGGGCGAAAATCAGGTATCAGTGCTTCACAAATTTTGTAGTTTTTATAGCTTGTTCATATAAGTTTAAATTTTGTGGGTATCAAAACACTCAGAATTTCATGCTTTATTTTTATACAGCCAATGAAAATTATTATCGAAGATAACATGGAAGCATCATATCACAATTGTTTGATACTAAAATGCTAGCATCATATCCCGTAAAGTAAACAACTTGAAAACAAAGCCAAACTATATAAAAATATATCTTGCAACTAAATATGTAAAATTTTGATTTACAGTAAGCAAAGTAAATAATACTTGTTATTGGAATCACAATGCTGTTTAGCCAACATTTTTGTCTCCCTGTCCCACATGATATTTTCAGTAGCTAGGGAGAAAATCAACTTGTAAATTACACTAATCGCAAGTTGAATACACTCAGAAGCTAACTTCTACCCTCTTCATGGAATCGAGTGGCCTACTTTCCAATATGCACTTTGCCATATGTGCCAAGCCATTTTTCTTTCATAGGGGGTATAACATTACCAAATATCTAACTTAGCAGGGATTTTCCCATATCCACAATCAATTTAGAAAACCCAATGGGACATTTAAATTTCAGGTTCTTCATTTTGGACACACGCTTTAATTTGCAGAGCTTACCAGTGCTGCCACAACACCATTAGCTATTTGTAACCTCGTCCTCCAATTTAAGGGAGTCTTCAAAGGGTCTGCCAACACCCAATTAATGAGACAAAATTAAAATATGTCATTGAGAAGCTCCTATAATTTTTTTGGCTTTCAAAATTTACCATTGAGATGCTCCTTTAAGCTTCCATTTTCTACGTTGTCAAATATGAGTAGTCTGCAGACATAACCCAAAAGGAAAGAAGTTACAAAATTGCTACACCTATATATAGTTCTACACCCCAAGGATACCCCAGCTGCAATAGGGTCCATGTCCATTTCTTATACAGAAGAAATGACTTTGTATAAACTTCACTGCAGAAACGTATAAAAGAAGAAAATACCATGAACTGAAAAAACTAAAATGGATTTTTTTATATATAAATTAAAATCAATGTATGTATCTCAATATTGTCAAAAAATTTCTCATTTAACTTTTTCATAACAACCTACATACTAACAAAACATTCTTACTATAGAGAAGTCTGGAAAATCACATTTCCCAAATAAAAAGCTCCCATAAATTAGTTTCTTATAGAGCTTGAAAGGTAGAAAGGCCTGTATTACACTCTTGCAAGCCAATAATTCGAAAGTAACAAGACACTTGGTTCACATTCGGGTTTTTATGTTATCACTGTCAGGGTTAAGGATGCAAATTATCATACCCTTGAGAAACAAGGCTTTTTCCTATTGCGTACTATACACAATAATATATAGAGTAACCTTTTATTAAAAATCACATTATATTACATAATTCAATTAATCAATAACATTAAATACTATAAATTTTTTAAAAATATTATTTATTAATCACATTATTATTTATTATTTAGAAAAATCGATTAAAAAAAAAGAAAAAAAGAAAAAGTGAAACAGAGCATCCTGAACCAACCTCTTGTGATTGTGTCCCACAGAAAAGCCTTTGAGCGAGAGGAGGTGGCGATGACGCAAGCGCCCCAACAACTGCACTTGTCTGTAGAAATTCTCACTTCCTTCCTCAAAATCTCTCAATTCTTTCACCAAACAAACACCTTCACCATCCCCAAACTTAGCAGCATAGGCTAAAACTTCAGAATTGTTATAAACTATTCTATGGAAACCTTCCGTAGCCCTTCTAACATCCTTATACGAAATTCTCCTCACAAAGAACACCGCACCTAAACAATTCAACACATTCATTGACCTTCAACCATAAAACCATTACACTATACAATCCTAGAGAATTAACAGTGAATATACAGTGATTGAGAAAGTGTGTGTTGTGTTCAATATAATAATTGAGTAATTGGAGTTAGATTAATTGAAAGAAAGAAGAGTGGATTGGAAATTGCGATTACCAGAACGATTACCAGAACGAGATCGGTGGAGCCACGCGAGAAGGTGGCGCCGGAGCTTGTGGATCAAGGGATCCATGGAAGTGAGTTAACGATAACGGTGTTGAGTGGTGAGATAACACCGTCAAGTTCCATTCGCTTTGTATTTGTTTGGTAAACGTAGACAACTGCTTTTTTATGGAAAACGAATCTGCGGATTCCTATTACCTTTGGCCTCTGAGGAGAGAGAGAGTGAGACACATGCAGAATGGTGGAACAGATTCAACTGGGTCAACGTCACCTTGTCAGGTCCGTTAAAAAAACAAAATTAATAACGGGATCATAAACTGAAACTGCTTTCTGTTTTCTGTTTTCAATTCAGTTTGATACTGAAAAAACCTTAATTAATCCAAACATGCACTAAGCTATGAGTCTTCACAATTGAAAAATAATGTATTAATTTCAGCGTTAGTAAATTAATGGAAAAAAACAACGAATGTTATGACAACCCTTCATAATGAGATTTAAGTTCTTCACCCAAAAACATAATTCACATTTAATGGATAATAATACAATAGGTGCATTCCTTAGGAAAAAAATAAAATAAAATGGGTTGTTGCGAAGTTATTTGCGAGATTAATATCACTTACACTGTTTCTTTGTTGACATTTTCATTTAGTTTTACAAAATCAATTCGTACATGGCATGTGCAAAAGTGATTATGCTGTCTTGTTAGAAGAAGGAAAACTGGTACAACATACATGAGACATCTTAATTGTTTTCCCATCCATGACACTTTTAAACAATTTTTTTTTTCAACAGGAAACACGATTTCATTATATTATTTTTTAATTTTGCTATTTAGACCACTCAAAATTAATATTATATATAATTATCTTTTTTATCCATACATCTTAAAAATATATCTAATTACTAAAATAGTACCAAAAAAATTTCATTACCTTTTGTGTGTGCATTACATTTATATTTTTTAGTTTTTTTCTCTTTTAAAAGGAGCAACCCTACCTCCAAATATCAAATATGAAAAGGGAAAGTTTCACTGTGTATAGTAATACTTTTACTGGAATGAAACAAGATTGTTTCTCATGAAAATACATGTTATGTCATAAATAAAAACAAAGGAGGAACCAAAACTTAAGCTACATCATCTGATTCCAATGGTTTTCTATCCACGATTTCCCAATCACAATCATTGGATTCCTATCCACTTGTAAACTAACTTTTGCCTTTATCTCATCAATTATCATCTTTGACCTTTTATTTACAAGCTTCATCCATTTGCCACACAAGCTAATCACTTGTTGATAACTTGGTCCCGTGGTTCACAATTTTAAAAGAGTATCCATTAAATTTAACAAAAAACAGATAAGATTTTAAAGAGAGAATTCACGGTTGGTGTAGAATACGCGATTATCTGATTTGGAAGTAGGAAAAATTGTTACATTTGGTGTAAAGTAACAAAAAGTAAGCACTTGCAGATCTGCAGAAGATTTCAATCCATGAAAATACACTATTATGGGATTTAGAATAGCAAAAATTGGTACATTTGGTGTAGTTAATAAATTAAAATTGTAGAACAAAAAATTAGAACAATCAAAATTCATGTTTCTAATTTGATTAATTTGCTAATATCAAAATTTGATGTGTTTAATTGTCTTCTAGTGGTTCAAATTTGTTCATTATAGCAAATGCAACATTTTAATGTACTTCCACAGTACTTTCTAATAAAACATTTTGATTTAAATACTTTATCTCTTAAACATTTACTTGTCATCAATTGTTTTAATCAAATATTTATAATATTATCTGGCAAAAACATATTTATAATATAAAATAAGTTTATTACAGATTAAAAATATAATTTTGTATCAATAGCTGGTGAAAGATAATAGAAAGAAAATGTAAAAAAATAAATAAATTTTAGGACACTATTTTTAAAGATTACTGTACGTGATAAAATTTGGCATGTGAATATTTAACATTATATTTAAAATTTAAACTTATAACTATTAATTAAGTTAGAATCATTTTAAACTAATTATCTTTCTTTCATTAAAATAGGTGAAAAAACACATGTAATTACAAAAATTTCTCTCTTCAATTCAGAAGAAAAAAAAATGTAAAAATAAATAAATAATCTTTTTGTTCATATATAGTATTTTTTAAAATTTAATTTTTATAGGTAAAAAATTTATATATCAATTTTTATATAAAATTTATTTTTAATTTTATCTATATTATTATGGTACATCATAACGATGATAAAATAAATAATTATCCAATGCGACACTTTTAACTTTATAGTTCTTCTATAATATCCACTCTTGTAATTTAATTTTCATAGATAAAAAAAAGTGTATATAATTTTTTATACAAAAATTTATTTTAATTTTGTTTTTATCATTGTAGTGACATTTTCATACTATGTCAAGTAACATTTTTCTAAGAATATTTTAAATTATTCAAAAAAATATCATATTTTACTTCATATCTTTTCATTTATGGTATAAAATTTTATTATATAAGTTAACGTCTATTTACTTTAAACTCGTGTAAGAATCATTTCAAGCAAAATTTATGTCTTTATTTATTTTTAGGTGAATATTACCTTTAGTATTTTCATCTTAAATATTACTACTTCTCTAATCTATTATATTCTCGTAATAACTCTCATTTCTTCTTTTATTATTTTTATCTCAACGTTGTTTTTTAATATAAGTAATTTTTTATTGCAGAAATAAATAAAAATAGTAATGATGACTTGATGGGTAGTTCTGATTTTCTTACAAATATACCAATAATACAGAAAAAAAAATTAACTTTAGATATAACTCAAAATAGACATGGCCAATATTCGAGATATCGAGACAAGGATGATAAGATAAACGACAATTATGATGAAATATGATAAAACAAAAAATTAATAATATTAAAAATGAAAATGTTAGAAGTAATGTTTAAAGACGAATAATGATATGAACTTGAATATGAAAAATATGAAGCAAATATATGAAATTTATTTAAAGAATATAGAATACTTATTTGAAAATGATGAAAAAATTGTCTGTTGTCACTTATATGAAAATGTTACCATAATGATATGAATGAAATTGAAAATAAATTTTCTTATAAGAATTGATATACAATCTTTTTTAATTAAGAACTAACTTACAAAATATGTCTTGTATAAAACAATTTAAACTTATCACATTTGATAGATGTTTTTCACTTAAAAGAGAGAACTAAAGTTGGTGTAACGTAAGGATAAAAATAAAATTAAAAATAAATTTTTGTGTAAGATTAATATATAAATTTTTACATATAAAAATTAAATTACAACAAAAAAAGTTTTGTATAATAGCTCAAAATTTATTTATCAAAAAAAAAAAAAAATACAAAATACATTGGGGTACACTTTATTTTTCACCTTTCAACAATATTAACTATGAAGTTTCAGTTTCATTTGAAGCTCAACCTTTTTATGTTTTTATTCATTCTTTTTTTTTTCATTCCATGCTAAAGCTACTTAAATATTGCAATAGTTCCTCTCTTGATTTCTTTCTTTCTCTACTTTTAATTTTATTTATTTAAAAATCTATGACCATGCAATTCTGATATTTTAGTAGATCAATCCTTCCATAATAAAATTGTAAAAAAAAAAAAATTGCGGGAGAAAAAAGATTGAACTCAGTTTTATAAGTCTTTTACATAAATAAAAAGAAATAAATTATATAATACATATATTTTTTAAATTAAATATGTTTACATAAATATTTTAAATTGAGTGTAATAAAAATCAATTAAAATTGACTTTTATTCAAAAGAAAAGTCTATTCCAATTATTATCACTCTTTTAATCATGAAAAAAGTTTATTAAAATTGACTTTATTTTGCAGAAAAAGTCAACTATAATTAAATTTTATTTACATAAATAAGTGCATGAGAAATTAATTATCATTAACTAATGTAAATGAAAAAAGTTGATTATAATAAACTTTAATTAATGCATGATGTCTCTTAGTTTCTAACATCTCACCTCACTCTACCATCTTCCCATTGAGAACTATGTGGAAATCAATCATAAGCCCTTAATCAATAGGTGAAATGGTATGCGAAGACTTGTCATTTTTAAGTGCAACAAATTAGAATAGTTGTCCAACGCAATGGAAGTAAATTTTTGCTCCAATGTTAGCAATGATATTTAACATTATGTAGGTTAGCAAAATAAAAAATAAAAAAAATTCAGTTCTTAAAATTGATATTATCAATTGATTTAATATCTGACTGTGAATTTTATAATTGAATTACATATTTTTTTTTATTTGAACAAAATTGTATAAAATAAAATTTTTTATTAAAAAATGTAACATTTAGTATTAACAATGTCATTACATTAAATTTTATAATTTTTAATAAAATTTTATTATATATAATTTATTATATTATGCTATATTGAAAAAGTTTAAAAAATTGTTGATATATTATTACTGAAATAAGATGTATTTTTATTTTCATGTAAATTAAATCATAATGTTTATGGTCTATAACAAAATGGAATGTGTAATGTGAAAGAAACCAAGTTTAAAGTCTTGTTTGGCTGAGGAGTATAATAAAAAATAAAAATAAAATAAAAATAGAATAAAAAATTATATTTAATTACATTCTTAACCCCTACATTTTAACATACATGTGATTTAGTTAACTTAATTTTAGAGTGAATGACTATATTTAAATATTTAAAGAATTAAATAAATTAAATATAAACAATTAAAATTAGAGGAACTAAAATTATAGATATATTAAAATATTGGATTAAAAGTGTAATTAAAAAATAATAATAATTATTTGTATGAGTTAAAATTAGAGGGTGAAAATGAAAAAAAAAATCTCTACTTATTTGGATGAATAATAAAAAAATAAAAAAAATTATTTTTATAAAATTATAAAAATTAAAATTAATCTCTATTTTTTTATTATATAAATATTTGTAAAAGCTAAAAGATGAAATTAAAAAATATCTTACCGTAACTGTACAACCTTTTTTTTTTTAATTTCTTCTTCGTATTTCTTTCTACTTTGAGGTTTATTTGACCCAACTTTTTTTTTTCTTTCATCCAAACACAACATTTTTCACTCTTTTTTAACTGAAAGAAGTTTGATAAATTCAACCATGAAAGATAAAATTAGATACGTATGGTTGAGTTTTGAGTAGGATAAATCAAGAAAATCGCTTGCCGAGTAAACTAAGATGATGACACTGTTTTAGTTGATATCCATTGCCAACCGACACATGAAACATGATACAAGTTTATCATTTCACTCTCAGTTTATTTTTTGTTTTTATTTTCATTCATCATCATTTTCAGAATTAAAATTTCAACTGTGATGATAAGATGAGATAAGTCAATCAAATAAACTATTGTATCATAATATTCAAAAAATGCTAAAAAAATATATTATATTATTCTCAGTTTCTAACTATTAAATGAACCTTTCAGTCTTTGATATTAGAAAAAATATTATTTTAATTTCTAAAATCAATATCACTGATTTATTTAGCTATTAAAATTATGAAAATGTAAATTTAGTAACTTTGATCACTTCTAAAAGTGGTCTATGATTATATTAATCATAAATAATATACAACATTAATATTAAGAATAAAATTCTCTATAATTATAAAACTTATGGATTAAATTGCTTCATTTGGTAATGTTAGGAGATTAACTAACGTATGATATCGGTTTAAAAGATTAAATTAAATGATAATTATTAAAATTAAGTTTTTACAAATTATAAATTAATCTCAAAATTTGATTGATTGGGTTAGTCTTGAATATTAATTTGATGTTTTACTTTATAACTTACTAAATTCTTATACATTGATGTAATTAGTGCAATACATACTACAAAACATGTATATTACTTGGTAGTGAGTTATTTTAAACTTAATCTATGATATTTGAATTTAAATTCCAATAAATATAACTATATTAAATAATTTTAAAAAAGTTATCTTTTATGATAATCTCATCTGCTCAAACAGTAAGGATAAACATGCTTAGATAATTTTTAATTAGCATGACAATAAAAGTATTTTATCATGGTAATTAAGTGATTATAAAAATAACTAAATTATGTAATTAAAATTATATATTTTTTAATTTATTCTTCAACATAGTTAATAATGATTCTATGAATACTTAAAACTGAGATGTTTTATCACCATTCATATTGCTCTAACATAGTAACATAATTTATAATATTAAGTTTAAATCATAATAAATATAGTTATAAATTAATATATATATATATATATATATATATATATATATATATAAAGAAGAAAAATCTTTTTATACCAGTGTACATTCGTTAGATGTAAGTTAAATAAAAAATTTAGTTAGATATAAGTTAAATAAAAAGTTTAGATTTAGTGTAAGAATTTTTAGATAAATTCTGTTTTTTTTATATATATGTATATATATATATATAAACTAATTTTTGAGTTATATTAAATGTTTTTTAAATTATTACTCACATCACAATTACTGTATTTTATTTAAACATAATTAAAAAATATGCAATAAAATTAAATAAAAAGTCTTAAATTATTTTTTATTATATATTAAGAGATACGTTACAAAAATTATATTTTAAAATAATAATTATATTATTAAAAAATACATAATATACAGTATATTATATTATATTATATTATAATTTTTATTAAAAGATATAAAAGTTAATATAAATTTTTGATAAAATGCTAAAGGAATTTGATAAAAAAAGTTAATATAATTTAATACATTAATATTAATAAATGTTATAAGTTTTAATAAAAATAGATTATATTATATGTATATATAATTAAAAATTTACCCAGCCGAGACGAAATGCTTCCCCCGTCGGGATAGGGTTTTCAGTTCTTACTTCGAAGATTTGCAGTTCGCTCTCAATTCTGCGCGCTCTGCATTTTGGTCTATAAAGAATCGCAATTCAATCATTGTTCTATTTTGGGGCAACTCGCGACTGCATCGAATATATCGACAGCGTCTTAGGTGCGTTGTGTTGTTATTTAGTTATAGCTAGCTATCTGGTTGGTACCTTCAGTCACTGGATTTCTGCATCACTTCGCAATGGTGTTTTTCTTCTTAGCCAAAATTTGTATTTATAATCCTGCAAGTTGAGAATTTTTCCCTTTTGTTTAATCTCTGAAGTCTTCTCCATTAAATAGCTCAACCTCACTCTTTACATTTGATTTGTCTATCTCATTTGACACTAGAAATTCGCTTTTTACACATCTTTTAGTCCTTAGGGAATGTTATACTTGTATATGTATACCCTACAAACACTGGCATTGTGGGTTATGTTATGTGGGTAGGTAATTGGTTTTTGGTTTTGGTGATTAACAGGTCCAGTTTGGAATTGTCTAACTCTAACAATGAGACGGCAGGGGCAGTACGGCGACCCTTCTGCCAATACTTATGTTGCTGCTGAGATGCATCATGGGTCTGGTCAGAGGATGGAAACCAATTCTGGTAATTTTGAAGGTAGGCTAGAGGCGTTCACTCCAGAGAGAGAGAATCCATCATATCCGATTTCCAAGCCGGAGGGTCCGTGGAAATGGGAAATGGATGCAGTAAATATGTCAAATTCAATGGCATCTCGTTTGTTTAATGAAGGCAAGTGTTATTTGATTAATCCTCTGTATGCTTGCTTGTGTATGATGTTACAAGTTCATCGTGTGATGGATACGGCATCTATATAATTTTGTTGTAGTTAGATATCCTGCATACATTTTTCCCATGGTGATTCCATTTTTTAAAGTATTGAGTAGTGGGTGCGATCCTTATCTCTATCTTTTTGGATGTTAATAGAGTCAGTATTTTGGTCCTAAGCACGTGTTTTAATTCATGTTACTTTATGCAGACTTTGTCACTGAAAATGGAAAGTTCATAATGCTTTTTTTAATTAAAATAAATTTAGCATCTTTGGCGTAAACATACAATGAGGAACTTGTGTCAGATATATCTCTTGTACATTTTATGTTAGTACTAGAAGTAAAGTAATTCTAAATGTTCCTCTTGAAATAAATTCAAATAATGATGAAGAGAGAGAAGATGAGCGAAAGAATAAGGGGATGATAAGCAAACTGGGAAGAGAATATTACGTGTAGTTATGTTAGACTATTAAAAAGGCTAGACAATTTAATTCTATAACATTGTTGTTGTAATTATTCAGTTGCTCTTGTAAGTTTTAACCTAGTATGTTTTATTAATGTGTAGAACAAACATAAAAGTAAAATAATGGTAGTTTTTGTGATATTTTGGAACAAACACTGAAGATGAAGAACAATGTTCATGTTCTCTTTTATGCAGAGAGTTGGGCCTTTTCTACTAAAACGTTAAAAGGCTTAACTCTTGTAATTCAACCTTTTACCCATGCTACAGTCTGATATTTCCTTTTAAATTAGAAGTGAGGCAATATCCCATTGAACTGTTCAGTTAGATCTTTTTTAGAATGCATTCTTGATGGTATCAGGTGTGTTGTTTTGCTAGAAAAAATATTTTAAATGTTTCTCTTTTCAATTTACTGCTAATATGCATATCTGTAGTTGTATTTTCCTTATATATCTCACTATTACACATTCTTCATTTTCAATGAATAAAATACATATCATTTCCTCATGTATAGTATGAATTAAGCTCGTTGCTTAAAATTTAGTTTGATTATAGTAATATTCTTGTTCAAAAACACCATCACTTTTGGTGAAGTATCTGGTTTTTAAAGTATTGTAGCATAACACTCCATGTCTAAATGGCAAGATTCATGATTTATATTGTATCATAGAAATGATTTTTGACCACTAAAACTTAGGAGAATCATTGCATGTTCTAGTGTAGGTCAAGGGGGTGATGCTTCAAGGTCATATTTTCAGGGTCATAGGCCTGATCCTATGTTGGCTTTGCAGAACCAAAGCAGCAATGATGGCAGATCTCAAGCCCGGGAAGAAGATATGGATGTTGGATACGAGGGAAATCATTTGTCTCAAACTTTTGAAGGTCTTGAGCAGAAGTTTATGGACGAAATTATTGATCTAGCTAAAGAACTGAATGATGCTGAAGATTCAGAAAATGCCAGACACAGAGAGGTTGGTTAGATTTTCAGGCTCAATGTTCTTCCCTGATTTGCTGACAACCATTAGGTGCTAACAGTATGAGCTGATCTTCTAGACATTTGCAACCTTTATGTCTTTTCTCTTTCTTTTTCTCAATAGATGAATCCATGACTTAATCCTCTGACATCCTTGATGGATAATCCAGAACTATACTGGGAAAGGGGTTATCATAGTAACAATTTATTTGCAGTATTTTTAGAATGAAACACTTTTTAGGTATTTAGAAAGCTAATCAGCTGGGCTGTTGGATTAAACTGACTAGTCTGGCTTCAGCACACTGAAACAGGGATAAACTGACCCATACTAGGAATACTTTTTATGAAGTAGAATGATAGACCCATATTACAAGTGTATTCTAGGAGAAAGGGGAATAGTGGGATATATGAAAATGGGCCAATTAGGAAGGAAGTGCAGGCATGATGCCAATGGAGAAGGAAATTCTGGTTTTACACCAGAATATGAGGGATGTGATTAGGAAAGTAGTAAGGAGGAGATAATAATAAATTTATGGTTTTGAGGTCAAGAGATATGGAGAGGAAACTGGGGCATTTTTCTTATCAGAGTTTATTCTATCCTTTCTTTGTATTTTCTGTTTTTAGGCACTTTTCTCTTTGTTTGTACAGAGGTACCTCTGAAATCTAGGAGCTGGTTTCCATTTCCTCTATGATGAATTTTCATTCCCCAGCATAGATGGGTGTATGAAGGTGCTTTTTAAATTGAGTTGGTTTCTTCTGTCAGTAGATTCATCAAAGTCAATGCGCTGTGTGCTTGGCTGCTTGCTGCCGGCTGCCACATGCACCTTCCAACCTGGTTGTAGGTTGATTGTATTTGTATATTCAAAAACCAATCCCACACATCACAAAAGTCTGCTTACTATAAACAAGTATCTGTTGCCAAAATCTGAAACTGGATCTTGTATTTGGATTAACTTATTTTAGATAAGCAATTTTTTTTTTCTCCAGATCAACTTAAACATTTATCCTCTCATGAAAAAATTATGTTAATCTTTCTCTCCATGTCTATTCACGAATTTGATGGGGTCCCACCTAATTAATGTCTATGAAGAGAGAGATAGACACGAAGTTTTAACATAATTAGATCATGTAGAAGTCTCACATAAGAGGATCTATACCCCTTAAACTCGTTTACCCTGTTCCTTCAAACCTTTGCAGAGTTTAATGTATTTTGCATTTTCAGAAAATAAAAGCAATAAATGCTCGGTATGAAGAAAAATTGGCAGCACTTCGAGCTCAGCATGCCAGTCGCAGAGATGAATTTCTTCAAAGGGAATCACATGCAAGACAACACCAATACCAACAAACTATAAGGGATCCTCACCCTAGTAGTGGCATGATGCCCAGCCACAACCCTCATGGTTATGGCTCTGTTAATACCTCAGCTGCTGCCGTTGGAGATGTGCGGCGGGGTTATTCTGGCAACCAATTTGATCCTTACAGAGAGCAGGCTCGATTTCTTGGGGGCACAAGAGATCATGGATTTGAACCTAGGGGTGCATATCCAGGGGGGCGTGTTTATGATATTGGCTCGCGCTATTACAATTGAGTTGCCTATAATTTTAACTAGCAAATTGGGTTTCAACAGTGGCTTTGCGTTGGTGCTGTTTAAACTGCCTATATTGACATCTATACCTACCATCGTCCTTCTTTTTGTGCTCCCCTGTTTATGGATATTAAGGTTTTTGTGTAGTTCTATTATATAAATCAACATTTGGAGGCATAATTGGGATTTATAGAAATCTTTGATGTGGATGCTCACATCTGAAGTTCTTTTTAAGAGATGCACAGGGTTGAATTATGGGTTGTTCGGAAGGGGAAATGAAGAGAGGAGACAACAGAATTTTATTTTTAAATTAATAAATTATATACTGTTTAGGATGATTAAAAAATTTTATTACATGGAGTTATGTTAGTTTGTCATTTAATTATATGTTTTTTTTTTTTTATCTTAAAACATTATCAAATTAAAATTTGTTTATTTAAAATGAAAATTGTCTTTTTTCTTTCAAATTCTTTTCCCCAACAAATTAAAATGTTTTTTAAAATGAAAAAATAGTGTCCCAAATTTCAACCTAGAGGCGGGTTGGCTTTTGTTGAGCAAATAGTGGATCTGAGGAATCTTTACAGAATTATTCTTTGAAAGAAAAGGTGCACATGTTTGCATTGGTGGAGTGCATTTATTTGTAACTTTGTTGAATGTCTTTGCTGTGTAGTTATCGAAGGCAATAGCATTTAAAATTGCGAATCAATAGTATTATCGTATGTGATAAACAAATAATATTTTTGACTATTGTAATATTAAAATACTACGCGTTGTGTAGACTGCATCGTATTGGTCTAGAAGACGGAGTCCAAGAGAAAATACACTCTCAAAGTGCAAGATAAATAGGCATGGTAGGTTAGTATACGAACCTCAGTACCGGATACCCTATAGGGCATGTGATTGGGTTGACGTAGGTCACTTCGCTTCGCAATTTAAGATGAATAGTAGGTAAGTGCATGAGATTGGTTCATCACGTGAATAAGCGATCGAAACACCAACTTTACAGTAATAAAATAGTGCAAGATTATTATGTGGAGCAGCTACCATTAGGGTTTTCTTGAGGACCACAATCAGTATTATTATGTTTTTTGTGGGTCATTGGCTCATAGAAAAGGATATCTGAGAGTTGCTTTTTATTTTAGGCTGTCTAAAACAAGATTTATTAGGTTACATTTAACGATTTCATCCTTAGTGAAAATTCTGAAAATAACAGTATCCAGCATCAAATTTAGTTCCACTATGAATTAAGTTTATATGTATCAGGACTTTTATTCTCCGGATCAAAGTTCACAATTGAAAAAGAATAAACTGTGCTAAAGTTTTCACAAAATCAAGACCTTTTTCTAGCCTGCCTTTCTCCGAATATGATGCAACTGCACATCCATTCTCTCAATGTCTTGAAAAAGCATTTAATCCTGCCTTCAATATACTTGGTTTTCAAAGAAGGAATTTATTTTTTTATATTGCTAAAGGGACATTTAATCTTATATATTAAATGTTTTTAATTAGTGAATAAAAAATTGAAATGGAATTTTTTAATATGTTAAATGTTCCCTTATTTATTTCGATGGCTGTTAACTCCTTAGTTAATGCTAAGAATACCTATTCACAAAAATATATTTACAGCAACTGATAATAGATCTAAAAATAAATTTAATTTTTAGAATTAGAAAAAAATAACTCTATTATTTCATATAAAAGAATTAGTGTAAATTGAATCTTGAGTTTATGTTAAATTATAGGAAATTAAGCAACTGATAATAAATGTATTTATTTTAAGAATAATATTTGTTGAAAAAATAATTTTTATACTTTTATAACTTTAATATATTAAATTTGTATATTTTTAATAATTTTTGGAGTATTTAAACTTAACTCTAACGACTAAAAGTTAACAAAACCCTAAGTTTTATACCTAATAACACATTTATTATTTAAAATATAATGTAATAAATGCTTGTTGAAAAAAAATTATTTTATTGTAAGAAGTTAATGTGCATTTCTGATTTAAAATATAAATTGACATAAAAATTGAATGCAGAGAATTAATATTCCGAAGATTTTCAGGGAAAGAAAATAAAGGGGCAGTAAATAAATATACGAAACGTAGGATATATTTATTTTCCCTCCCCTCCCTGTAATTCATCCTCTCCTCTTCACACAAAAGCTCCACTCTGCAATTCCCTCGTTCTCTGCCTTTTCCGTCTCTTTCCCTTTCTCTCCGCCTTCAAAATAATCTCCAACTTTTCGAACCCAATCTTAAATCTCTCTCCGCAATGGACTCTGCCTCCGAAGATTGCTCCGATAACTCTCAACGACCGGACTCACAAAAGGACCAACGAGTCTATTTCGTTCCTCACAGGTCTCTTCCCTTTCAAGATTCAGCTCTTTCTCACTTCAATTTAATTCTCGCTTTTGTTTACTTTCCCTAAATCTGTAACTCCATTTCCACACTGTCTCTCCTAATAATTCAACGCAACGGGACCATCAATGCCTGTTAGGGTTGAAACGATCTGTATTTCATTTCCTGTGTGTTGGCTTTCTGGTTTTTGTGTTTTTCACGGCTTAATCGAACATGCTCGCGTGTTGGATTTTTGTGCTTTGTTTTGATTTGTATGTGATCCGGGCTTGTGTGCGTTGGTGGTGAGGAATTGGTTGTAATTGAATGCGTGGAGAGTATCGGTGTTTGATTTTGTGTTTTTTAGGTGGTGGAAGGATGCTCAGGATTCAATGCCTGCGGATTTGGATAGGAAAAAGGGAATTGCGTATGCCTCTTTTCCCGGTTCATCCTATGCTGGTCCTATGAAGATTATCAATACCATCTTCAACTCAGATCTTGTATTCAGCCTTCGGAGGGAGGACGATTCGCAGCACATTTGTGAAAATGGCGAAGTTGGTGTGTCTGGCCGCGACTTTGCTTTGGTATCGGGGGATATGTGGTTGCAGGCACTCAAGTGGTGAGTGGTGTACACAAAATCTCACCCCCTCCTCTTCTGTTATCTTTATATATCTAACTCAAGTGTGAGGAAAGATGACAATATAGCTTAAAATGTTTTATATTGAAGTTAGGATGTGCACCGATGCAACTTTTTTACTTCATGTTGTGGTTTGGATCCTATAGCTTTCTGCAATTTGGATAGCTGTGAAATTCTCCTGGCATTGCATATTTATGGTACAACTTTGTGCAGTGTATTTGTGCTTAATAGTTTTTAACAACTGTGTCATTCCAAAGAGTTAAATGGTTCCTCTGGTTCTTTTTGTGAGACACTTTATAGTTTTTATTAAGTATTTATTGCATGTTTTTCGTTAGCCCTTAATAAATGAAGTTGGTCGGAACTTAAAATTAAAATCAACATCAGTAAATTTTGATATTAGGGTTAGGTTCCATGATAGTAAACAAGGTTAAAGCTGTCATGTTATAATATTTTTAGAAAATCAAGAAAATCAATCAACTTTAACTACTTTTATTGGTTTGTGTATTTTAGTTGAAATTATCTTATAAGAAGGACTACAGGACTCTGCTAAACAAAGAATTTCAAGTCTTAGTTGTCATGTTATAATATTTTTAAAAAATCAAGAAAATCAATCAACTTTAATTACTTTTATTGGTTTGTGTATTTTAGTTGAAATTATCTTATAAAAAGGACTGCAGGAGTACCATGTCTGCTGAACAAAGAATTTTAAGTTTTAGACATAGTCATCATTGATTTTTCTATTTCTGTGGCAAATAAATTCTACCATTTTTTGTTCTTGAGTTTCTAGCATGATTTCATTAATTATTTTATCAAATTTGGGTTTTGACTTCTTTGGTGCAAGGTAGTCAGAATCTCTTGTTATGTTTACTAGCCAGTTCAATATTTCTTTGGTTGGCATGATGGGCTCACTGTTTTCTACTAGACATTAATGAAAGCACATATCTCTGGGAGTGTTTTGCATATTGTTGGGCCTTGTCCACAACTTTTGTGCACGTCTAAGCACACTTCTCATATTAGCGATTATATTTCTTTTATGAAGTTGCAACATCAAGTATACTTATTGCCACCTAATAAAGCTTACTTGTTAACCATATTTGTCCTGTTTAGCGATGGATTCTATAGATGAAAGTGCCAGTGGTGTTATTATGTTTTGCATTGATTTGTGAAATATTTTGGATATTTATTCTTCTATCTTAGCTGTTAATCTTTTATAACCATCAAGTATCTGAAGCTTGCTCTACAACCTTTGAATTGAAGTAGCACCCTTGACTGTTAATATCTAATTACATCTAAACAAGTGCCCCTGGATTGTACCATATGCTGTCTGTACTACATGCCTTGAACATAGAAACAACTAGCATATTAATGAATCATACATTTGATGCATTGATTCATAATTTTAGTTATATCTCCGCCTTTTGTCTTTGTTTTGTTGGTGTATTTATGCACATTTATAGAAATTCTAGTGATGAATGGTATGTTCCTTAATAAGCAGATTTTTTATGACTTGCAAGTTTAACTATTATTTTTTAATTTGGATTTGCAATAAAATTAGTTCAAGTTTCTTAATGCAACTGATGAAAGTGTTTTGATGTCTGCAATATTTAGTTTGTTTAATATGCATGATCACATGCTTTGATATTTCATTTAGGCATAGTGATTCAAAAAATGCAATGAAGGATGACAAAGGCTTTTCAGCTACCGACAGTGATATGGCAGAAGTATATCCTTTACAACTCAGGCTTTCTGTTCAGAAGGAGACAAATTTAGCGACATTTGGCATAAGAATAAGCAAAAAGGTCTCCCTCTCTCAGCTAGGTCTTTTTTCCCCTTCAATTTCTTTAAGCATTGTTCTTGTCCATGGGATTGCTATTTTTGAATTGACTAGGGTCATTTAATTGGTTAATATTGGTAGTTTTTTCATGGAATATTGAGAAGTTAGATACATAATTTTTATGTCTTCCATCATTTTTGTTTTATAATCATTTAAAGATTGACTTGAGATGGAAAATATTTCAGAACTGAACATTTGCTATCCATATTTTGTTCATGACTGGGTTCAGTGCATCATTTTGTTTGGATGGGTTTAAGACCTGCAGTTTTTTAAAGACAATGTTCAACATGATAGAAGTATATACTCAAATTCCAATCTGCTGTTTCACCAACTACAGTTTTTTTGTTGCACCTCTTTTACAGTACTACAAAAAAAATAAAAAAATCTAATACGCCGTTTCCATTTGTTCACTTTTCTTAGGACAATGCAGTTGAGCTCTTTAAAAGAGCCTGCAAAATGTTCAGTATGGATTCAGAGATGGTAATATTCTTTTTACAGCTGTAGTTATCATAAACACGTGCACACATACACACATATATATAGACACAGACAATTCTACTGTACTGTTGCAAAAATTGACATCTTTTTAACATATTATTGCACAGTTACGAATATGGGACTATTCGGGTCAGATAACCTTGTTTTTTATGAATGACAAAAATCAGGCCCCAGTAGACTGTCAAAGGCAGTCTGATCAGGAGGTATTTGCTATTATGTTTTGGTTTTTTTGTTTTGTTTTGTTTGTGCTTGTATGTCGTTGTCATTTATATTCGTAGGTCAGAATTTGATCTTGAACTATACCATTTTCCCAGTGTTGGGAATGAGAATCTGTTATGTGCCACTGCCATGACCCTTTGCCGACTTAGCATGCTTCTAACATTATGATTTTTGCATATTAATACTGTTTGATACTTTAATGTACACGAGTTCTCATGTGCATGACATGCTCCGTCTTTCTTGATAGCTTTGGAAAAACATTATGTTGACACAATTTGGGTCAATATCAGGTATTGCAATATGGACACATGATATTGGTATTGGTATATTTCCAATGTTATTCATTTAATCTGCCAGATAAACTGTTTAGTTTTCTGTCATGGTTGAGTTTTTTTACACGTGATCAGATATTAGTTTGGACTTCAGACAGTTATTTGTGAGTAATTCTCATTGTCAAATTTTTCTTGCTGAGAATTGAACCTTTACATTAGGTTTGTTAATGCAAGGCAACTTAAAGCATAATTTCTTGGAAGTTGAATGCTTCTTGGATTTTATGCGTCAAGGATAACTTTAATTTCTACTAAAATTTTCATTTGTTATCATTTAACTTGTCTTGAGTTTATGATAATGACTTCAGCTTTTGAAATATTGTCTACGATTGGATTCCCTTATGTGCTATATTGATGTTAACTGTGAATGATATACAGATTCTTCTGGAGTTGCAAGTCTATGGGTTGTCAGACTCAATTAGATGTAGGGATGGGAAAAAAGACGAGATGCCAACTTTTTCTGGCAGCTCTTCACTGAAGATGAATGGCACTGTTGACAGTGCAAGTTCTGATTGTATGCATACCAATTCTTTGACCTTCTCTTTAGGACCCAGTGAAGCTGGTTCCTTGGGATTAACTGGTTTACAAAACCTAGGAAATACTTGCTTCATGAACAGTGCCCTCCAGTGCTTGACACATACGCCAAAGCTTGTTGACTATTTTCTGGAAGATTATGGCAGAGAAATCAATCATGATAACCCATTGGGCATGAATGTATGTGATCATTTTATTCATTGCTCACAATTTAATAGCTTTATATCTTTAGATATTTTATGGTTGGGAACTTCAGTGCCTGTGATGTCTTACACTATTTCATATATGCTTCTTTGCCAGGGTGAGATAGCTTTGGCATTTGGAGATTTGCTTAGGAAGTTATGGGCTCCTGGAGCAAGTCCTGTGGCACCAAGATTGTTCAAATCAAAACTTGCCCGATTTGCACCTCAGTTCAGTGGGTTTAATCAGCATGATTCCCAAGTTAGTGCGTCTGGCCCTTTCATTCTGTGTTTACTTGGGATTTTAGCTTTACAAGGTTCTTGTCTCATGTACTTTAACATTGTCACTGTATTTATGTATCTTTCTTGATAGGAACTTCTTGCTTTTTTGTTGGATGGTCTTCATGAAGATCTGAATCGTGTTAAATGTAAGCCTTATATTGAAGCCAAGGATGGAGACTGTCGACCAGATGAAGAGGTTGCTGATGAATATTGGCATAATCATTTGGCTCGCAATGATTCTGTCATTGTTGATGTGTGCCAAGTACGTACTCATCTCATTGCATACAATTGTAGAATTAATTACTTAAGCACACATAATATGAAGAACCACTTTTTCATGGTGGTTATTAAGTAGTTATTTTAAGCACACATGCATGATTTACGCAAACATTAATAAGTCTAGTAAAAGCAATCAGTTAAAGAGTACTGTGTTAATGATTCAGTTATTAAATAAGTAACAGGATCTTATGTCTGTCATGCCAAATTAACAAGTTCAAGAAATTACAGATGGATTAATGTCTATAATCTTGCAAAGAGAATTTAATGAATTATGGCATAGCATTATTAGAGCAGAAAATATATAGTCATCTGATTTCTAAATACATTATTTGAAGTTTCTTATGAATTGTGTTAAGTATCATATTTATATAATTAAAGTGCTTTGGAAAAATTTCATTAGCTTCTTTGTTGTTTGTGGGGACATTTCTATTGAGGGTAATAGTTTCTCGTGAGAGGTGAGAAATGTGAATAATGACCATTGGACCTTCCTTAATTAGTCAAGAATATTAAAGTATCAAGTCATGTTAAGTTTAAATCTTGACTATTTATGGAATCCAAAACAAATTATATTTCATGATTGCAGTTAATTGTGAAAAGAGTTAGAATAATGAGGAAATCTGCTAGATTGAGTGATCCTTTCCGACCTCTAAGAGATTGATATCTTCTTTTTTTGGCTAATTCATTTGAGATGAATTTTGCTGTCATTTTCATGCTCTTGAGCTCTACTTTATTACTCACTGTTCCTATGGTAACTCTCTTTACCTTATGGATCACATTGATCATTTTATGCAGGGTCAATATAAATCAACATTAGTTTGTCCTGTTTGTAGGAAGGTCTCTGTGACATTTGATCCATTCATGTATTTATCATTGCCTCTACCATCAACAACAATGAGGACAATGACTTTAACTGTTGCTAGTAGCAGTGGAGGAATGTCTCAATTATCACCATACACCATATCTGTTCCAAAAAATGGAAGATTTGAAGATCTGACCCGTGCTCTTAGCATTGCATGTTCTTTGGGGGCTGATGAGACCTTATTAGTAGCTGAGGTTTATATTTTTTTTATTATTTGTTTTAACTCAATTTTTAAGTCAGTTCCCCTCCACTTTGGGTTGCTTTGTTGATACATTTTAATCCTGTTGAAAACCATATGTCTGAAGCTAGGGCTCTGGTACAGGTATACAACAACTGCATCATACGCTTTCTTGAAGATCCAACTGATTCATTATCCTTAATCAGAGATGCAGACAAACTAGTTGCTTACCGATCTATGAAAGATAATGAGGATGCCCCATTGGTCGTCTTCATAAATCAGAGGATGGAGGAGTAAGTCAATATGTTTCTGATAATAAGATTTTCTTTGGTAAAGAACTTTTCATTGTTATATTTTTCTTTTTTGTTTTGTTGATTGCATGAACTAGTATCTATTGAAATCTCACACATTTTGACTAATATAGCGTATCATGCACATTTTGTAAAATTTTGACCATCTCACCTGATTGGAAAAACTGAATACAGGCATAACTACAATGCACAAAATGGCCACCAAAAAATAAACCATGCACTTGCACTATTTTATTTGATCGAGATACAATTTTTTGGCTGAGTTGTTAGCCTTGTATCTTTTCATTACATTTTAGATTTATGCAAACACTTACCTTGTTATTCTTATCTACAAAGGAACCTTGCTATCAATGCTATGAAGTTGCTAGCAAAAGTTAATCTGTTGAACCCAATAAATATGAATTAATGTTTCCCTGCAAGAATACTTGTATAGGGAAGGGAAAACTCTAATTCCATTTTCATCAAGCCTCTTGTTTCTTGACTAAGGTTTAATTAGCAATTAAACATTTGACATAATAACTTTGGATGAGTTTATTAAATAGAATTTTGAAACAGGTATTTAATTCCATATAGATGGTGAAATGTAAATGAATTAATTATATAAAAATGCTTGAATTTTTAGGAAAACCTTATTTCATTTAAGTTAGAATATTTTAACATAATTTTAATCAATTCAAACTTGAATCATTTATTTAAAGCTTTGGAATCTCTAACCAACCATCCTCTCTATATTGTTTTATTTTGTTAATCTCTGTTTAAAATTGCACATTGCAGTGACAATTCATTGGAATTCAATAGTTTTTTACTTTGTTCAACATTTCAATTTTCCCCCCCCTTGTATTCATGTTTTAAATTAAGTTGATTGAATATGCCATGTCCAAATTATGATGCCTATAGGTGTCTTTCGTAGGCTGAATGATTTCATGAAACTTTTTCCTTGTCTTATATTCACTAGTCACTACAGTATGTTGCTAGGATTCAGCGGGGATTTGATACTTACCTCACAGACTTCATAAAAAAATGGATGGGTATACATGTACACATACACGTGCATGCTTTACATGGGCTTCTATATTGTCACTTGTAATTTCATTGCCTTGTAATGTTAGTATTTGATATAATTTTGTCAGGCAGGACGTCCATGGGAAGCTGACTCCAAATTTGAAGGCCTTTGGAATTCCTGTTGTGGCTAGGCTTTGTAATGACATAAATGGATCTGATCTCCGCAATTTGTATCTAAAGTGGTTCCATCCAATCCAAAAATCAATTGATGAGACCTTAGAAAATTGTGTTATGTCTAAGAAAACTGAAGAAGTTGCAGAAATGGAAGAGGTCACAACTCCTAATTTAGATCCAAATGCAAATGGGTTAGATACTCCTTCTGATGGAGGAATGGATTTCTACTTAACAGATGAAATGGGAAAGAATTCCAAGATATCAATGAGTGAGCCGCTAGCAATAAATGGAGAGTCAAGGCTCCTGCGTGTGCTTGTATGTTGGTCAGAACAACAGATTAAGAAATATGACACCCAACTTTCTATTTCATTGCCTGAGGTTTTCAAGTCTGGTTTTTTAGCAAAGAGACCTCCAGAATCAGTTTCTCTATACAAGTGCCTCGAAGCATTCATACAAGAAGAACCTCTCGGACCAGAAGACATGTGGTTAGTTAATCATTTTTTTATAGCATTAGGAAAAATACTTTGATTGGCATACATATCACTTTGTTCTATCTGGAAGATATTTTAAACTACTGCAATAGTATATATTTAATCTTTATCAAACAGTTTAGTTTGGGACTCACATTATGCAGCATTTTTATTCAGCTCATAACTGCTATGAAGCCAGTATTGCCATCATTATTGCCATAAATTATCTTGTTTGCAGGTTACAGTTGGATACTTAGTACCATCAAAGTTCAAACCCTTAATAGTGTCTTATTAAAGACTGATCAGGGCAGCTGCTTGTTTTGTGATAACTTGGATTTCTGTAATTCTATTTACACTTTTGTTTGTAGATAACTTAAATTTACAAGTCAGTCTTTTCTCCATGTTTCTTTCTTTCTGGTATATGTTGGAGGAGCTTTCAGTTTTCCTAATTTTAATCTTAAAAAATGCTTGCAAAATATTTTTTTCTAATTTTTTTTCTATCAGAACATACTGCTGTGTCAATGTTTCATATAGCTATTCTGATCTTTTGTTTTATGCTCCATCAATGAGGGTCATACACTTGGAACACACATTACTTATCTTACTATTGTCTAAGGTGCAGCTTTCTGTGATGTTAGGTACTGTCCTGGCTGTAAAAAACATCGTCAAGCTAGTAAGAAGTTAGATCTTTGGAGACTTCCTGAAATTTTGGTCATTCATCTTAAGAGGTTTCAATATAGTCGTTACATGAAAAACAAACTGGAGACGTATGTTGACTTCCCTGTGGATAATCTTGATTTGTCAGCTTATATTACCCATGGGAATGGGAATTCCTACCATTACACACTTTATGCTGTTAGTAACCATTATGGGAGCATGGGAGGCGGTCATTATACTGCATTTGTCCATGTAAGTGCTGTTCATTTTTTTAATACATTTCTTTCTTTGATTTTAAGTAATATATTTGGGAAATGAGAAATGATTTTGAAACATTAGAAATGCTCTGAGAACATTATAGAACATACTGAAGCCCATAAAATATTAGGAATGGTTTTAGAACTCTACTATTCTTATCATTATTGCTTTGAGGATTGACTTCTAGGCCTTTATCCATTGGCTTACTTGGTGAGATGGTGAAATGTTGATTGTAATCATTGTGATCATTATGAAATTGTGGAAGGTTTTTATTACTTATAAATGCTAAAAAATGTTCTTTTTGCAAGTGCTAATATTCATCCTTTGTTTCTGCTCTTTCACATTTCATGTAGCATGGCGGTGATCAGTGGTATGAATTTGATGATAGCCGTGTTTATCCCATCAGCAAGGAGAAGATAAAGTCTTCAGCTGCCTATGTTCTATTCTACAGAAGAATTTTTGAAGTGTTAACATAATGACACAGAGTAGCATATAGTTCAAACAGCCTATTAAAGCTAGAGACCATTTATTAACATTATTGCCGCTGGAGTCTTACAAGTATACAGAGGGTAAACCTTGGCTCAAGGGTAAGGTTATTGCATTGTGACCTGGTGGTCAGAGGATCTAGTTGCGGAAATAGTCTGCTCATGAAATTAAGATTCTGTACATCTGAGCCTCTTCAGACCTCACAATGGGAGGTACATCGAGCATTGGGCTGCCCCTTTTCTATTTAGTCTTACTAGTATAGTTGACAAGGCAGCATTCTTTTTTCACGTTTACTCTTTAGAAGTTTTAGACTAATTGGCGTTTTGGTAGGGAAGAAATGGAAACTTCAACTTCAGAGGCAAGTACTGAGGAAGACTAACATAATTACAACTAAAGAGACAAGGGATATAACGGAGAGATGAAAGCATATTGTTTACAGCTGTTTAACCTTGTAAAGAGAATCTTTGTTCTAAAGAGAGTTGGACTGAAACCTGTGAATTAATTTTACTTCAATTATAATTTTTTTGTCCCTATTTTGTTCTTTTAGTCAAGACTGAACGGAGATTTTGAATTCATTGATGGATTGTTAGAACTTCTGTATTTTAGTCAGGATGGTCTCAGCATATTGATTTTCTGTTTCCTTTTATGGTGATCAAAATGTGGCGTGTCAGAAATTCACGTTTGTAAGTTGCAGTCTTGGAAAAGAAAAATTGTTTAAACCGGCTTCGGTATTTTCTTGCAATAGTTCGACGTTCTTGATATATCATTACACTTGGATAATATAAGCATGAAGAATACTTCTTCCCCGAGTACAGAAAACTTGTCCTTGAAAAAAAGTTGTACTGCATTCAACTATTTTCCGTAGTAATTTGACTGGAGAGGAATATAAACTAAGATTTGTCACTTTACATTTGTCTCGTCAAATATTAGGGAAAATTTAAAGGGAAGGAAAAGTGGTTTTTAATTTGGGTGTAGTGACACATGAAGTTTTATTTTACCTCGTTATTTGCTCCATTAATACTTATGAATATAGAGTGTATTTTTTTTTTCCTTCATTTTCTTTCTATTAAAATTTCTCATCTTTGTCGATGCAAACATAATGAGACTCAACTAGTGGTGGTCTCTGAATCAATTTTTTTTTACCATTCTAGGCGTAATGAACATAGGAAAAAACAATAAAATTGGTAGAAACTAAGTTGGAAAATTGGATACTGATATTCGGCACTGCCTTAAAGTTATATGTGGCCAATAAAATAGCGTTTTCATTGAAAACGTAAGGAGGACACGGATAACCGATGGACGTGAACTACACACTTCACCGTTTTTACTGCAGCTTTGGTTTTGAGTAGTCCCGTAATGTCTTACACGTTAGTTCCGAGCAAGATGGACCGCGTTTTCTTTGTTTCCAATTTAGTGTAAGATGTGCTAAGGCACTACTTTGATTATAACAGTACCATAGTACTTGAGGCAGCCTTAAGCGTAACCAGGACCACTGACTTTTCAAATTCTGCTCATTGATCAACATTCTGTAGCTCTTAGTTGTAAAATATGCTTCCCTTTAGCAGGAGCCTCGTTTCCCACACAAGTACTGTCTTATTTTTAGACCACCCCGGGTAACACACACAAACTAGTCATACTGGTGTGCTCTTTACTGGTTTCAGTTATCTTATTCCCCAGAAAAGAGAGAGAAATAGAGAGGTAAAGTATAAAAACATAAGGGACATTAAGTTATAAAATATATCTGTGATCTCTCCCTTTACCGTTTATTGTAGGTACTTTTAGTACTACTTTTTAATTAAAATTAAAAATTTACTTCGATAAAAGATGAGCATTTAATATTATCATAAATTATCAAAATAATTTTTTAATTTTAATTAAAAATAATGTTAAAAATACTTTAAGAATTGTATTAAATTTTGTCTTTATTTAGGATAGAAAAAAGAGCAGCCCAACTGGTGATGGGATCCTTTAGTAAGCATTTATATCTCGAAGTTATTAGCAATTTGTTTAATAAACTAAAACAAATTGAATGTTTCCCATAACTAAAATGTTTTTGGAAAGAGTTCACCATCAACATGTTTACAAAAAAACCTAATAAATGTGTCCATTGGCATGCAAACTTTATGCGGATTTCCTAAAAAGAATTGCATGATTTGTACTCAGATTAAATTTTTGGTTCTTTTATTTTTTAAAGTACTAGTTTTTTTCCTTAAATTTTAGAAACCACATTGATATGCTCAATATATATTATTTGTCACTATGCTTGGTATGAGTTTTTAATAAAGCTTTTCATGATTCTTTTTCTTTTTGGGTAAAAAAATAATTTCATAATTCTATGTTTCTACAAAAATATGCATCTATGCCACTACAGTAAATCAGGACTATTTTTCTTTCACTCTCATTACAATTACAATCATCTTGTGCATATAAAAAGGAGAATGATGCATTTTTTTTTATCATTATGTGGGAGCAACCTAATCGACCGAGAACTTTTATTGCATCAATATAGACATCATACAATTTGTTTTAGGTATGTCTTATCTTTAAAAGACTTCTGTTGTTGTGGTATTAGAAACTGATAATTAGATGTAGACACACCTTTAATATTGGATACTTGAAATCAGTGATAGACATGCATTATTGAAAGAGTTATCCCATAAGTGATATTATAGCTTATTAAAACTTCCTTTGTGTCATAATTTTTGTATCTATTATCAATATATAAGATCCCATATGTTAGAATAGGGGTGAGAGACTATAAAGTAATTTTCATTGAGAGAAAGACTTTTTAAAAACGTACGTGAGCGAATTTTTATTGACTCTCAAACATTGTATATTCTCATTTAGTTATAGTATAGATTGAATCACTATTTATGAACATACTCTAAATTGGATGAATTACGAACTTTTTTTTTTATCAATATTTTATTTTCTTTTATATTTCATCTTTGTGTTTCATATTTATTCTTCTCTGTTTTTTATTTTTATGTTCTACCTTCAACAAATATCTCGAGTTTTGAAATCGAAAATACCCTCAAATATTTATTAGATTAACTAAATATGCATGTTTTAGAAAAGTGTCCAAAAAAAGTTATACCAACCCCTATAACGAAAAAGACAAAATAAAACATATATGAAATTATAAAGAAATATAATATAATGCCCAAAAATTTCAAAATACAAAAATGGTTTAGAAAATACATAATTTCACATACGTGAGTTGATTAATAATATATATGTAAATATCAAGAAAGCTTTGAGAGGTAGGGTAATGGAAGGAAAAGAGAGTAGCAGGGTTGTTTGGTCCGTAAAGGAATCTCTCGTTGTTTGGGGCCCATAACGAATGGTCCTACTGGCAAATTGGCAACGGCGTAAGTGAAATGACAGTCAGAAACATTCATTTATTGTTTTCTGCAACCAAAGATAAAGTCAAGTCACCCATCTATCTAGCCATCTTTCTTTCAGACAAGATCCATACCACACACACACACACACACACACACCCCCACACACACCCACATGCATCCAATTAACTCACCTACTTATTGATTTGACGTTTCAGATTCTGCCCTTTTATCCTTATCCCCCCAGACAACCTCTCTTCTTCAACCTCTCCCCATTACCATTCTCACTTTCTTATACAATAAAATTCTCATGCTTATCCATAATCTTTATTTTATTTCTTGTTTACATTCATATTTAGCTTCCCTATCTATGGGTGCAAATAGAATGATAGTTATCTTTCACATTCTCAGGAGCTGCACCCTGTATTAATTGAGAGCAGTGAATAAAAATTTCCTAGCTAGCTCAATTTCTGAGCTATCTCATATCACGAAGTATACAGAGGTTATCTTAAATTTTCTTTGGTCTGTAAGGAAAATGATAAATCTGACTTTCAATGCAAACTCGTGAAGTCTTTTGTTAGATAATAAAAAATTTTACATTGACAGGTTAATGATAAATTAAAAATTAAGTATATAAATAAAATGCAAAACTTAAAGTTCACTCTTATCTCTGAGGTTTACATTCAAAGTTTTGTATATATTTATGCACTATTAATACTGTTCATAACAATTTTACCTAAGTTGAATACATACATGCATAAACTTGTAAATGACCAATTATTAGTTCATTTAATGTGATAATAACAGTAGACAAAACCCCAGGAATAATTGATTGAAATGGGATTATGGGGGGGGTGGCTTTTGTACCTGGTGTACTATGTGGAGCTGTGCGTCCCTTGAATCAAGGATCGAACATGATGATTCAAAGACAGTCACGACCCCATTAGATTTAGGGCATCACTAAATAGTCGGATTTTCCATAAAGCATGCGCGTTTTGACCAAATAGAGCCCACTCACACCACTGCGTTATACGTCATGTCAACATTACTCGAGCAATTTGTGTCTATAGCCATTTCATGGAGCCTTACAAAATAAATCTCTATCTGCATGTGTCATCCAATATCATCTATTTCATTCCAATTCCAAAAACTAATGACAAGTTTAACTTTTAAACGAAAAGAAAATAAGGGAAAGGAGAAAATTTTAAAATTTAAGTTAAACAAATCTTTTGATAAAGAAAAATTAAATCTCTTTTCTAAAAATAGCATTTGCAATGCATTTGTCAAGCGTTGTAGATTGATACACCATTTCGTCTAAATGTGTGGAAAGACGTCACGTCAATCCAATTAATGGTGAAATTTTAAACATTTCATGCTTAACATAAAAAGTAAAAAAAATCACTTCGAGTGTGACAGAAATTCGTGGCTTTCATTCTTTATGTGAAATCTCACGTCAATTGGACACATAGAAAAGGTAAGATTTTATTATTCGCGCGTTTCTTTCGCTTCGAAGGGAGGGTCTCTCATGAACCCCAAAAAAAGGTGTGTATTTTAAGAGTAAATTTTATCTATTCAATAATGTTTTATGGACATTGAATTATGTTAATTTTACATTTAAATTGAAAGTGTTTATAAAATAGATGAAATTTATAAAATTTTATATAATTTAAGAAGTAATCAATACTTTATGAAAAAAAAAATATTTTATTAAATATTATATTTTTAAAATTTTAATATTAACTATAAAATAATATACTTATGTGTTTTCTTTATTTTAGATTATATATATATATATATATATATATATATATATATATATTGTATTATATAACGATGATATTTTTTAAATTAATATTCTACAAAATGTTAGTGATTAAAGTAGGTGACAGAGTTAATAAACTTTATACATGAAATGTATCTAATATAATAAAGTGTTTTTTGTGTAAGAGTGAAAGAAGAAAATAATACGATTATATATGTGGTTAAACTTAAAAGTTATTTAATAATTAAAATAGTCATATAACCGTTTAAGAATATAAATACGCACTTTTGTTCGTAAATATTTCCACATCAGGCATTCATTTAATCTAAATCTAATCGAGTAGATAATTAATATAGTTACATTTTCAAAGCTCAAACTTAAGACCTGTAATTAAAATAAAATAGTTATCGCTAATTGACCTGCGTGCTTATTATGGTTAAGTTTAAGTGTTTTGAACAAATAATAATGCATTTTCTTCATGTATGTGTATTATACACATAATATGTTAATTTATCATTCAATGTATATGAAATAAACCATGCATGTATAGCAATAGACATGTTGCCAAAATACAATAAAATCTGTCTCAAATCTATTGCGAATTTTTTTATTTATTTTTCCCCAAATATAATATCATATATAAGCTAAAATCACTAAAAGTTATAGTACAAAAACATGTAATTTAAATGCACACAAATTTTGATTTTTTTTTAGAAAATGCAAAACAAGTATTTCTAAAGCACTACTTAACTAATTAAAAATGAAATTTTTTCATAAGAAAACATCATTAACATATTTCTTTATAATTTCTGATGCAATACCATAATTGCTTTATAGTTGTTTTTAATCAATGCCGTTAAATTTTACTATCTTTTATTGATTGAGTCTATAGTATATATGTTGCTCGAAAGATATAGCCGTTATTGCTTTTTATTTGTTAATTTATAAAGGGAAAAAAATGCAGTTTCGATAAGATTCCATTCCATGATCAAATCATATCTCCTAAAATATTATAATGATGATGCTTCGGTTAATGTACGTTCTTGTGAAGTTGAAAGTGCCTTTTATGAAACTTGGGTAGGATTTAATTAAAAGGAAATTAGGGTCTTTAATCACTTCCGATCTATACATTTCCTTTAAAAGAAAAAGTAGTTCTGCGAACGTGACAGACGAAGACATGCATGCAACACCTGCAATGCAATTTTTTATGTTCCTTTGAGAAGGCTGCACTGCCTTAACTGAACAAGACGGTCAAGTAAGAACAAAAAAGAATCTTGAACTATATGTTTTTATTTAGTTTATGGGGGTTGTGGAACCGCATAGTTCAAATAAACCCACAGGGCAAAACCCCAAGGTAAGAAGAAACAAGAACATCCTCCAAAAAAAGAGGAAAAAGAGGAAAAAGAAAAAAAGAAAAAAAGAAAAAGGAAAACCCTTCGTGAAAAATGATGGACAAAAAATTGTTCCTCTGGATGAAGCACCATACTCCCAAAAAGGATCAAATGGTAACCATTTCAAAGATGAAAAGCACTGTTCAAGTGGTCCTCCTTGAGGATGAGAGGGTGAAATATGGGGTGCTTCATTGCTTATCATCAAAAGAATGAATAAGATGCATGCAATCGTCCTTTGATATTTTAAGACGCAATCATCCAAAAGAGAAATACATAGAGTATTAGTAATTAAAAATACGCATTATTATAAGGGAAGGGACTTACAATGTTTAATTACTTAGGTGCCTAAGTTCACATAATAATTTAATGCAATCATAAGAATAGCAATCATTTCATAACAACTAGAAAAGGGAAACACATATTCTATATATATATATTAAACATGGGTGAGAGGCTGAGGTCAATTTTCATGAGAGTCTCCCATCCAATTGTATGATTGGGAAATTTGATCAACCTCCTTTTTCACTGATTTAGGCCAAGCACAGAAAAAAACCAGCTGATAATTATAGACTTCCATTTATACGTAATCAGTAGAATCCGTTAGACTTTTGAGTTCCATCTCCCTGCTGGTCCAACTTTGCTTGCTTATTGCCATCCAGCTTTAACCCAAAGTGAATGTGAGGGAAATGTGCCCACTGCATAAATATTCATATTAGACAACAGAAAAGGAAATTAAATTAAAGGTTCCAAATGATACAATATAGCAGTTTAAATCATGTATATAGTAAGACTTATGAAGGGGTATACGATATAAGAAGCAACAAAATTGGCTCAGAGAAGTTCCGAGAGATAATTCTTGTATATATAAACTAAAAAGTAGGAATTAAAAGAACACTGACTTATAACTTGTCAATAATTTCCATGATCAATTCAAAGTCTCATTTTCAATTTGCCTACACGCATATTTGTGGCTTTATGTATAGGGCCTACAAATTATATTGTGCTGAACATGTTATGGTCCATATACAAGAGTTACACGTACATTGAAGGAAAGTATAAAATGGAATTGCATGTAACAACAGACTGAGGGCTTTGCTAATTTATTGGGTATCAGATGGAAATTTCGGGCTAATACTATCGATCATGAACATTAAAAAGGGAAGAATACATGGGTGCAAAATTAAAATCTAGGATCACAAACTGTTTTGCATGTTTTTTGGTTTAAGAAAATAACGATTCCAAAAATTGTGGTAGGACTCGTCAAACTTGATCTTATGGTTAGTACTTAGTAGATAATCGTCCCAAAAGGGATATTAGATGTTTTTCTTTTTTGGTCTTGGATGCTTTTTTATATAGACACTTATAAAAACCCTGCAAACTGATGATTTAGCCAGAAGTCAATTACAGGTTGCATCACTGTACACTACAGTATCCCTTTAGGGTAAGTGGATAAGATAGAAATATCCACTATTGAAGAAATATAAGAGCCTCCTTTCAACTTTCTTAGAATCTGTAGCCAGCAATGTTCGTACCAATTTTATTCCAGTAGTTATCACTAAGGTGTTGTAAATAGGGAAGCCCAAAACCCAGAGTCGGACGCTTACAATGAAGAGAGAGAAGACTATAAAGTAGTATGTCTATGGGTCCTTCCACTTTAATTTGCGACCTTGTTTAAGCACATATCCACTTAGAATGTGCAATTGAGTTTTCAATATAATCTCCCATTAATTAAGTGTGCATATCCACACACAAGGAAGACCTAAAGAGAAACTATAATAATGGGTCTATTGGCCTAATACCTTAGAATTATTAAGAGTTTAAAAACTAAGGAGATTCAATTACAAAGAAATGGAAGAGAAACCATAATAGAAGACACCTCAAAACTAAGATATTAGCTTCACAAAATCTTCTTTTACCTATGAAGTCTACACTTTGTTCATTCTTTTTCAAGGTAAAACTTCTTTCACGAAAAATACCTACTTACAACCAATACACATTACTTATAAAGTCAGGCAAAAGATCTCGCTATACCTAAAAGAATGTCATCATATCCTTCTTACAGCCCTGGTTAAGTCATTTTATTTATATATTTTAAGAAAAGACATTTTGTTATAACCAATGCATAAGTCTTGTATCTGTCCTACATTTCTTTTTACACCATTTTCCCTGCAACAATATTATTCCAACATCTAAATGACGAGTACGTACTTCTTACACATATCTTTTTTTAATCAATAAAAACAAATTTTATAGATAAAAAGTACCAAAAAGTACTCCAATAAAACTCAAAATACATAAAGAATCAACCATGGCGCCCACCCACCTGATAAAAGCTATCATTATTAAATCTTACACATCACTTTTGAAAAATAAAAAAAACTAATCTCAACACTTTCCACATTCTATCTCTCATTTTTCAAAAGTAACTAGTGTTAGAAAAAAAAAATCCATGGATTTAGGCATAGAAATAATGTTATTGATTTTTCTATGGGGGAGAACAAAAATTTTCGACAATTATTTTACATTATACATACCATTTGCACCTGCGTTGAAAAGTTAGATTAGAAAGTCTATGATGGGACATGAAATTGATACGAAAGAGAGATAGAAAGAGGTATGAAAAATTTTCAATTCTAGGACTGTTGTTTATTCAAAAATACTTCATATTATAGTACCTATTTAAAACATAACCTAAAAGTATATTAAAAAGTTGTATGTCCTATTATCTAAAATAAAAATAATGAATGAATGATGCAAAATAGTATATTAACATCACCCACTGTTGTGCGGGACGGACTTTTATATGCAGAACTCATCTCACTTTATGACCAGTACATTGTGTAGGTATGTAAATCGATATGTTAAAATGTTTAAAAAAATGTGATGCGCAAAATACCATCATCCTATATAATATTAACACGTATATAATTTACCTTATGTGTTAATCAAATACCATTTTGGCAATGAAAATATTGAGTCGTATATCTCACAAGTGATTCTTCTTTATGTGTTAGAAATCGCGTTGAAATTAATAGTATTGAATCTCAGCTTGCAACAATGTTATTAGTAATAGCTTCGGTGTGAATGTGTCTTAAATTTTACATTTAAAATATTACCAAAAAAACACACACTTAATTAGTTAAGCATATCGAGAGTATTCTTCTCTCAGTTAAACATGATAAGCTATTCGCAAATTATGCAGCATTGACAAAAACAAATAAAGTAAGGGTTATTATATATTAGCAACATTTCTTCTGGATAACTCCAAAGCTCAATCTATTTAACAGTTATCTTTATTTGTCATTTCGCCTTTTGTTGCAAACCATGGTTTGATAATTTCTCAGCTCTACGATGTATTTGTCATTGATATTGCTTTGAACAAATAAGGGCAACCCCCATTATAGGAATCAGTAGAAGGATATGAACAGTTGCCATTTAATTATACATTCAAGTTCTATATAAACCTGCAGCCTCGAAGATGGCATTGGTTTTATTTGTATAGTTTCAACAATAATTGTAGGGATAATAAAGTGCAACTTTCACCGAGTTAATATAAACGACAAAGTTATCTTTTATTGTGTAATCACCACATGTGAGGGGGAGAAAATAGATATAGAACTTTCATGCATTCAAATGCCAGAATGCATATGCAGAAAGTGGGAAAGTAGTAATAAATTATACTCACGTTTTTGGCTGCTGTGCTGAATGCTTCTCTGTGGCTGATATCTGGATTACTAGCCTTAATTCTTTGTATTTCCTCCCTGCAAACAGAAAACAGAAGGCTTGTTATACTTGTTGGATGAAATCAGATACATACATTTTTTTTTATCGAGTACTAGCAACACATGCATATAAACACACACATACACCATATTTTCACCTTTTTATATAAATATAATAATAAACGATACCTTTGAGAGTATTTTAACAAATTTAAATTGTACTAAAATACTCTTTTTGGAAAATAAAAAGATTATATTAGCCCCGTGTGTGTATCATTCTCTCACTTGTTTTATAGAATTTTTTTTAAGAAATTATATTTATTTTAATAAATCTAACGTTATAACTAGCTGCATCTCTCTATCTTTGCCCGTGTTCATGCATTTACCATGCAAATCAATTGTTTTTATCAATGATTTTGTGGATTATAAATTAAAAACAATGTAAAAAGCATTTATTATGACTCATTCAAAATAAATGTTCATTTGAAAGTTACCTTCGTTCCTTTTTTATTTATAAATTTTTTTAAATAAACTTGTTCCCATCTATATATTTTCTTAACTGTTCAAGTCAAAATTCATTATCTTTTTAAATATATCCTCATTTCTACACGATTCTTAAATATTTTATATTAATTATAAATAAAAAGAAAAAATAATTAAAGTTATATTAAAAATTTAAATATAATTTAATATAAATATGAATATTAATTATAATTTTTAATTTATGTGCTATCTTCTGAAAATAATGGAGGGAGTATATATTAGATATTAGTTCATCATAGTAGTGTTTTAAAAACTGGTTATCATTTCCCAATGATATAGGTTCAAAGTTGTCTGAAATTAATTTTAAAAAAATTATTTTTATTTAAAAAATGCTCTAAAATTTTAATACTCGTTCTCATAATTTGCTAATAATTTTATATACACACGAATATACATTTGTATATAAGTGCGCTGATATTTAGTTATTTATTCTAAATGCATGCCTGTATTTAATAATTTCACGCAGTTGTCTATCACTCAACCGATTATATTATTTGAATTATGAGTCATCATTCACATTAATTTTCCGTTTAATTAAGAGTCTTCTTATTGCTAATCAAAGTTTAAGAAATTAATAAAAATATTTAAAATTATAATAAAATATAATAATAATAATTTTAACCAATATTCTAAAGATTAGGACACTGATTACTATTTTAACTTTAATTAGAACATTAATCATGTAATCCAAACTACTCTATTAACCACGTATACTAAATAGAACACGTGGATTTACACTAAACAATAATAGATGGAGAAATGGCAGGAACTTTATTTAAAATTGTAAATTAAAAAGGTTACTTACTTAATGAATCGATTATAAGCAGAAGGAACACGTTGTCTCTTCTCAGGAGCTGTGTTAATCAGGAGATTTTTTAGTTTGAAATATTGAACAGATTGCATAGAATGTAAATGTATATAAACGGCATATCAACAATTTAAATTAACACAAACATATTAACACTAAATAGAATTTTCTAACAACCACCAAAATCAGGTTGAGCTAGAACTTTTAACAAGAGCTGGCCCAATAGTTGGATGAACTGGTACTAAGAGAGCAAATTCGATCCATTAAAAAGTTATCATGAGCTGCCTCGACGAGAGAGATGAAAAATCTTACTTACAGTCACAGTTTATTATAAGTAATAAAATCAATAATCTGACATGTGTAAAGGTACATATACAAGTCTTGTTAGAAAATTTTATATACTTATATTTAAAATGGTGTAATAAAGATTAGTAAAGAATTAAATTTGAGTGGGAGTTGTAACCGTAAAATGAAATTGCATATGCTTAGTGTTATGAGAGATATATGTTCTAGGGCACAACATGATTGCAATCAATTAAGGATGGGTCAATTTGTTACGAAAGGTCACCATCTGGTTGGGGACACTTAAATGGACGAAGAAAATATAGGCTAAATTGGGTACCTTTGTACTAAAAAAAAACTTGATACTCAAGAGAGATGGACGCCCATTCTCATGAAAAACTGAGTTTTACGACAAGTGGCATCAATGATGACTTTGTGGTGCTTGTTTACATTAATTAACTTGTGCCAGTTGTGGAGTAACGTAGTCTGATCTTTTTGTCCTTAAACCTTCTGAACTATAACGAAAAAGTTCAGGCTGGCCTAGCTATTGGACCCGGCTTGTTCATTCCAACTTAGATGCCAAAAGCTAATTATATTTTGAATTAAGGGAAGAGAAATATGTAGGGTGTGTGACTCACGACGAATGGGAGGAATCCTAGGCTGCTCATGGTCTACAGGCTCGAATGATTTGCATTTTGATGATGATCCTAGTTCCTTGCTGCTAGATTCTTGAATGCTTAGGTGCTGATGCTGTCTCTGTAACTTAGCAACAGTAGAAAATCTCTAAGAGAAACACATACACACCCAGAGAGAGAGTCAAATATACCCAACAAAAGGTGAGAGAAACAATAGAAAAAAATATATATATAAAATATACATATTTATTTATATATATACCTGAGGGTCTTGAGAAGGAAAAGTTTGAAGTGATGCTCCCATGTTAACCGATAGCAAATTGGCACAATGCCCACATCTAACCGTCACTATGGTCAACAAACTGCTGCATGGAACACTAACCTGCAAATAGCCATTTTCAAATACAAGACAAACACATGTTATCACTTCCTATTTCACTAGCCAGTAGCTCAAATTAAGTGATCAGCTGAATAATCTTAATTTCTGTCTCTTAATTACATGCACACAGGAATGGTGGATGTCAAACACTAAAACTTTGATCTATCGTCTAAATTGGGATTCTCAATGCTTTAAATTTTGTATAGTATTGTTTGGACCATTGCCATAACAAAACATCAGAGCTTCACACTTGTCAAAATTTAAATATTTATACATATGTTGGAGAACTGAAGCTATCACATTCAATGGAAAGGAGCTTCTAAGCACCGCAACGTTACAATAAGAAAACAAATGGTTGGTTGGTGAGACAGAAGAAAGAGGTTGAGGAGAGGACAAATAAGGTTGAGAGAGAGTGAGGGTCCAGCTAGGAAGAGTAGTGCAGCATATTGAATACTACATGCTATGTTAGCATAGCAGCAAAGTGATGAGGAACTGACATGGCTAATTTAAAAGTTAGCACTCTCACAATGTCTGCATGCTGTGGGTGCGCATTCACTTTTTGGCTGACACTGCAAGGCAAGATGATAAAAGATAGAAATTGTAGCTCATAGCGATCGAGGAGGAAAGAGAGAAAGAGAAAGAGAAAGATGAAAATGACATGACTAGAACGGAAACCATGAAATTGATTAATTGAAACACCGTTAACCACTACTGCTACCTAACAGATATGATTAAAGAAAAGTGATCATCATCATCACCATGAAGCAGATTAAATTTACTGCTCATTGTGCAGTGTCAAGATCGGGGTTGAGAAGGAAAGAAAGAAAGATAATGCTTTCTCAAAAGGAGTAATTTCAACAGAGATATTATGATGAAAGGAGAGAAAGGTAAAGGAAAATAAGAGAGAGAGAGAGAGAGAGAGAGAGAGAGATGGCATTTTCTGGTGCGTAAATGGATTTGTCTGAACGTCATAATCTCCACAAGTTCTTGTAGAAAGAAAGAGAGGACACTGTCTCAGTACTTAAAGGAAGCAACAAGTCTGAAATTGTGAAAAACCTTGATCATCAAAAAATGACGTTTCACTGGCAAATCATGATGAACAGAATACCCACCTTCAACCTCATCACGCATCAGTGAAAGGGAATCAACCAAATACACTGAGGAAAGAGAAACCATCACATGGAAAATTAATTTGAGTACAGATTTATTTTATGAGCTGTGAATTCAGAAAGAAAAAAACAAGAAAAAATAACTTATAAATTAAAACAACGGTTTGACTTTTTATTCAACATATATAGCATGTGAGATCATAAAATGTTACATATTCTTCTGAAAAATAATAAATAAATAATAAAAAGGGAAAGGGCTTCATATATATCAGAAGAACCCTAATACCAGGTAGTAGCCCTACCTATTCATAGCCCTCGAATTTCTTAAGGGTATATGCCTGTCTATGCATTTTGTTTATAAAACCTCTTAAAATTGCTTCATTCAGGCTCACAAAATTGCCTTATTGCCTCTCAAATTAGGATGTGCCTTACATATACTGGGTTTCGAATTTAATCACTGGTCTTCTGTTATAGCTCGTGAAACTGAATACATCACTTACCTGATCTCTAACCAAGTTAATTAGCATCATAGCTGAACATGTTACATAAATAGAGGCTATGGAACAATACCCAAATACATTTTCTCATAAAATATAAGATAGGAGTCGATTAAATCTCGATCTGAAGTACATTCCAGTCAAGAAATCAACTTCAATGATGGATTCCAATTAATCCTTGGGGAAGTGAGAGGTCTTTAATTCCTTGCTTTCATGATCTCGATTCAAGAAATATAAAAAACCCGAATTGACAAATTATTAGCTGATGAAAGACATGGTATAATAAAAATAATCATAACAAGCTTAGAAAAATATAGAGAAAAAAAATGGAGAGAAAGAAAAAGGAAGAGAATTCAGAATTGTACCGCTAGAGTGGTGTTGCAGAAGTTGCAGTGAACATAACAAACACGTTCGGTTGCCATCATGTCCATTGACATTTTCTTTTTTTAATTTGCAACTGTCCTTCGTGTGTGCTTAGTAGATTTATAGGCACAGATCACAGGGGAGAATTCCTTGACTGCTGAAACAAAGTGAACAAGCTAGATCAAGGATTTACAGAAGACCCAGAAGAATATAAGACAGAGAATCATAAAGGTTAAAATAAAAAAAGAAACTTTGTTATTATTTTTTTAATGGGGTAGAGAGAGAGAGAGAGTGTACAAAAATGTGAATGGTTAAGATGGGACTAGTCTGGTCGGGGAAAACCAGTGAAGTGGAGTGGGATTAGTGATAGTTTAGAATTATGAAAGAAAAGATAGATTATAGGAAGTGTGAAAATTTTTGGTGTTTGTATGTGCGCGTGTTTGCAAAAGACAGAGAAGCAGAGAGTGGGGAAAGAAGGTGGGAGTGGATGTGTTATGATTGAGAAAATGAGTGGGTGGGAGTGACCCATTCTCTCTAACCTCACTGCCTTTCTGTAGCGGACGAGGGGGGCGAGATATTAATGCTTGGAATGTTTAGGGATGAGAGAGAAAGAGAAAGATTATACAAATGCCAATAGTACTGTAAGATAAAGGTTATAGGGATCAGAGACATGCTTATTAGAATTTGTGTCATTCAATTGTATCAATGCATTGCATTGCATGTCAAACACAGCCTGACAAATGGTTCACTCCATCCTTTTTATTTATTTCTTCTTTTTCATACAATTTTAACACCTTTTTCAAGTCTATTCTGATTTCTGTTCTGACCCTAAGGGGCTAGACAATCTATGCTCAACGCTTCAACAAACTCTACTAAATCATGCTGTCTAAATCAAACTATTCTAAATGTTAATTACACAGTACGTCAACAAAGTGTAGCAAGGGTTACAAATAATAATGACGTCGAAAGACTATGGAAAAATAACATGAATTGGAAATTAGCTTTTGTCCATTTATGTGCATTGGGTTATCTATTGCGGTGTACTATTTGCATAGTGAATAGACGTCTTACTGTACATATTCATGTTTTTTCCTGTTAACGCCTTACACGTGGGATTTTCAATTATCATTACTTATTAGCAGTATAGCAACGAATGAAACTCTGCATCAGCATTTCATAAACGAGAGGGGACATATAATATTCCAAGAATCATGTTTATATCAACCGTTTAATTGCTATTAATTACTTTGGTTAATTTTAATTTTCAGTGAAAATGAGAGGTGTTGCTACTTGCTATACGTTATGTCCACTTTGTCTTAGCCACAAATAACTTATAAGGATCGGGTTTTTCCATATATACATCTATCAAATAAATTGTGAATTAAGAAAGAGGCTATTACTTGATGTTGGTGAAACTAAAAACTTGAAATATGCCTTGCTCAGTGTACGTACACTTCATAAGACATTGCACATTTAAATCAACACCCCTTGGTCTTGTTTATACAGTTTCATTCTTTGGGACATGCTTCGTCTTTTGAAACATCCATTGGCGGTTAAAAGAGAGAAATGTATCTAACTACATGCATCAATCAAATTTAATTTTGTAATAAATTTGCCTTATAGTTTTAAGGCAGATATAAAATTAACATAAAAACATTTTATATATGTACAAGCAGCGCCTGTTTGTATTGAAAGTTTATTATTAAGACTGATTTTAAGTATTTTAAAAAACTTTATTAAATATAAAAATATAATAAATACTAATTTTATTAAAGTTTTACTGTTATTAATTATTTACATTCAACTATAAAAGTTGAAATTAATATTTTTTATTTATATAATTATTTCTTACAATATATCTATTCATTACTTCATTCATCTTATTGCATATTTCTCTATTTTCTTCTTATATAATTCTAAAAGAACAATAGGAACTTATTATATATAAAATATATATTCTCAAGGAAATAGCCCAAAAAATGAGGACCATGGTACCTGAACGCGTGTTTAGCTAATTTAAGGCCCACAATAGTGCTTTGCATGTACAAGTCGCCAGTTAGTAGCAACATATTTGTGTAATAACATATCAAACTTTTATACTGTTCCATGTATTTACTCACATATTTAGATAATAAGGCCATTATTGACCCGTGTTGTTGTAATATTGCGTATACCTGTTATTTTATATCTTTATATTCTGTTTTTTATAGTGAAAATAATTGAAATAAAGTTGTTAATAATAAATTACTAAGAGAAATAGGTAAAAAAAAAATTCATCTAAAATTTAATAATTGATCTATTCTTAGCTTAAGTAAAGTCCATCTTGTTGTGATAGAAACGAATAAGAACAAATAAGTTTTAACTAATGTAGATACCAATTATTATTAAAAAACTCTATATATTTTATTTATTTTAAAAAATTTATAAACAAATATGTACAGAATAAGATATTTAGCACATGAAAGAAATATTTAAAAATAATAATAATTTTAATTAAGTTTATGATAATATGAGAAATAATTATTTCACTTTCCTAGTTCACTTATTCTTTCTTTCTCTTAAATAATAATTTTAATTAAATAAATTGTACTTTAAATAAGTTTGTAAACAATGAAAAATATAATGAATTTTATATATGATTTTTAAGGTACTTTTGATAATATTGTTAAATCCAAGTTAAAGCTTTGCATTGATGATTGGTACATAATAAAAGTTGACATTAAATATTTGTATAAATTATTAAAGTAAAATTTTGTTTTTTTAATTAAAAATGACATTAAAATGCTTTAAAAACTATACCTAAATTTTATTCATAAAAAAATGTTTACAAATTTGTAACATTATTAAACCATTGTTTTAATTTATAAACTTGTAAATATAATTTGTTTTTAGAATATTTTATTAAACTTATAATTGACACTATGATAATGGGATTATAAAAAATAAATTTTTAGAATGTTATTTTTATACTATTATAATTGTTTAGAAAATAATCTATAACGAGAATTTGACAAGGTATGTTGAGAACAGAGAGCATGGTAGCCGGGTAAAGATATTGTCACAACGAGCATCCACCAATATATTGTTTTTTCTTGAATAATTGAGGTACGGTTGAAATAAATATGATTTAAATATGCATACCAGGTAGGCACATCAACAAGAGAAATATCATTTGGCCACACTTTTTTCATTTAAAATGATGCTTTTTCTTTAATAAACTCGATAATTTTATATTCAACCATTAAGAATAACCCAAATCTTCAAATTTGATTTAAGAATTGAAATTCACCAGCCATCGAATACATTGGATATTATAACGTATAAATGTTACAAAGGCCTATTAGTGTTACCAGCTGGTTGCCTAATTGGTGAACTAAGATTTAGGTTACTATGTATTTGTAGACTAAAACTTTGATTATATGTGATGATAAGAACATGCTGAAGGCTTTGATTCTTTATACGCTTCCCCTACTTAGGCATCTGTCGACAAGAGATGTTATGTCAAGTGGATTAGAAATGTCAGAGAATCTCTTTTACTCAAACCAAATAATAAGATGTTTTATTCTTATATTCTCTTTTTACTTTATGTAATTCATTTCTTTCACAAAATTAATGTAATAAAAATAAGTTGATGTATAAAAATATTATTTCTAGAAAACTAAACACCTCTAAAGTTTTTTAAAAATATTTAATTTTAGTACACTATCATTAGTGTAAAGCAATTTATAATATCAATGAATTAGAATATATTGAGAAATTAATTTTTATATTTATCTTTATAAAAATCAATAATTTTTGTTAATATGTTGATTTATAGTATAATTTTTTTACAGTATCAGTGTATTTAAATTATTATTTTTTAATTTATGTACAAGTATAACAGATAGATATTGTTTCATTTTTAAAGAGTTTAATTATATATTTGAATAGTATTAACACGCACAGTGAACATGCAAATTACGTTAATAATACCAAAATTAGTTAATCATTTTAAGTAAGTTAAAATTATATAGTTAACCTTTTTAGTAATTAAGTTAAGCGTGATGTTTATTTAGATGAGAATTCCAAGGCTAGGTGAATATTAAAAACTTGTATTACTAATATATATATATATATATATGTCAAACATTGACACAAAAATGAGTGCTAGTTGTAGGTTTGTTCTTGTGAGAATAGATTTTGTTTGATAAAAATATAAATATTGTAAACTTATCTTAATAATATAATATATTAATGATATATATATCAATTTTTATGCAAATCAAATTGTACTGTAGTATAATATATTATACTCACTACAAAAATTATACATCAAATATTAAAATAGTATTTGTTAATATAGTCTTTATTTTAAAAAATAAATATTGAAAATTTATACAAATGAATAATGTGTAATACTGAGAAAATAATTTTAATATAAGCTCACAATATTTATACTAATGATTAATTTTATTAAGAAAAGAAAAATAATTTGTCAGAAAATAATGTGGTTTTGTAGTAATAATATAATTTTGTTGATCAGTGGAGAATTTTCCATACAAAAAATAATATGAAGAAAAGTCTGAAAAATGTGTTGGATCTTTTATTCGAAATGGAGCATCCTCTTTTACAAGTAGATGTCAGGGGACCATGCGGAATGGATCTTCTGATCTGTAGCCCAATGTTTAAGATAATGTCACTTTATGGTGGAAGGGGCACATGCATGTAGAAAGCGCAGGTCAGTGCCCTCTAAAGGAAACCTCCTTGACGTAGATTGTTATTTTTTTCATTTTTAAAATTCACCTTTTTTTTCTGATTATTATCTTAGGCTGTTCATGTTCTTTAAGATTTTTGTTTCATTCGTGGATTAATTATCTTATTATCGTTTTAATTCAGGTTATTTTGCTTGAATGTTGATTCTTAAAAAAGAATAAAAACTTTGGTTCAATTTAAGGATAACTCGTTAGTATGTGACACATAATTTCACCATCAATCTAAACATTTCATTTTCTTAAAATTCATATAGGTCCATAAATATATTATTGTTGTAAACTTTTGAAGCACTTTTTGGTATTACTGATAATCTTTTTATAATTTTGTTTTGTTCAATGATTATCTAATATACTAATTTTCTTATAATAAAAAATATATAATTAAGCGAAGTATAAAATATACCCAAAATTATATAAATTTCACAATCAAATTCACAAAAAGAAAAATGTCTAAACCAATATTACATTGGAAGGCCATGACAATCTCCTATAAACAATATGCATCATAACTACAAAGTATATATAATGCAAAGAATAAAACACCAGTTTGTTAACAAAAAAAAAGCACACCCATAAATAGTGAAGAGAGATAAGTCAAAATTTTGTTTCTGAAAACAATTCTATCATGAATTAATTATAAGGACTGGTTCACCCTCTGAGTATTTAACTTATACTTAAGATTATTATAAATACAGATCAAGTTGGAGTAACTCTTATTGTTATATACCTACTTTTTTATTGGACTATAGCCAATTATTTTTATAATAAATGCACACGTCTTAGTCAACATGTGGTCTTTTAACCCCTATTCATAAAATTTAATATTTATTTTGGAGAATAAGAAGCTTGCTACTAAAAAATATGGAGAGGAGGGAGAAAAGAGCAACAGGTTGACACACAAACAAATATTATGTTACTAATATTTAAAGAAAGTTTAATGGTTTTAACTAAGTATTAAGCTACAAAATTTTAAATATGTGTGAATTTAATTAAATTTTTTTAAATAATAAATACCTAATTAAAAATTTAATAAATCACGAGGGCTTATGTATTAATTTGACCTAGTATTATCATATCATTGTTTAGATATTGTTATAATAAAATAAAAACAAGTTTTCATTCTAATATATTAGAGAGATGAACAAAATCGTAAGGAGATAAGTGAATGGAAGTTAATCGATTCAAACATTTTTTTTATGTTAATCTATATAAAATGTTTCTTCATTTGTCCCTAAAAATCATTAAAAGATTATGTTTTTTATTATTTAGTAAAGGACCAAAATCACCTCATATTTGCTAAATATATGTACTAAAAAGAAATAACTTTTATAAGAATTAAAAATATATTTAATCTAACTTAATTATATTCCATCGTCTCAAATATCAATATGAGAAAAGAAAAAACTTCGTAATATGTCTTACAACTCGTCTTAACTACTTGATTCTCACTTCCTAACTACTGATAGATGTAAGGTCAGTATAAAAATTGACATGTGAGAAAAGAAAAATTAAGGTTATTTTGCAGCTAGATATTGAAGCTGGAAAGTGAACGAAAGGGTTTCAATTTAAAATGTTGGTGTAGTAATGCTGTTATTACTATTTTTTCAGTTTTGTTAATAACTGATTGAGGAATAACAAATTTATCATATTAATTTTTTAAAATTACTTAAAAATATTAAATAAAATTTATTTTTATTTAATAAATAAATTTTCTTAACTAGTCAATCCTCTTATTTGGCATTGATTGTTTAATTTTTAAGGAGATGGATGCAACGTTTTGCCGCAAAAAGCTCCTTAAAAAACATGAAAAAAAGGCTAAAATACCGTAGGTAATAAATCAACCGACATGATTTTGTCAAAAAGATGCCACACATTATGACATCGTTCCCAAAAACACGGTTCATGTCTCTTTGAAATCGATGTTGCATAATTAATATTAGAGTAATGTTATTTTATTATATTGTTTTACATACAAAAGAAATATGTGATAAAAAATCAATAAATAAAAAGCGATAAAACTATATATATTACTACTTTTTTAAGATAAAAAATGGGTTAATAAGTTATAATTATAATTTTCTTAAAATATATCTAACATATTTTTTTAAAAAAAGAGGAGTTCAGGATATTTTTAATTCTACCCAAAAAAAATGGATAAAATTTGTTATGAATTGCGTTACTGATTGTGACGAATTTGTATCACCGGTGTCTCCACTAAAATTATTCTGAATGGTGTGTTTGCCTTCATCCCATGCATTGTTCCCTCTTGTTAATGGAATCCCTCTCCATCTTTTGGCTTTAAGAATTTTTCATTTTTATTAGGGATTGTGTCAATGGCTGATTAATTAGTGCCATACGATGAAGAGTAGCAAACTTGCTATCTACTTATCATACATATATATTTGATGCTAATGCCTCAGTCCTAATTGCTAAGCTTAATGTTAAAAACTGCTGTGGACTTGTGGAACTCCTAGACCCATTTTGTTGATATTTTTGGTTTGAGATCTAACTTTGATAAGTCTAGAATATATCAATTTTGATAAGTCTAGAATATATAGTAAGATTCTTGGTGTTGATAATTGGGGAAGCATTGGGAAACACTTGGGGTGTGTGATATCAAGACTAAACATACTTTAAGGATTTTGAAAGTATTGTTGACAAAGTACATTGGAGACTCAAAGAATGGAGGGAATATTTTTGTGCAATGCTTGAAGGAATAGGATGAGCCTCATTAATTCTATCCTCTCTGTCATCCCTTCTTCCTAAGAGAATAAGTGATTTCTCCTTGATAGGGTGAATAGAATTATAGAAACTTCCTCCACAAGGGAACAAATTATTCCCATAAACTTTCTCTTGGGGAAGACTTGGGATTAAGGACTTAGGTCCTATACTTTGCCATTTGTCAATATTGGATAGGATGTCCTTAAACAAAAGAAGTGCCTTTGCCCTATGGGCACAAGTATCTCTATCCCACATAAGACAATAATGTGGGCATCTTAATTGCTCCAATAACTGGAAGGATTATTAATTTGGAGTAGTTGCAGCTTCAATCAAATTTGGTTTTTCATAATAAAGATTGTGTTTCTTTTTCGTTTGCCATCTGAGCTGGTTGACTTATTCATGGCCCTTTTGTCTTATGGGTAGGACCGTGGGTAATATGTTTTTAAAAAAATCACACTTTTTCATTTCATTCTTTTTGGGTAATGTTTTAAGAAAATAGAAAACTTCACAAAAAGGACCCAAAAGGCCCAAGGCCGAAACAACAAAGGGCTGTAGCCCAACGGAGCTAATCTGCAGCATGACTATATGGATCATTACACGTAGTGCCTTTGCTTGGGCTACTCCCTTTCAGATTACTTGGGTTTGTTTTTGTTGACCAAAAAATATTTTTTTATATAGTTCTATTTAAATAAGAAAAAAAGTCTCATGGTAGGTTTAATATTTTTAAGGAAGATTGGTTTTTAAACGTAAGAATTTGTATACTAAAGGGAAAAAGAAACACAAAAGGATCTGTATGACTGTATACCCTATCTTTTTGATTGGGGATTGGATTACGAAACTAAAATCAACAGCACTTTAATTTTGGGTGTTTTCTAGATAGACTTCCCGATTTAAATTACCATTTTTATATGTTTAGATCCATTTCATTTTATATTATTTGTATGTTGTCTTTCAAAATGAACAGATAAAATGAAATGGAAAAATATTAGCACACTCTTCTTTCAATTTTCAAACATAACTCACTTTATTTTTAACTAAAATTAATTTTACAAAAAAAAATATATTTTAAAATAAAAATTGCATTTAGCCAAGTATACGCTATATATATCATTTTTGTATTACATCACATGGGTTGAAACCAATTTTAATTCAATGATCCAAAAATAAGATAATAAATAACTACATGATAGTGATAGTGTGTGTAACATTAATTTATACATTTTTTTCAAATAGATTATTACTGGATGAATTTTATATGAAGTTCTCTAAAAGACGTAGACTTACAGAGTTACACAAAATTTAGTAAATATATATAAAGTATGGTATTAACATTTTTATTCTTCCATTTGGTGATTCTTTCTTGTAGCACCCTGCAAGAATTAACGTTGGTTACACACTTCACCTTCGGATCTTGACCTGACTTTGTCCTGTCTTCAAGTCCAAACACCACCTCAACCTCAGTGAGTTCATCTAATTGTGTAATTATACAACCGTTGATCTTAAAATGCACTGAAGAAATCTACCTCGTGCTCTTAGTGCCACCAACTAACAGCATGTTAATTTTCCGTTTTGGAAGTCTCAACATACGAAGGGTTCAGAGTGTAAAGTACATGGAGAAATGATTCCTCATACCATATTAAAACTGAATAAACTGTTCAAGATTTTTATTTCTCAAAAACTGGTCTTTGCTCCTTAAATATATGGGTACAATTAAAATAAAAGTTATCCCCCATAATTGTCAATAACAGAAACCTTAACTATCGAACAGCTAAAAGCAATACTAAACATAGTTTTTACATGATATCCTTCATATGCGAAATCAAATTCACACACTCTAAGTGGTTCACCTACTACTTTCAAACTTGCAACCATACAATCCAATAAAGCTTACTTTTTTTGTGCCAAGAATTGTAATATTCACAGACCTATTCCTCTCCCTATCTCTTTAGCTATGCAGGCTCGAGGATTCTCCATTGTGCTTCTTCTGCTTGCTCTATACTGTGGTTTAGACCCTTTCAAGCAAAGCCCCATTGCGGGCTTCCCTGACTTTGAGGTGCACAAAGTTGAAATGCCCGCATGGTCTGAGGTTCCTACTGACCGAGACAAGGACAACTTGTTGGAGAAATCGGACCTCATGTTTGTGAACCAAGTGCAAGGACCAGAAAGCATTGGCTTTGATCCTCTTGGCCGTGGCCCTTACACTGGTGTTGCTGATGGAAGGATTTTGTTTTGGAATGGACACTCTTGGACTGATTTTGCATACACCTCCCCCAATAGGTCACACTTCTCTTTATTCCTCCCTTTGCCAACTCACTACTAAATATTATAACAGTTTTATTATTTGAACAATTGAAAATAATTGATTGTACAAACATAAATTCATGAATCAAGAAAACTTAGAGCAGAAAACATATATGAATAGTTTCTACATCTACCATCCCAGATATGTCCCAAAAAGGGGAGACAACTAAAAATTGTCACCGAAAATTTTGATATTAGAAAAAATCGAGCAGTTCCCGTTCTGTTAAGCTATAGAAATATCTCATTAGTGCTGGCTTAGTAGGAGATAATTATGTGCTAAGTAAATTCATACGCTTTTGTCGCTGCTCAATACATCTTGAGTTTTGATATACCATACTTTGGACCTGGTTATGACTATGGGAGGATAAAGTCTTACTATGATGATAGCACTTGTGTAGAGGGAAATGATTGAATGTAGAAAAACTAAAGATTAGTTTCATGTTGACTTTTTTATGTTTACTATATTGTGGCTATATACGCTTGCAACATCACAAGATAATGCTCGTTGCATCTTCTTTCCAAACACAGATCAGAACTATGTAATCCCAAGGCATTTGCATCGCCACTTAGTTATGTGGAGACTGAGCACATTTGTGGAAGGCCTTTGGGACTCAGATTTGACAAGAAAACTGGTGATTTATACATTGCAGATGCGTATTTTGGGCTGATGAAGGTGGGGCCTCAGGGTGGTTTAGCAACATCTCTTGCAACAGAGGCTGAAGGGGTGCCACTGAGATTTACTAATGATGTAGACATTGATACGGAGGGGAACATTTATTTTACAGATAGCAGTACTAATTATCAGAGGAGGTAGGCTTAGCCCGTTGATCTTTTTCATGTTGATACAACACCTAGTGAAATTGTCATTATTTTGAATATACGATGAATACTAAAAATAGAGCTGGGGGTACCACTTATTTACTTTGGAAGGTTAAGTATCCTTAGTCTGCTATACTAATGGAATGAAGGAAAATGCATAACTTTCCCTTAATAGAGTGACAGGTTGGTTGGGGACTGCCATGACGGTAGCCGAAATAAATCCAATGACTACAGTTAGTTAAGTTGTTGTTTTACCTTATGTTGCATGAATTATTTTGTGAATTAATATAATGCTAGACTTAATATTTTCTCCATCTTCGGGGCTCCAATCCTCAAGGACTCGATAAAATGAGTAGGAATAATGGTTGAAATTGAAGTCATATTCGTGATACTTGTCAGATGAGGAAGAAGAATATGATAGATAAACATCATTCCGCACTTTGTCGGAAATGTATGCAGGAGACCACCACAACCTTTAGAATAGATTGTATCCATTGTGCATTTTTATGATCATTAAAAGTACTTTTGATACGCAATGTGTCATAGTGACCAATAGTTCAATTGGAACAAGCAGATATCTAGTGATTACAATGGTATGGTTGTAACTGAGTAATGGCTACTATATCTGGATTTTGCGCCTTTTTTTTTTGTCAAACTGGATTTTGCGCTCAAACAAGCTCTTTGTTTGCATGGCATTCGTGGTTGATGGGAATTAAGCCTATTGTACAACACAAAATAATGTAGTCACAAGGGTCTATCTGGCGTATGAAAAAATTGTCTTGAAGAGCTTTAGCTAAGAATTCTGAGGCACTGATGTCATGTTCTTTACTCTGGATGCAGGAATTTCGCTCAGCTTGTATTCTCTGGTGAGGATAGTGGCAGAGTTCTGAAATACAATGCCACCACTAAGGAAACCACTGTTCTGTTGAGGAACGTTCAGTTTCCAAATGGCATTTCCTTAAGCAAGGATGGTTCCTTCTTTGTCTTTTCTGAAGGGATGATCGGAAGGTGAGTCGAATACACATAATCCCCCCCTCCCCCCCGCGCCACCCCCCCCCCCCCCCTTTTTTTTTTCTCTTCATTGAAGTCCCTTTGCGGAGTCACAACCACAAGAAATAAAAAATAACTAGAAAAAATTCAGTTAGAAAGAAATGGATGAGAAATTAGATTAAAAAAATGCATTATAAAATAGATGAAAATTAGGGTATAAAAAGTGAGAAATTTTTGTTTTACTTGTTTGGATGAATAAAAAAAGTAATTTATATTAAAAAGTAGTTTTATTATTATAATAAAAATTTAAATAAAAAATTAATATAGTATTTTTTTGTAATTATGTAATTTTTAAATATTTTCATATTACTTTAAAAATTATTTTTAAAAAATAAAAAATCTCACATCCTTTCTCACTCAAAATTTCACTATTTTGTATGAAAAAATTAAATGATGAATCCTTCATTCATATAAAACAAAATATCTAACCATGAAAGATCTTTCTACATTGTAAAGGATACTTACTCAGTTGATTGATTATGATTGCCATTGGCAGATATCAATTAAACAATTCCAGTAAATCCTTCTACTTTGGCTATAACTCTTTTTCTGAGATTCATCTGCTAATGTTATATCCTAATGCATTATACTCTCTTATTATATCCTCATTTTATAGGTTACGCAAGTACTGGCTAAAAGGAGATAAAGCTGGGACTTCAGAGATCTTCGCAATCCTCCCTGGTTTTCCGGACAACGTGAGAGTGAATGGAAATGGTGACTTTTGGGTGGCTCTCCATTGTAGAAGGAATATTTACATTTACCTGAATGCTATCTACCCAAAGATGAGAAAAGTCATAATCAAGCTACCTATTCCATTAACGATTCAATACATGATTCAAATTGGAGGTAGGTTCCATGCGGCAGTTGTTAAGTATAGCCCGGAAGGTAAACTCATGCGGATATTGGAGGACAGTAGGGGAAAAGTTGTCAGAGCAGTGAGCGAAGTGGAGGAGAAAGACGGCAAACTTTGGATTGGAAGTGTTCTTATGCCTTTTATTGCAGTTTACAACTTGCCATGAACAGAAAAAACAACAGATAGCCTTGAATTCCCTAAGATCACTTTATTTTACATTTTTACTTCCAGTAATAAATATAAATATATCTATCAAGTGACTTTTGAATGAACCAGTGCATGTTTAATTCAACTTATTTCGAGTAAATAATTACAGATTTTTACAGGGAAAAAAATGAAAAAAATAATCAATGGTTTTTTTGAAAATAATGTTTCCAAACATGCAATAAGTCTTTTAACTTCCTTCCGGTCGACTACATAATTTGAAAAACCAATTGTCTTGCAAGAATAAGTGAGAACAGTAAAGATCGAAAAAAAAGAAGTGCAAACAGAAAAACATCAGTTGCCTGGTCAGGGATGTCAGATTACAGTAAAGAATTATTTTATTTTTGTATTTCCATTCCTTCTTGAAAATCACTTATTGAATGGGAACATGTCTAGCAGAATGATTCCCTGCCTGCCTGGTTACAAAAAAACTTTTTGATCCCACTCACACAACCACCTATGAAACTGGAGTAACAGAAGTAATTGAATCTAAATACATATTTGCACTATGTAGTATGACGAGTAGACTAGATAAACTTTTGCTCACTCGTCCAGGACCTAAACCCACAAAGAAAATGATGAAGGAGATGAAAAAGAGCAAAACAAAAATGTGGGAAAATCACACCGGTAGCAGCTGGCTATAATCCATGCAAGCAAGATGGCCTTCATATTTGATTTTTTACATCTATAAGATCTCCACTGCATCTGCATCAACGCATGCATAAGCAATATGTAAATAGGCATATTGAAGGAAATTAAGGTAAAAACCAGAACTAGGCAAGACAAATGATAAACAAAAGAAACAGATAAACTGTCATACATGAACACAAGAAATATATTATAATCGGATCAATTCATAGTTATCGAGTAAATGAGATAATAAGTAATAATCTCACATTGTTTTCAGGAATCTTAGTAGCTAGAGAAATGTGGGCTTCTTCATTGACAATAGGCGAGTCTAGAATGCTGTCCAAAGGTTCCAAGCATCCAGCACGCTGCTTCCAGCAATTTTCCTGCAAGTGACATTTCATATAATCAGTTATAAAGTATCACTGAAATTTAACTAAAAGAAAGCTTAGAAAAACATACAAATTTTTACACTCGATCCAAGACTTTAATTTAACTTATATATAATAATTAATAAAGTAATAAATTATAACATATTAAATATAAGTTAAATGAAATGTTTAGATTGATGGTAAGAATTCTTAATATATATATATATTAAGAATGCAAAAAAAAAATAAAGACGAGTATGCATAAATACGTAGTTTTAACACATGGACATGGATTGATTACAGTTGAAGATATTTAATAGCTAGGCAAGCTAATTTTGTTAACATTCCACATTCCGTAGGCGTATTTTATTATCAGCACCAGCTATGTCTTGCATCTACTCTAAAAAGATCACATCAAAGGCAACCCAGAAATTCTCAACCCGTTTTCTAGTTTAAAACCCCCCACCTTCTTTTCACCTTTCAGAAACTTCACCTGACACGTAAATTTCTAATAGAAGGGAAAAAAACAAAAAGTTTAGCAATAGTATTTGCTTGTAACAAGAAGCAAAGTAATATAATTTCTTCGATCATAATGGGAAGCAATTACAATCCATATTCCCCGCATTTGTCTATATTAAGAATCCCCAATTCCTCACTCATCAAATCAACAACTTACGCCTGACACTAACATGTAAAAGAACCGACGTATTCCAAACGCCATATTGAAGAAAACTACTTTACACCTGTAACCCAATTAAGTAAATTTTCTGCCCAAAAGGAAGCCAAGGTTACATTGAACACAACCAATACTAATATTAATCTTAACTTCAACTCGCTTGTCCAAATTTACCACCACACAAACTGAAAATAACGATGTAACCCAATAAAAAAAGCTAACCAAAACCAGAACAAGACCATCCACACAATACAAATCCCCATTTACTAAAACAAAAAGAGAGAAAAATCCACTCAGCCAAACACATCATTATCACCTTGTTTTTCTTTTTCCAAATTGCGAGTACAACACAAACAAACAACAAAAGCAAGAATGAGAGAAAAGGGGCACAAGTAACGTACCTCTCCTGTGCTTAACAACTTTGGCGGGTTGACCCGTTCGGGTAGCGGGTTTAACCCGCTCTGCTTCCTCCTCCATCGGAAACAAAACCCCATCAATCCCCTGAACCGAGATCCGACCGTCCGTATAGATATCCGGGTCGAACAAATAAGCCGACCCGTCACCATACCCGAATTTAACCGATCCATCGGCTTCCTGAGCCACCACCTTGTGCGGCAAACGCAGCGTGTCGTAACGAACCTTCCCGAACCTTCGAACTGCATTGTACATGCTCTCTTCCGTCTGGTACTCCGGTATCAGGTGATAGTACATTATCTGCTCCGGCGCACCCGGTTCACTCAACTGCTCCGTCGTCAACTTTGCCATGGCCTCGTCGTTTGGTGCCAAAACAGTGAGAACGTAACCCTCCGACACTAACCGACCCATTTCCGTAGCTAACGACGTTAGATTCACTAGAATGTCGGCCATTTCGTTGTACCCGCCGTAATGAAGCAGCGTCTGAATGAAATCCTTTACTTGCCTCTCGCCGTTGAAGTGGTGGTGCGGCCCTCCCGGTCCCGGCGCCGGAGCCGGAGCCAGTGACGGTCCCGGAGCCATGGCGTCGTAGATCGGCAACACCGGCGGAGAACCGGGCTTCGCCGGCGGGGGAAGCTTCTTGTGACGTTGAGTCCTCGGGTCAACCTCCGGGGCTCCCTCCGGTTTAACGGCGGTGATGGAACGGAGGCTCCGGCGACGGTTGAATTCGTCCTCGACGGAGCGAGGAACGAGGAGACGCTCGATCCCATGGATGACTCCGTCGGGTCGGGTCATAACATTCGGGTGGGTGACCTTGGCCAGGTCGACGGTCCATTCTCCGGTGGTGGTGTTTCTGGCCAAATACAGGTGGTGATTGGAGAGCGTGACGTGGCGGGTTAATTCGGATAGGGTTTTGGATCCGATTTGGGTGGGGATGATGTGGAAGAGAAGAAGCGTTTGGAGTGAGTTGAGATTAGCAGGTTCAAGAAGAAAGCGTTTGAAATCAGGGTCGAGGTTGCGGTCTAGAGCTTCGTTCGTGGGAGCGAAGATTGTGATGTTGTGTGTAGCGACGGTGTCTTCAAGCGTTTGCAATAGCATGGCCTTTTCGACGAGTTCTGCGAGTTCAGTGTAATGCGAGTCAAGAAGAGCCACTAGAACTGAATTTGAGTTAATCTGACCCGTCGGTGAGGAAGAAGAAGAAGTGACCCGCAGCTTTGGGTTTTCCGATAATGCTTGCGAAAGGAGGAAGAGGAACAGAAGATGAGTGCAGATTGAGACGCCATAGATGCGGCAATCCATGGCCACCTCTACCACAGAATGCGTTGGAATGGAATGGAATCAACACTTGACTTCGACACTATCTTACAGCGCAGAGACAGAGAAAATATAACACCAACTCTATCGTGTTGTGTTGTGAATAATTACTGGTTTTGCTCATGTGGGGTTGGCTTTTGTTTACGTTTGGTGGGTAAATAACAAGAATAATATTAAATACAAATTAACGGTTCTTGTTCGCAAGAGTTAAACTAGTAATTAAGGTATTTAATCACGTAGTTTTAGGTTTAATTTCATAATTTTTATGTATGAAAGATATGATTGAGAGAGACTTTCATTTTTTACTACGACTACATGTAATTTTATATTTAATATTTATATTATGACATAATCAAATAGTTGAAATTGGAATTTGTGAAGGTGGCGGCACAGTTTAGCGCCTAGTTAAATAACCCAACCTGAATGTGTCGGTTGCATTGGGAAAAGAGTAGCACGTGGCGAGTGTAGATTGGAAGAAAGGGAAGAATGAGACAGGGTAAGAATGGGGTCCAGTAGACAGCTACACGAAGGTGGAGCATGAGCATTAAACGGTGGTTGGAAAATTAGATGAGGGGAAAACCTTGTTTAATTAGGTAGCTACCAATGGTACTACGCACTTGTGTAGAGCTGAGCAAGATCTTTGCATCAGGGACACACCCAAGCTCATGAAGAAAAATATTGTCACGTATGCTTATTTTCCTGGAATGACACTAGTAGTTGTTAAATACTTTGGAGGGATATAAGTCTATTTATATTTTGGGATAGATGCATAGCCTATTAATCAATATCTTTCCAATGTTGTTAGCTCCTCTCTGAGATTAATATAATATAAGAAGCAAATTAAACATAAAGTGAAAAATAGTACATAGAATAGGGTGAGGTTTAGAAGCAAACACAGAGATGGGGTAGAGAAATGTGAAAGTCAAGTCATTGATGCAGAGCTCTTTTGCCCTTTTTCAAGTGATATAACAATGACCTGCGTTAGGAGTGCGACTTTTTCCCCACCGTCGGGCTGTTTAATTTTATCTTCCCATAAAGTTTTCTTTTATAATGATAAATATTCTATACCTTTAAATAATTAATAAAAGTGCTTCATAATTTTAATAAACAAAACATAACTGTTTTAATATTTAAACGATACCCCCCATAAACTTTTACAAATAAATATCTTAAATATAAAATAAAATATTTGAAATATTTTATTAAATAACAAAATAAAAACCATTCACAGGCCAATAGGTAAGAAGAAAAAATATTGAGAACGCTGAACTAACTCCAAAAATAGCATTGTTACGAAATAATGAATGTTAGCTTTAAATATTATTTAAATTGTTAAAATATAAAATATATATGCATGACAATTCTATATAATTATATATTCTTCAATTTTAATTATAATTATTTATTTATAATTAAAATTAGGTAGTAAAGTCTATAAAAACTTCGCACAACCAATGTTACGAAAAGGAGGGGTGTGAGAATTGTTTTTTTTACGGATCATTTTTATTTCAATGAATAAGAATATAAAAATTTAAATATACTATATTAATATTTTTTAATTTCTCAATTTTAAATCATTATAAAAATTATTTTTTTATTTTTTTCTCCTACTTTTATCAATATAAATAATATATTTATTTATTTATTTTATGTTATCCCTGGTCTAACGAGACATGTAATATCATGATTTTAGTAGTGTAATATTTTTTTCAATCTTATTTACAATAAATGTCTATTATATTTTTTAAAAATATACAAAATAAAAAGGATTTTTATATGTACTGGTTATTAATTTGTTTATAAATTATTATTTATTATGGGAATTGAATTAACAATATACTTTTATTTAATACATAAGTTATCAATTAGATAATTTATTGTTTGTTTTTAAAATTTATTATAAATTTATAATATATTATTGTTTTTGTTAAATTTAATAAACTAATTATTTATTCCTTATACAAATTAAAACATAGTTGTATTTAATGAAATTCAAATTTAAGGCCACAAATTAAGCTGAAATAATCTTTTATTAATTGATTCAAGTAGTGATTCTATATTATTAAATAATATACATTTAGATAATAAAAAATGTGTTAATAGAATACTCTAAAATTTTGATTATATAAATTTTATATTAAATAAAAATAATTTCAAATAATATAATTTAAAAAAATTTAAAACTTTATTTATTATACTTAATATTTTTTAATATATATTCAAAATTTCTCTCAGTTTAAAATAATTTTTATTATTAATTTATATGATGCGAGAATTTTAAAATTCTTGGGCTGCTACTCGGTTCTGGTTCTGTTATTTAAATTATCAAATTTTAATACGTTATTATTATTTTTATTTATTATATATATATAAGCATTTTAAAAACATATCAAAGAGTAGCACACGACAATTCATAGGGCACTGTTGCGTCACACTTTTGCTGTGCAATGGCGCGCGTGCTTTGGTTAGACTCCACTGTTTGACTTTTCATCCAATATTGTCGGTGGCTTTAAATCTAAATCATATTTTTTTTCAAAAAAACCACTTTGATTTATGTTTGCAAGTTAAAAATATTTTGCTTTATTTAAAATAAAAAAATTAATGTTTTTCTTATATTAAATATATTTATTTTAAATTTAATATTTTAATAAAATATTAGAAAAATACAGTATTGTAAGAAGTTTATTACTCTTTTTAAAATTTCAGTATTTGCTACTATTATTATTTGTAACTTCGAGAACATATTTAATAGTATATTTGAATTTATGTCACGTTTATTTTAACATTGAATTTACATGAATAAACTCTACATAATCATATTCTACCTTAAAATTATGTTTATAAATTTTTTAACACATTTTAAAACACACACTTATGTATTGCTGGAAAACAGTTTGCATTCACCAAAACGCCATTCCAAAATTACGTTATAGTCCTTTCTAATAAAGAAATTTCATCTGGACTATACAGACCTTAGCTTCTCAATTTAATGTCAAATTAGTGTATGCCCAACAATAGAAAATGTTAATAACATTTTCTTGATATAAAAATTTTAAAAAAATTATTACTTAAATTTATTATAAATCATTATAAAAATAATGCGAGTCTCATTCTTAATTTTATTATCATTTTTATATTGTTTAATAAATTACAACTAATACTTAAAAGTGTGTTAGAAAGAAAATATTAGATAGTATTTTGCTAACACTATTTTGGAAAACAATTATTTATAATTTTTTTATAAAAATCATCTAAAAATTAATTTTAAAAAAATAAAATGAATCAAATATGTTATTAAATGTTGATATATTAATTTTATAAAATATGTTAAATATGTTTTGAGTAGATATAAAATTATAAATTTTGATTTTAGTCTATAATTAAATTTTATTTTTTAGTCATTATATTTAACAAAAGTATTGTATTTTTTTTTTATCCTTCATCAGAGAAAAAACACGTGTTTATATTTTCTAGGGACTATGAATAATTAAAATTAATAATTTTATAAGAACTAAAAAAATGTTTAATACTATAAAATATTTTATTCTATATATCATATAAAGATATATAAATAAACCTTAAAAAATGTAAAATTTGGTTAAGTATCGTATATGATAGTCAAACTTAATTAATTAATAATAATGTATTATTTAAAGAGTAAGAAAAACTACACTAATAATATCTCAAAATTAAATCTCGATAGTATCGTAAAAAAAAATGTGTTCCTTTCTGTCCTTCCTTCCCCGAATTGGCCTTGACATGGACACTGTTGACTATAGGAAGGAAATGAATGTATAAACGTATTCGTAACGGAGCACATATTTACGAGATTACCTAATTTCGGATGCAGATAATATATATATATAATTTTATATAATTTATATATTTATAAATATGTTATCTAAAATTTAATATTTATTTATATTAAAAAATATATTACATATTAAAATAAAGTAACACGATAAATTATTTATTAATTTTATATTTTTATAAAATTTATTTATTTAATAAGAATCTATAAAAGAATTATTGAATAAAATTCAATTTTAATGTATTTCTAAAAACCATTAGTATAAAAAATAAATAATTTTGTTCAGGAGTTAAAAGGAGTTTATTTTTATAAATTTTTGAAAATTTAAATAAAAAATATTTTAAAAAATTTTAAATAGCCTAGAATATAAGTGCAGTATTAGATGGCTAGAATATTTTTAAAATTTTTAAATGCCTCGTAAAGTATTAGAACGCCATATTATATCAAATGTAATATTTATGAAAAGAAAGTAGCAACGAATAAGAGCATTGAAGAGTGTATTTGATTTTTCAATACTTTCTGAAAAACAAGCGTCAGATTATTGTTCAACAAAAAACCAAACAGACATGAAATTTTTTCTTAAATAATTTAACTTTTATTATGTATATGAAAAAACAAAGTACTTATTGGGCGTGGCATGAATGATTGTGCGGGGATACATTTGGCCACTTGGACTGATAATCATAAATTGGTGTGTAAGTTTGATGTATAAGATAAGGAAAAAAACATTCACATTCCTTAAACTTCTTGAATTTTTGTTTCCTTAACTGTCCCTAAACATTAATTATTACTCTAATAAATCATTCTTTTGAACTTTCGTTATTATCAGAAGTGGTATTTGGCTAAATCTAAACGTTTCATCTCAATAAAATCACCACTCTCATTTTTAAAATTTAAACACTATTACCAATATAAAATTTAGTTAGCCTGTGCTAAATTAGAAAAACATTTCCAACAAAACCGGAGATGGTTTTTACTTTTCCATAATTTGGGAGATGGTTTTTGGCAGTTAATTTGAAGCACAACCGGAGACTCCAATTTTACAGAGACTGTGTGAAATGGAATTCGCCAATTGAAAGCATGAATGCAAAAATAAAATTCTCGCAGGGTGACAAATAACCAGTCCATCGTTGAACAAATAAAAAATAGTTCACCAAATCAAATATTTTAACTAGTAAGTACCATTAAACTATGATCTTAAAAATAAAAGGTCAGATTAAAAAGTCAGTGAACAATTCGCTAGATGGATTCAAATTTATTAAAAAATTTGTTAACCTCAGCTAATATTTATTATATTTTTATAATTTTAATATAATAATTGTCCTTTTTTTATAATTTTTTTTTATTTATAGATACTTAAACTATTAAACTTCGTTTATTAAAACAAGCAGGAACAACACCCGTCCACCAAACCATGGAATAGTTTTGCACTAATATTCACCTTATTTAATATATAATAATAAAATTACGTTGAGAGAATAAAATGTGAAAAGCCAACATCCTTAAAAATTCGAATCCTGTATCGTAAACTGAATTGTATCAAAAAATACCACCACAAATCTGGTGCAAATTAATTTATATAGCACCTTTTAAGGAAGCCAAATTTTATACAATTTAGCAATGGATATTTACATAATTTAATTTTTATTAACTGCGTTAATCCCTTTATATTAATTGAGGGTTTCACTTAGCTAAACTTATTGCATTTTAATATAGTTTGATATGTTATATGATATTTAAAACAGAGTTGAGTTATTCCCTATTTAATGATTAGTGAATTTTTGGACGATAATCAATGACCAATTCCAGACGGATGTAGTTTAACATTACTTTAAACAAACTTCAAAATTTTAGGGGAGAATTATGCGCGACAATCTTGGAAGATGAGACACATCCTAGACAGCTACGTTTTAGTATAGTATATGCATCGGAAGATGCCGACTTCTCTGCCACCAATCCCCCTCCCCTAAGCAGCACCTTGTCCGTAAAAATCTTGGGATTAAATCCTGAACAAGCAGCGAACAAATAGCATCCAATCTCCTCAAATTGCGATAAAGAGCAATCGCTCAAACATTTTCAACAAATGACTTGATGCCCCAAATGACGGGAAGTTTGAGAACAGCCAAGATGGTTAGCAGAACAAAAGGTAGCATGCTGCAGTTGGGGTAGCAATTGACCACTAATAAAGTAGAATGCATGATAATGATTGTTTCACAATCAAACAGAATTTTCAGCGAATGACTTTGTTCCCTTATTAATTGTAATAAGTTTAAATACGGTGATTTTTCTCTAGAAGTAGAAGAAAGAAACACAGTAGTGCATGTAAGATTATCTGAGGAATATCTATAAATAAGTTTACAAGGTGAATATACAATCATATATAGGTTCCTAAGTTTCAAACAAGAGAGTCCACCGCTGTCTTTTAAGTTCTTTATTTCCAACATCACAATTGTTGGTCATCCTTCTGCAGGCCAATGGATTATCACTTGCCTGGCCTGCGCCAGCCAATAGGCAATGCATCACATCCATGGAATTTTATATCCCACAATGGGAAATTCTATTTCTACCTGATAGCAAAGAAACATAATTCAGCACGACGTTCTTAACAACCCTCAATCGGGTAAACAAATAGCACAAGCAAGCAATATCAATGCAGAGAAAGAAATGTCATGATATAACTAGAGCTAATGAGAGAAAGAAGATTTAATGAGAGAAAGAAGATTTCCAACTCCACAAAAATGGATTATCAAATATCTGACATGCTCAACGAACTCCATATCAATCTTCCTGCCCAAACATTATCAAGTACTCATTTTATAACAAATTTCTGTATAATTGAAATTTTACCTTTTGAACAAAACAAATATCAGAGTTCATGCAATTCCTTCTATATGCTTAATTTGAACTGGAGCCTGCAGCACAAGAACTTTTTGTGTTGTTGTCTTTCAAAATACCATCCCCTTCAGTGCCTGCCAAAGGATGATCATTAGATCCCTGAACTGAACCATCCTCTAAATTATTGGGAGTAGAATTGCTATTGCTTCTATTCCTGTCTCCAGTCTCCAGGTGTTCCATCATGCGCGTTGCGGTTGCAATCCCTGCATTAACTTCTGGCCTAACTTCGGATCCAATATCAGACATAGAGGTGTTACGAGAGAACCATCTCTCCTTCCACCCTCTTGTGCTCTTGGAAATTGACTCCTTGTATCTGAAAGACGTGAAAATTTCTAGTTAAAGTAGAAGTCCTCAATTGTACTGTACCACAGCTACATGCTACATAGGATAGTCCCTATATCCACTACCTTGTTGACACAGCATTCAGTTTAGATTTCAGTGATTCTGAAAAAGACTGGAATTCTGATGGCCCTGCTCTATCTTGACTACTGGGAGATGACTGATTAGGAGATCTCCTGTTTGATATTTCAGATGTAACAGTTGAGAACATCTCAAGCTAAAAAACTAGGCAAATATGAGTTCATAAACATTTAAAAATAATGTTTCACAAATTCAAAATGAAAAACAATGATTACCTATTGTTGTAAGATGATCCCTGATTATCTGTAGCAAGAGCAGTAGATCCAGATCCTGAAGCAGAAACTTGGTCCACTTGAACAGAAGGAACTAAAGTCAGCTGTGATGATTCTTCTCCAGTAGTAAGAATTGGAGATGGATTGCCAACAGCAATTGCAGGAGTTGGTTCATCATCCCCCCTATGAGTAGGAGAGGATGAAGTAGGAGCCATGGGAGGTGAATTAGGATGAGTTGAAAAAACCAAAAAATGAGGACGACCTTGAGCTGATGACCTGTTTCTTTGGCCTTCCCTTCTAGCAATGTGGCGTGCCCGTCCCATCGCTGCTGCAGCAGCCAAGTGTTGGATTATACGCTCTTCAAGATCAGCATCATTAGCTCCAACTGGCAACTGCATGAGAGCTCAAAAATCACAAAATGCATGATAGTAAAAAATGCTTCCAAACTAGCATAAGTAGATACTACAAACATGTTGTAACTCAAAATCCCCTAGAGTTGGATGATGAAATATTGTGGCATTTCTAGCTGGATTGAACCTAAAGTTCCTCTCTCTTTCCACCGCCTCAAGCAAGTCTTGACTGCAAATACAAAACAAAAGCACGTAAATATATGTCAAAAACAAATAGGAGCCACAGTATAAAATAAGCATGAAAACAACAAACCTTGTTGGATCTTTGAGACTGATAGGTTGCCAACACATGGGGCACTGGGAGCTTCTCTGACACCTACAAGACAAAGGCAATCTCTCCATACTTTGTCAAAAGATTCAAACAAGTGACTGCAGCGGCTGGCACAGAATTAGCTTATGCTTATTCCCAAGAAACTGTCATCACTTCTCCAGTAAAAGAAATTCATGAAAATAAAGAATGTTATACCACAAACAAGGAGGAAAGGTGAAAATATGTATATCACATATTTGTGACTCCCAACAGGAGCACGTTAGCAAAGAAATGTCGATATCTACAGACTTCAAAAATCATAGTATCAATACTTAACAGTCAAAACTAAATGCAACTTTAAGTCATCAAACACGAATCAGAACACCGCCAAACAAATTTTTTTTATTTAGAGAAACATGCCACTAGAACAATGAGTTGGATGAAACCCAAGCGCAAAGCAAGTTTACTTGGAAAAAGGATCCACATGAGTAACAACTGTATAACACTAGAAATTTTGATTCTGGAATGCCACTAATAAGTTCCTGTAATTCCCTGGACACTGTTGAATGTTACCCAATAATGGGAAAACATATTTATCAGTGTAAAAACAACATGTAAACTGATGAAGTTAAGGCCCTCTTGGTTTAGGGTCTATAATATAAAGTTTGTTGGGAATGACACCTGACTTGATACTCCGATAAGTGAGAACCTTGAATAACTAGAAAAATTAATACAGCGCCTCAAACAATGATGATATAATGAGTTCAAGGAACATGTCATGGGTTATCGACTTCAGCCCTGAGAAGCATTGGCAGTGGAAAACTAAAGCAACGGATTCAAGCCTGCATATCAATGTTTTTTACTTGCTAAAACCAAGGCCAGTGATAGTAGAACTCCACAATCATGAACATTTCCTACTTCGAACTTTAAAGAAAGAACTTCAATCCCATGGATTAAACTCTTAATGCTTTCTCCTGCATCTTATAGTTATATCTCATTTGAAATTGAGCTTTAGTCTTATCGTGACTTCTTTGGAGTTTAGAAGGCATGTTTTCCTTTAAAATCCGGAAAAATATATTTACAAAAAACTTTATCAAGGAAGCCTTCTTTCAGTGACACTATGTTGCAACAATAACAAGCAAGCAAAACACCCATCATTATCAACCACCACTGCACAATCAAAAGTAATCCCCAAGACTGAATCAATAAATACCATAAACGAAGCCAAATAGCAATACCATTCCAGAATACACTGAAGATGAAACTCATGCTTGCAACTTGTCACCTGCAAGAACAACAGAAGCAGCTTGATCATAAGGGTCGACACTCGACACACAATCATCACTACCTCAGCAGCTAAACTAAGACAAATAGAGTAGTACCGTGGAAGGATCACTATCACAAAAGGCCTCAAGGCATATGCTGCAAGCATCATCACAAGCATCCTGAATTCCACCCTCCACAAAAGCAGCAGCAGAAGTCAAATGCGCCTCAGACTTAGTATTATCATTATTCTCTTCAATCACAGAACCCTACAAAATGAAAAGCACTTAGAAATCCACACAAACAACAACGCTCCTAAAAAATCAAACCAAATAATCAATAATCAAAACACACCGCCACACAAAAAAGATCCACCGGAACAAAATACAAAAAAAAAAAAAAAACAAACAATCCGCCACAAGAAATCAGATCAAATTAAGAATCACACAGCAGAAACAAGTTCCTTAAACAAAAACGACATAAAAAAAAAAAGAGGAAAAAAAAATCTCAGTAAAGAACAAAGGAGTAATTGAAACGGCGTTACCTCCATGGAGAATTGCGGGATGAGGTTGGCAAATCGAGATTCGATTGAAGGAAACCCTAACGGGTGTGTGTGAGAGAAAGAGAGAGAGTGAGGTTTTGTGTGGTGCTGTGTGAAGTGAGTGTGTGGGTGCAGAGAAAGGGGAAAGGAAGAAAGAGGGTTAATGGTATTACCCTTTGTTTCCTTTATGTTTTACTTTTTGGAAGAAACCAACCACCGAGTCAGCTAACCATACCTTAACTCGCTCTTCCTCCTCTCCTCTCTATGCTTTCGACACGTGCCATTCTCAAGGAATCTCTTTGACGAGTCTTTCACCATACGCGTCCTTCTCTTATGCCTCATCTCATCAACTTGCATCGCATTACGGTATATCGAATCATGCACCAGTTCTTTTTTATTTTATATTCATTCATTCAGTACTTTTCGTTTAATTGATTCACCTTTTTTTAACAAAAATTAGTCAATTCAAAATAACCTAATCTGATCATGACCAATTTTATTTAGTTTGGATCGTTAATGTAAATCAAAGGATAATTACTTTTTTTTAGTATTTCTTATTATCCATTCTTTGATCACGATCCAGTTATTTTTTTATCACGATTCTTACTTTAGTTAAAATGTAAATTGTTATATTTTTAAAAGGTTTTATTATTATCCATTATTTCTTATTAATAAAATTACATTTTTCTTCTCTGACTTATTGATTTTTTACAAAAATATAATGACAAAATTAGATAATATATATAACAAAAAATGTAGCTATATAATAATTTAAGCAATAGCTGGTTTATCATTATAAGTGAGAAAAGGTAAAGGTTAAGTACTAAAATAAAATAAAAAATTCACACTTCTGGAAGCTGATTTTAAAATAAAAAAGTATATAATTTTATAAAATAATTTAAACTCAAAACTACAAATTAAACTAAAATAACCTTTAACAGTTAACTTACTTTTAAAACTTGAAGTTGCAAGTCAGAAAACATAAACCTACAAATCAAGCTAATAGTAATTAATTAAAATTAAAATTACAATAGTATACAAGCTTTGCTTCTTACACCCTACCACCACACCGACACATAACACACCAACCAAACTTGTGTCATGATTCTTAAGGCTCGGTTGTTGTTGTAAAAATCTTTTTACTCATTTAATTTTAACCATGTCAATGAACCTAGAATAAACTGATATTTGCTTTTTATATTTTCTTGCTGAATGCATGATATTAATTCGTCAGATGAACCGGACAAATGAACTTACCATTATTAAATTAGGGATTGATATATTCCTCACATTTATACATGCAGGACTGCGTGAGACAGACAACTTTTATAGTTTTAGTCCAGTTTCTGGGAACGTTGCATATGCATATTTATCAAATATAGTTTTCATAGCGAAATTAGAGTTATAGTATCTCACGTGATTTGAATATGAACATTTTAGGCATCACTGAGGAAACCGTAATCGCTTCAGTTCCAATTCGAAGTTGTGACTTGTGATGGCGTAATAAGCATATGCGATTTTTGCCCAAATTAATAGGGTATCGACCGTTGACCGCGTGTGAGAATAATTCCAAACATGCTACAGTTAATCAAAGACTAAGACCCCCTTTATTACAATAAATAAGATATATCTACCTGTCATTACATTGCCAAAAACTTTTGAAGAAATTAGCTTATTCTTGAATATTCTGGAATAATACAGACGGAAATTATGACCCTTTCAAAAATAATGAAAGGGGTATAATCATAACCCAAATTTCAACCATAACAGTTGTCAACAAAAGTAATTAACCCCCAATCAACGTGTATTGAATAAATCCATTTTATTATTATTATAATTGAAAGAAAGTTTTAGTGAGAGGATTTTTAGAAAAGGATGTCTTTAAATACTCAAGTAGCATTTACAGAAACATTTATATATTATTTACTAAGAAAGACCTCGCAATAAACCTACAATTTAAATACAAATATTGATTTCAATTAATTAATAGCATATTTTTATTGGTTGCATTCCTAAATTTATAAATACGCTGATTTCATAAAAATAAATAAATCTAATTATGCTTTTAATCTACCTGTTTTAGTTTATTTATGGTTTTGATTATTTTATTTTAATTACTCACAATTAATACTCATAATTTTTAAACTAAGTGACTCGTGATAAAACTTCATCCATTAGTTAATAAAAATATACTATATCATTTTTTTATTTTTAGTATATTTTTATATAGTATATAAAATCATACTGTATCATTGATTTATACAAATATATATATATATATAGAATAAATAAAAAAATAAATTAGATTTTACGTGTTATATTTAAATTTTATACATTTTTACTTATTAGATTATACAAATTTCTCGTATGCCACAATTCTATCGCATTCTTTTTACTAATTATTGTATGAAATTTTAAGATAAGAGGATTTAACTTGATCATTAAAAAATAAATGCAAGTAATTAAAATTAAATAAACTAAAATTAAGTTAAAAAATGAAAAATGTGTTTAGTCCATCTTTATCATTTTAGATTAAATGAATTTCAAGTTGTTTGGATATTTCTAGCGACAAATTATAATATTTACTTGCTCCGTTGATATGTTGAATTTTTACGATAGCCAATTTGATTGATATATTGTTAAAGGATTTTATTAAAAGTATTAATCATAAAGTATATTTAGTGAAACGTATACACAATGATTAATGAAACAAAAGAGTAAAAATTTACTACTTCTGTGGAAAATCATAGAGTGAGACTAATATTTTGCTTGAAATAGGTTTGTCTAATTCTTAAACACCAAGCGTAAAATGCACATAATTAAGAAGCATCGGCCCTAAATATTGGAAGAGGGTTACATTAATCTGGGCATCAAATCATACACTTATCTTTTTAATAAACATTCATTAACGTTAATGAGAAAAGGGATCGCTAAGCTTGACTTGATATATAGAAGATATGATGCTTTGGTCCCTTTACTCACATATATAAGCTTTAATCAACAATGAAAATATGATCGAAGCTTATTAGTTTAAGGATAAGTATGTTAAACTTACTTTAATGAAAATTAATTTTCTGCAGTTAAACAGTTGAATTATTTTTTATTAAATAAATAATTATATACTTTAATAATTTATTGATAATTCACTGATTATTTTCATGAATATATATTTAAAATATAAAAACTTTAACTTTAAAATTGTATATTTACTGATATTCAATTTATTAAAAATTTCTTATCCATCATTAATACAATGATTTTATTGATAGGATAGGATTTGCATTTTCAGTTTTAATAATTCCTATTGTTTAGGAAATAGACTGTTATTTTGTTTATTACGTTAAGTTAAGAGCAAAATGTGGGCTGCAGTTTTTTTTTTTTGTAACCGTTGAGAAGGCTATTTATAAGTTAAAACTTATTGAATAATAATGAATTATTTCCCAAAATCGTTCTTTGTTTTTCTTTTAAAACTTTTGTTCTTAACATTCTGGTATCAAGAGCCCCCACTGGGCCTGATAAAACAAAGCAACAGTCTTTGTAGTTTACAACAGCAACAAAAGAGATGGCAACTGAGAGTAGTTTTGTGCAACCATCGATCCCTCGCTTTGATGGTTATTATGATCATTGGACGATGTTGATGGAAAATTTCTTGCACTCCAAAGAATGCTGGAGCTTGATTGAAACAGGCTATGTTGAGCCCGAGAAAGGAGTGGAGCAATCAGAAGCACAACGCAAGAGGCTGGGGGATTTGAAGCTGAAAGATCTGAAAGTGAAGAATTATCTCTTTCAGGCTATTGATCGGATGATATTGGAGACCATACTTGTGAAGAACACTTCCAAACAAATTTGGGAGTCTATGAAAAGGAAGTTTGAAGGGAATGCTAGAGTTAAGAGGTCTCATTTACAGGCTCTCCAAAAGGAATTTGAAACTCTAGAAATGAAGGTTGGAGAAGGAGTCACAAAGTATTTTTCAACAATGCTGATTGTGGCAAACAAAATGAAAACATATGGAGAACAAATGCAAGATGTCACAGTGGTGGAGAAAATTCTTAGATCGTTGAGTGAAAAGTTTAACTATGTTGTTTGCTCAATTGAGGAATCCAAAGACATAGATCAACTTTCTATTGATGAATTGCAGAGTTCTCTAATGGTTCATGAAAAAAAGTTTACCAAACACAGCGGAGAAGAGCAGACCTTGAAGGTGAACATGAAGGAACGAGAGGTTGTGGACGTGAACTTTTAGAGGAAGAGGAAGGGGACGTGGTCAAATAGCTTTTAATAAAGCTATAGTGGAGTGTTATAAATGTCATCAACTTGGACATTTTCAAAATGAATGCCCAACTTTGAATAAAGAAGCTAACTATGCAGAGCACGAGAAAGAAGAAGAAATGTTGCTTATGTCCTATATGGATGTAAATGAAACCCGAAGTAAAGATGCATGGTTTCTAGACTCTGGTTGCAGCAATCATATGTGCGAAGATAAGACTTTGTTTTGTGATCTTAATGAAAATTTCAGGCAGATTGTGAAGCTAGGAAATAATTCAAAGATTCAGTGTTAGGAAAGGGTAATGTGAGGTTGAAGGTGAACGACCTCACTCATGTAGTGACTGAGGTGTTCTATGTGCCAGAATTGAAGAACAACCTTTTGAGTATTGGACAACTACAAGAAAAAGGCTTGTCTATTTTAATTCAAAATGGTAGTTGCAAGATATATCATCCGAAGAAAGGTCTTGTAATACAAACTGGAATGACCACAAATCGGATGTTCACACTAACTGCAGTATCGATGCCTCAAAAGCCTACTTGCTTCTATACAATAGTGCATGAATTAGCTCATTTATGACATTGCAGGTACGGTTACTTAAGTCACAAAGGACTAAGAACACTTCAGTATAAGAAAATGGTACATGGCCTTCCTTAACTCAAATCTCCAACCAATGTGTGCACTGTTTGTATGATTGGGAAACAACACCGAGATCCTATTCCAAAGAAGGCAAACTGGAGAGCTACACAAAAACTTCAACTCATTCATGCTGATATTTGCGGACCTATCTCACCCATCTCAAACAGCAAAAAAAGGTACCTCATATGCTATTGATGACTTCACTAGGAAAACATGGATTTATTTCATGGTTGAGAAATCTGAGGCTTTAATTGTTTCTAAACAATATAAGAATTATGTTGAGAAGGAATCTGGTTGTTCTATAAAGTGTCTACATATTGATCGAGGTGGAGAGTTTATTTCTTTGGAGTTTAATGATTTTTGCAAGGAACAGGAAATTAAGAGGCAGCTGACAACAGCTTATGCACCACAACAGAACATAGTTGCCAAAAGAAAAAATCAAACTATTATGAATGTGGTTAGATGCATGTTATCTGAAAAGAAGGTTCCTAAGATTTTTTGGCCTGAAGCTGTGAATTGGACAGGATATGTTCTAAACAGAAGTCTCACTCTAGCCGTGAAGAATATGACTCCTGAAGAAGCCTGGAGTGGAAGCAAGCCCTCAGTTGAACACTTCAGAATATTTGGATGTGTGGCACATGTGTATATACCTGATGTGAAGAGAACTAAGCTGCAAGATAAGAGTTTTTCATGTGTCTTTTTTGGAGTAAGTGAGGAGTCTAAAGCATATAGACTATTTGACCCAAGAGCAAAAAAGATTGTCATTAGTAGGGACGTGGTGTTTGAGGAAGACAAGCCATGGAATTGGGATAGAAGCTATGATGAGCAAGTTCTGGTCAACTTGGAATGTGGTGACAACGAAGATATAACTATGGTGGATGACGAAAGGAATGAAGTTGAGAATGAAGAAAATGAAGAGGTCACTAGAGAGATGGGGGTCAACTCTTCCAATTTAGAAAATATAGTTGTGTCATCCGATACCAATGAAGCAAGGATTTGTCGTGCTCCAGTGTGGATGAGAGATTATATAAGTGATAAAGTCTTCTAGAGGAAGAAGTTGAAGCTAATTTAGCAATGCTTACTCCCACTGATCCAATACACTTTGAAGAAGCTGTGAAATATGAGAAATGGAGGGCAGTTATGGATTCTGAAATGGATGCTATAAAAAGAAATGACACATGGCAACTCACTGAATTACCAGCTGGTGCAAAGAAAATTGGGGTTAAATGGGTCTACAAGACTAAGCTGAAGGAGAATGGAGAGATAGATAAGCATAAGGCTCGATTAGTGGCAAAAGGTTATGCACAACAACAGGGAATTGATTATGATGAGGTGTTTGCACCTGTTGCAAGAATGGATATAGTGAGGATAATTATAGCACTTGCAGCACAAAAAGGATGGACAGTCTACCAACTTGATGTGAAATCTGCATTTTTGCATGGGGAACTAAATGATGAAGTATATGTAGAGCAACCTAAAGGTTATGTACAAAAAGATGATCCTCAAAAAGTCTACAAGTTAAAGAAAACTTTGTATGGACTTAAACAAGCTCCACGAGCTTGGTTTAGTCGTATTGAGGCTCATTTCATGAGTGAAGGCTTCACGAGATGCCATAATGAATACACTCTGTTCACCAAAACCAGCAAAGACAAAATTTTGATTGTCAGTTTGTATGTAGATGACCTTATATTCACTGACAATGATGAGTTTATGTTTCTTGAGTTTAAAAATTCAATGGTGCATGAGTTTGGTATGACTGATATGGGGAGGATGAGGTATTTTCTTGGAGTTGAGGTACTGCAAAGGTCTGATGGTATTTATATCAGTCAAAGAAAGTATGCTTTGGAGGTGTACTAAAAAGATTTGGAATGGAAGGTTGTAACTCTGTACACAATCCAGTTGTTCCAGGTTTTAAATTATTTAAGGATGAGAATGGAGTCAAGGTGGATGAAACTTATTTCAAACAGGTTGTGGGGAGTTTGATGTATTTAACAACAACAAGACCTGATTTGATGTTTATTGTTAGTCTTATTAGCAGATATATGGGGAAGCCAACAAAATTGCATTTACAAGCTGCAAAAAGAGCTTTGAGGTATTTGAGTGAAACAACAAATTTTGGGATATTGATGAAAGTCTTATTGGCTATGCAGATAGCGATTATGTAGGGGACTTGAAAGATCGAAAAAGCTTATCAGGTTATGTGTTCATGTTCGGCTCAGGAGCTGTCGCTTGGTCCTAAAAAAAACAGTCCATTGTTACTCTCTCCACAACAAAAGTTGAGTTTGTAGCTGCTGCTTCTTGTGCTAGTCAAGCTATTTGGATGAAGAGAATTTTAGAAAAGTTGAGTCAGTCACAAAATAGGTATACAACTATATTCTGTGACAATAGCTCCACAATAAAGCTGTCAAAGAATCATGTATTGCATGGGCGCAACAAGCACATCGACATGCGGTTTCATTTTCTACGTGATCTCTCAAGAGAATGAACTGTTGAATTAGTTTATTGTGGTACACTGGAGCAGCTGGCTGACATAATGACTAAGCCACTCAAACTTGATGCCTTCCATAAGTTTAGAGTTAAGTTGGGAGTTGACAAAATTTCACAAGTAAACTAGATATTATTGACAACTAGTTTAAGGGAGGGATTGATAGGATAGGATTTGCATTTTCAGTTTTAATAATTTCTATTATTTAAGGAATAGGTTGTTATTTTGTTTACTACATTAAGTTAGGAGCAAAACGTGAACTGTAGTTTTTTTTTTTTTTTTTGTAATCGTTGAGAAGACTATTTATAAGCCAAAACTTATTGAATAATAATGAATTATCTCCCAAAATCGTTCTTTATTTTTTTTAAAAAAACTTTCGTTCTTAACATTTATATGATTTAATAGTTAGATTTATTACATTATATTTTATAAAAAAAACTATTAAACACCCAAAAAAAATCACAGAACTTACTCTTATTACGTGGGTTTCTCCCAAAAAAAATAGAAAGACTTACCTGTCATAACAAATAATTTTGAACGAGTGTCCATGCCATGTTCATTGCAGTCTTGTAGATTAATGAGCATTGTAACTGGGCAATTGATAATTGTAATGCCATCGTCCTTAATCTATATATAATCCTCGGCACTCTCTTGACCTCAAAATCCATGCACAAAACAATGTTCGACACAGAAGAAAAGCGCATGCAAAGCCAAATAATGATCCACAACAAATAATTGCAGTTTCAGAAAATCGTAAATTAAGAAGTTGTCTTAATGTTACCGCAATATTATTGTGGCGAAACGAATAAAAATACAAATCAAAAGTTGTACAAAGAACGAGAAAATTTGGGAAAACAGTAATCGCAACCACATTCCAATTCCATGTTCGTTGATGATTCTCATGCATATGCCTATAGAACGCGGGGAGATGAATTAATGTGACCCACATTTAAAAAGGTGTTTGAGTTGAGGGCCAATGAGATTGCAACACGTGTACCCAAAGACGGAGGCATTATCCCATACGATCACATTCCCCTTCCGGTTGCTGTTTGTGGCGCTGAGAATTGCTTCTCCAGAAGCCCGTTGAGTTGAACTGGGCCCACATCTCGTCTTCTAACTGAGAGGCCTCCAACTTCTCCTCCGAAATCTCCTTCTCAAACGGTTTCTCCAAAGTGGACCCATTAACATCCACGCAACTGGATTTGGGCCTGTTGTGATCCAACAAGGCCTCGTTCTTACTCTTCTTCGCTTGCAATAACCGTCGCTTTCTCGAGTGCATCGCTTTCTTAAACAGCCCTTTGGGCACCTTGTACGCTGCCAGCACCACCACGTCCATCACCGTGCACGGCACGCAGCAGCACACGGCCGCGCAGTCTGCCGTCGCGTTTCCCGCCACCTCGCCAACGCGTCGCCTCTCTCGGCGGCCGTTGACCGGCGGTGATCGCACGAGGACTTTCTGCTGCTGAGTCATTGAAGAAGGAAGAAGAAGAAAAAAAAAAAAAAAGGTGAAGAATAATGGTAAACTTAGGAAGTGGGAGGGAAGTGGGGTTTGCGGGAACGGCGGCGAATCATGTTGGTGTGGGAATGGTATCTATTCCGGCATGTCCATGAATTGCAACACAGAAGAAAAGAGGAATGAGGGATTTGAATTGGAAATGGTTGGGGGAGCTTAAAAGCAGGGATCGCCAGAATCGTAATATAGAGACTAGCAAAATATTTACTATAATTATAAACCACGTGTGCTGTTAATTGTTATTACTATTTATTGTTACTTTCCAAAGAAAAACCATTTAAGTTTTTAAATTAAAACAATTTTTATATATTGATTTCGTTGCCAAATGAAGTGTAATTGACTAATTAAAAGTGATCTTTCGGGTATTCCAATGGGGGAACTTACTATTGTTCTTAAAAATGCCAACGTTTTTTATTTGCTTTTGTCGTCTTCCACCCCTTCGCATATGCAAAATGATATCTATACTTTCATGGAAACGATTTTTTTTCCAATCACTATTCCCTTCCATACGATTAATCACAGCCATTGCAATTCTTAACATTGTCCAATCATGAACTCATATATATGACCTAGAAAAAACATTTATGCAAAACTTACTATACTTAGAGAAGTTATTTGTAAAATTAACTTGCTTTAAGAAATTCATATAATCATTTTCATATTTCCCATTCAGTTTGTTTATTTAAATCACTAAAACTAATACCGTATATAATTCTGTAATTTTTTTCTATCTTTCATTTATTTTTACGTATACATTTTTTAAAATACATTAAAAATATACAAGTGTCACTTTAAGTGATATACAAAACATTTTCCTTTTCTCTGCTCATCTGTATTGAGTTAGTAGTGAGTCTAAAGGGTGACACAAGCTTAGTGAAATATGAAAATATATTTGATTTCTCAGCGGATAAAGCATTAGCGAGTGAGAGTTTACATTGTTGGTTAAAATGAATACAGTTAAGCATAAACCAAATTTGTGTGTACGAGCTTCACATTTTAAAGACAGAGAGGGATTCGAAACAACTGTGCGTATAGAGACTTAATCTGATGTACGTTTGTACAAAAATAACTAGCATTTTTCTGTTTAGATGTCTAAGAATTCGTTTGAATGAGAAATCAAACACACTATAGCCTTAAAATGACGCCAAAAGAAACTCATTATTTATTAGTGTTGGTTTATTACAAAATCTTCATTATCTTACTTTAAGTGTCTTTTTTATAAAGATTTTTAGTTTAAAATTTCACACGAATAGCTAGCAATCTATCATATATACATGGTAGTGTGCCTTTAGGGGTTCCAAACTAAGCATTGGAACTGATATTTGATGCTTAGTGCAGAAGCACATCACCTTATCTGTGAGATGGTGTGTAGAAAATAAAACGAACTTAGTTATAACATTATTTTTTAAAAAAACACATTTATTTTTTATTAAAAGTAATTCTTTAATAGTTAACTAGCACTAAATTTTGTTTAGTGAAACTAAAAATTTGAAATTATAGATTAAGTTGAAATAATCATCTATTACTTAATAATTATAATATTATATAGTTATATAACAAAAAGTTATGTGTATAAATAAATTTTAATGCTTTTGAATTATTCAATTTGATAAGCGAAGATGGTAGTATATGAATACAAAATATGTCACCTCAGCAACAGACAAAGGGCCACCAGCATGTTCGAAAACTACCCAAAACAGAGTCGAGTTTGATTTTTTTTTACACAACTGATCAGCAAAACAAGACTTCCCAGCTGATTTTCCGAGCCGATGCGAAATAATCTGAATTTGAAAACCTTGCTGTGAAAAGTTAAAATAAATTATATAGAATGATTTATAATTTTTCACTTGTATGTTTGTAATTTCAAAATTTATAAATCATTTTATAAAACAATGTTGCTCATAAATTTAGTAATTGCAACTTTTCCCAGCTGTCACTACTAAACATTACCTTGCATTCAGTAGGGGGAAAATGCTTATAGCAATATAATTTGTAGATTCCGTTGCTCAGGAAATGTCTTATTATTAAATCAATACCCATTAATAGTTATTATGTAAATTATATGCATATTTTCTAAAAATTATCGTTATGGATAAATTAACTAAAATTATTCAATATAAAAGAATAAAATATTATTTATTACAAAGTAAAAGAAGTAACATATAATATATTATATTGAATAAAAAGATAAGTTTAACAAATTTATGAAAGTATATTTACAGATGAGGTAGTAGAATCTTTACTCTCACCTCATTCATGAAATGATTGCTAACAAATAGTTTGTCAACATTATTTCATTTGTTGTCAATTAATTACTGATAAGAATAGGAGAAAAATTTATAAATTCGTTGAATGCATCTTTTAAAAGGTACAATATTAAATATCATAGAGCAATGTTATTTTTCTTAAAAATGTCTCTATAAAGCGAAGAAAAAATTAAATAATTTTTACAATACTTTAAAAATTAAGAGAGTATTTTATACAATTTTTTATATAAAATAATCATAGCTGTTAATATTATATTATATTATATATATATAATAGATAGTAGAGATAAGTGACCTGTTTTAAAAAAACGTAAATATAATTTAATATTTAAATAATTATAACTGTGAAGTATATAAGATATCATTTTAAGTTTATAGCTACATTTTTAAGAACTAAAAAATTATAAGTAATTTATTTGAATGTGCAATTATTAGATCACATGTCCTATTTTAGTCTTCTCTGCCAATCTTTTAAAGTTTATATTGAATTGAGACACCGTCTATTATTTTAATATGACATTTGGTTCAAACATTCAGAAGAGAATAAATAAATTTTAATCACTTCCATTTTGAGTTGGAAGATTTGGAAGCAAAAGGAAGTGAAAGTAAAAAAGGATAAATATCTTCTACTTTATTATTCCCTCCCCACCAAAAATAGGAAAAATGAAGGGATATTCCAGTTTGATTTGAATATTATTTTTGGATAAAAATCATTTAATTGAACTCAATTCAATACAATATTAAATTAATGGACCAATTCAATCTAATTAAATGCATGTCAGATTGAATTAGATGATTTGATTTTGTAATTTTTATGTATGTACTTTTATTTCAAAATGCTAGCTAAAATATTACATTAATACATCAAATTTTAAATAGCACAAAATTTTCGATTTTTTTTTTGTCTAACTAACATTTTAATGACTAATTTGTTTTTTACACAACTTAAATATGTAAAAGTAATTGAATATAACTTAAGTTTGCATATGATAGGTGATAATGATATTTTAATCTTTTAACGCCTAAAAAGTTTTAAGACTTTTTTAATATTAGGATTAAATTTAAATATCTAAAATAAAATTTTCATTAAAAAATAATTTTATTATATTAAAATTACAAAAGCATGATAATTTTTTTCAATAAAAATGTAATATTATTAGTTTCTTCTATTCAATGATGAATTAAGGTTAGCTTCGTTTAATATAATTTCTTTTTTAAAATGAAGTAAGGTTAACATTTTTAAAAATTTAAAGGCTTTAAGCATCTTTAACATTTAACAGTAAATCGATGGCCATTGGTTCTTGTGACCACTTTCGTTACCTTCAAGCCATGGTTACTTGATTTTATTCGAGGATAAAATAAGGTAAACATAATAATACTATACACAACGCGGGGTTTTGATTTTAGAAATGAAAATAAAAAAATAATACAAATAAAACACGATTTTATCAATTTATTTATTTTATTGACATTTAGATAATTTTTTTAATTGATTTAACAATTTCTAAACAATTTGGATTGAATTTAAACACTTATTTCTTTTTATTAAATTTTATTTTTTTTCTTCCTTTTCCTTCCATTAAAATCTCTTTTCCCTTCTTTTGAACCAAAATTTCTATAATTTTTTCATTAATGAAGAGTATCCTAAATTTGATACATAACGAGAAATACATCGTAGCAAAGACATCCTAAAATTCTTAGAACCAAAGATCAAGCAACAACGTTATAATAAAAATAAACAAGAGAAATCGAGATCATAAATTCATTGATCATTTTACTAAAAATCACGTTCAACCAATGCCTGATACCTAATCCAGATCGTGTAAGTAGCTGGATTACTTACACGATCACCAATTAAAATGCCTCATCCCATTATTTCAAAAAAGCCTAATAGGACGATCTGCTACAAGCGAACAAGCAGGAGAGGGATAAGTCCGTAACATAGACTTTAAATCCCTGGTCCACAATGACTTTTAGGGGTAGCATACAACGATCTATTGCAACTTGGACAATGAGGGAAAATCAGTACAAGGGGGAGATGATATTGGAAAAAGTTGTGATATTTTCTTTCTTCCTAAAAAATGTTAGAGAAAAATGTTAATCTGGTCATGGATCAGAACCAAAATGGAAATCAAACAAAACATGCTATAATTAACAAGTAGAGATTTGGTTACAGAAAGCAATAGTTTAGGTGGCACGGGAAATGCCTTCTAGCAACAATTTTGTTTCCAGAATAGATGTCCGCAGATTTTGCATCTCCTCCTCTAACTTCTCAAACATCCCTGAATAAGAAGTGGAAGAGAGGAAATTGTTTTTGTTGTTGGCAGCAATGATCCTAGCTGTCTGTAACTCTTCGGCTCTTACCAAATCTATTTGCAATTCTTCTCCTAGAATCTTTATTTCAGCCTCCTTTAGGTCATAGTCAAACACATTTCGCTGGAGTTCAATGATCATATGCTCTATTTCAAACATACCATTATCTTTAAATTCTAAGAGCATCTCTTTCTCTTTCATCACGCGTTGAAGTGCAAGCTCCTTCTCCTCTGTGTTCTTCAAACATTGCTGTATTTTCAGTTCAACAGCTTGTATCTGGCTCTCTACATTTATCACCTTCTTGTTTAGATTTCCCAGTTCCTTTCTTATTACCCCGAGTTTTTCTTGAGAAAGCTTCATCTCTGCTTGTAGTTTTGTTTTCTCTTCCTCTAATTTAAGTAATTCGGTGGCTTTACCACTTAGATGCCAATTTTTCAGTGAGGAATCTATACTCTCTGTGTTATCAATCGCAAATAGAACCTTTTCACCTTCACGCTTTCGATTCTCTTCCTCCAGTTTCGATTTGATGCATGCAATATTTGCAACTAATTCAGCTTCGGATTCTTGGTTCTTCTTTTGAGCATTCTCCAGTCCCTGTTTGGAAGCTTGAAGAGCAGCCAATTCCTCTTTCTTTTTGTCAAGAATAGATGTTAAGTCATTCACCAATGCTCTTGCCCTTGCTTCCCGTTGCTCAAAGTAAGAAAACGTTGACGGGAAGCTTGATAATGAATATTTTAGCGCAGAGAATTTCCTATCAACTATTGTTCTTCTTTCCCGTGCTTCAGAAAGCAGAAGTTTCAAGGATTCAAACTGCTGACGTTTCACCTGAATATCATGTTCTATCAACTCAATTTCTCTAGAGAGCTTATCAACCTGGACCATTGCTTTTTCAGCACAACCAAGTGAAGCTATAGTTCTAACAGCATCCGAAATATGTTCATCAACTCTTTCAAGATTCTTTGTAGCACAATTTAATTCCTTTGATAAGTTTGCTTCGCTGACATCCGATACCTCAATGTCCATCTCAGAGTTGAACGGTACATCACCCCCATTGTTCTCCTTTAAAAGCTTGTCGTCTTCATCTCCATCATAATTGAGGCATAAATCAGACCCAGATATAGTAGTTTCGTTAACGTATTTGCTTTCACCTCTACCCTGCTCTTCCTCGGAAACAGTGTCTACTCTGGAATCTCTTTCCCCTCCATCAACTTCAACAAGCTTTTCCGGGCAGTCCATATCTCCTTTGGTTCCAACTCTTTCATGTTCTTGACATGAAAGAGTTCTTTTAAGATCATCCCTCTCCTGCATGGCTCTTTCATACAAACTCATCAGCTTTTCATTTTCTTCATTCATTTCCATCAGCTGATGCTGGAGATTCTCAACCACTCTTTTCAACTCAGTCTCCTCTTCTCTTGCTTCAGGAAGATAGCAACCATTGTCAACTTTGGAACTAATTTCTTCAGTACAGTCTCCTTTACTCTCAGCAGCAGCTTGTTCATACAATTCAATCAGTTTACTATTATCCTCAATCAAAGCTTTAAGCTTCATTTTGAGTTCATCGTTCTCCTTTGACAGCATTATTGCTGTCTCGTGAGCCTCCGCTTCTCTTTGACTGGCAGCAGCAATAGCATCAACCATTGCTTTCAACTCCAGTTGGTCATTGCTATTAATGACAGGCATATCAGCTGTTGATGGAAGATCAATTTGCTTCTGTCCTTCGCTAGTTTGAGATTTCTCTTGTTCTAATTTTGTTGCCAAATCATCAACATGCCTGCAAGATAATATTTAGTGGATGAATTTTAAGCACTGTTTAATCGTGCTGAACAATTTAGAGAAATACATACTTATGCAGAAATACTTACATGTACCAAGAATAACTTTCAGGCAAAAACTAATTCCAAATCAAGCGCATACTTATATATGTGAAAAATAAAACAGATAGAGAGCAAACAACACCTTTCCAATTTTTCTTTCTCTCCGAGACAAACCTCTAGCTTCTTGCGAATTGTGTCCATTTCTGCCTGGTTTTGTATAGCCTGTCATAGATAAAATATTATATCAAATCGTAGAGAATGTGACAGACATTTGGACTTGCAAAATTGAATAAAGTTAAAAAAAGAGTCAAACTAGAATGATCTAAACCTGAATCCGGAGAAACTCATTTTCTTCCCTAAGAGAAGACTGCCAACGTGATTTGGGACTTGGCTCCTAAAGAGAAGTATTAATAAGAATTAAATATCTAAAACAGTTATATACGCAAAAGATAAAAAATGCAAGCACAAAGAATTGCAAACAAGAACAAAAGTAAGATAATTAAACAGACAGACATTTTATCTTTTTAGTTATCAAATATCTAAACAATTACTAGGGTTCCTTATTTAATGGTTGATATTATGACAATAATGACTCGAGCACCTAGAAAATTAAATAAAAAAGATGATCCAGATTTTTCTCATGGTCCAAGATCGACCTTCACCCTGATCATTTCTAATAAGCATGGTATAAAAGTGGTAAATGAAGAACACGAAGACAAAAACAAAGAATGTGAAGTCAAAACTGCATTCTGTATTCTCCAGTGGAGCACCTGTTTCTAGCTTACATTATGTTGAAGTAACTTATCACAGCATTCATTGGTTCAAATATGAAAATGAATGCAGGAAACTCCATCACTCTTACCTGTTTGGAAATGAGATTACCATCATTAGGTACATCTTCGTTGGCTGAATCAGAATTTGTTTTCTGACATTCAAAATAGAAAATGAGGTCAATGCATAAGTTTGCAATGCCTTTTTGATACAAGAACAAAATATTACAGTAAAACTGTGAAAAACTGAACCCTTACCAGATCTGGTTCATGCATAAATTTCCAATCTAGTGCCTCTAACAACTGCACATGAAAGTGGAGAAAATACAATCAACATAAAGGAGATTGACTGAAAATTTTATTAAGTGCAAAGACATCCCTCCGTACCTTGTTTTGCAATACCATGATCTGTTCACTCATCATTTCTCGTTCACCTTCCTCACAAAATGACTTCAACCTGTTTTGAAGACACATAAACATTAGCAGCCTGACATTATAGAAACCATATAGATTAAACAGAAAAGTCAAGTAATCTAGCTAGCATTAATTTGTTGGCAAACATGGACTAGTTGTTTGACCTTTTTCTCTTCACAATACCAGAAAGCTGTATTTTTGCTTCAATCAAATTACATAATTTACATATTAGTGGATAAATAATAGGCAATTTGTAGAAATTATACACTTGAACATTCATTTGGCCATACAGTAACTAAGTCACTTCCCAACCTTTATTTCAGTCATGAAATCAAAGGGAAATAGAACTTCGGTTTGCACAAGAGACAAAAAAAAAAGATTGATGCGGTATCAATTAAAACATGCCTTCTAATTTCTTCTTTTAGCTGCAAATTTTCCATAGCAAATCTAGTTACATCTTTATTCCGATCCACCTGGGCCCGCAGGACCTCAATTTCCTTCAAATGCTCCTCTTTTTCATTCTGTAAGTGTGTCTCACCTGAAATCTTCCCAGAAGCAACTATTTCTAACCTTTTTATTCTAGCTTCTCGAAAACCTAGTCTCATCTTCAAACTTTGTATCTCATCTTCTCTTTGTTTAACCTGGTTCGTCCCATATTGCAGCCATTTAATACATCACAAAAATATCAAGAACGTCATTATGGATACATCAACAAAAGAAAATCACTATAAATTGAAAGGTGAAGATACTAAAGAACTATATAAAATTCTAGAATGGAGCTCTATAATGACATGAATCCAACATAAATTGATATCAATTTCTTATAAATTTCTACTTAGGCCAAAATTTTATGTATTCTCTTCCTCGTTAATCAATCATTCAAAACTAATATAACAAATCATATATATATGTTGATTTTCAAAGATACCAGCTTCATGGCTGCTTGAATTTCATCTCTTAGTGCCCGCAGTTCCATCTCTTTGTCCTTTTCTCTTCTAAAGGCTCCAACAAGGGCAACATCATAATCTTTTTTCTGCAAAAGTAGAAATATGCTTATCAGTAATCACAGTTATGGAAAGTGGATGATTTCTCGTACACAAATATCTACCTGAGATATCTTTTTAACAGAGGTTAATGGACTGAATGATCCTTGAGCGCCCTCCCACCTGAAAGATCCCGGAGAACCTGGAAAGCTGATTACTGAAGTGTCATTGTCCTGAATTTCTCCTCCACCAACCAGACCCCGTAAACGGGATACTTCTTTCTGAAACCAAAATATAGAAAAAGCATCACAAATCAGCCAATTTAGTAGTATAGTAGATATCCATTCGACTGCACCCATTACATAAAAATAAAATAAAATTGTAAATCAACATGGCAAAAATACAATTTGTTGAAAGCTGTTCCACTTCCCCTTAAATTGTAGATGAAAAATGAAACGAAGCTCTTGCTCATTGTTATACTTCTCCGATAAGTTATTCAATAATCATCTATAAAGGCATTAACTGAGTCATAAAATGACGGGCCACTCATAGAACTAAATTAATTAACCAGTACCCGCTCTAGAAAATATAAAGAAAATGGGCAACTAATAAGAACTTTGAAATGACTACATTGCAAAAGCTAGCTATTGTAGTTGGAGGAGCCCAAGGCCTTAACCTCACACCAAAATCTCATACATACAACGTGAGACTCGTCTCGTACTTGCAATTGGATCCTAATAGTCACAAAACATTTTCTACACAATGACAGAACTCAGAACATGAGAGAATTAAGGATAAATCAAAATTATAGTACCTTAAGTTGTTGAATTTGAAGTCTCATGGCAATGACATCTCCAGATGCATCCTCATTTACAATAGCCTGGAGAAAAATAGACAATTATTTAATTATCAATAATTAGAACTGTCTTGCACAGATCACCCTCATGTAATAAGTCATCATGAGTAAGATCAATATGTTAAGATTGTTCTACAAAAGCTTCTACTACTGTTGTGTGATAATTAAATGCTAGTCATTTATTGTTGGCAGAAAATGGATGTACATCAATAAATAAGCATGAAAAGTAGGAAAGATACATTGTTCTTGATAAATTTGGCACGTTGTGCGAACTTCAACGTGCTTAATGTCTCAAGCGAGCAACTGCAAAAGTTAACCAAATGTCACTCAAATATAAAAGCAATTAACCGTAAATAGCAAATAAACTTAAGGGTAATGACACATAATAGAAGCTACAGCAAAATTTGTCAAGCAACAGTGAGGGGCTTATAACTTATATTTGAAAATATGATATTTAGAACATAGAGGAAATCATGTCCTCATGCAAGGAAGTTCACTGACCAAATGGAGGGGCTTATATTTGCAATTATGATCGTTTTTGAATTCCCTCCAAGGGAATCCTGAAAAGAAGAGAAAGAATACTCATCAGATTTCATCAATAATTAGCATATCCTTAATTGTAAAGAGAACTCAGACAAATCAATGAATTTCTCCCTAACATTCATACATATAAATATTTAATTTTTGGGTGAAACACTTGCTAGATGTTTCAAAATACACAAACTGACTTATAAAATTGTGACTATTAGAAATTATACATTTAAAGTATATTGAAGATCTGTATTTCAGGTGCTTCAACCCTATAATAGTTCAAGCGCAATATCCAGTTCCACACTTCCACAAGAAATGCTCAGGTAGAAAAAATAACAACCAAGCATTAATGCGTATAGCTTAATCTAGAGCTCCTTTTTCTATAAATCATAAGTTTCTCTAATGTAAATTTATTTTATGGCCAAATAAAGTTGATAATTGCAAAATCCAAAGTCTCTTAAATAATTAATTGTGATAATTACTTCATAACCGGTTATTATTTATTGGATAACAACTTTTGCAGTTCTAAACCTATCCATATCCTCAAACAGAACAGTTTTGCATGACAAGCATTACTTTTCATAACACTGACATCTGTTGCCACAAATGTGCAGACACTGAAATCTAATTGGGAACTGTGGTTGACCACCTAAGCAACATGAAATTAGAAAATTTCATCACCAACCTGAAGTAGAAATGTTAGCTTTGAATCCCGATAAGGAACATGGAGCGACTTCCCATTAGAAATACTAACTAGGTTCATAATCACAAGCCTGCAAGTATAATATCACCACCTATAAGGTTAAATTTTTTAGGATAACACCATAACTAAAACAAAGAGTAGAAACTGTTGTATATTAATTCAGTAATTCACTATTGTCAATGAGGATAACCAACCCCAATGTGGAAAGAGATTTGTTGATATTCGTAGCTTCCTTGAGGCGTTCCCCTTCAGCACCAGAACTTTTCTGCCTATCATCAAAATGAATATATAATATCATCTATAAGAGCGCTAACAAGGTAGAATACTTTTGACTTCTTTGCTCATCTAAACCATAAAAATAGAAACGTGAACTCTTGGGAACCAATTACCTCTCAGACCCAGCCAAATCAACAAGATTAAGTCGAGCAAATCGAAAGTGAGTCACTCCTTGAGATTCCCACTAAAGACAAATAGGTAAACAAATTTGTATCATAATATACTATGGAAAACATAATAAAAAGAGTACATTTTTTTTGCACGAAATAGGAGGAAAACACATCAATATTACTCACCTGACTCTCAATGATGCAAGTAAATACACTATGAGAACGACTGCTAGCACGATTCATGTTAGTAGCAGCTACCTTCCTGTTCGCAGCACCCTAAGTAACATCATTATTTTCAATCAGTATAGCCCATGTTTTCTCTCAATTTGGAATTGCAAATGCCAAAAAAAGAAATAAATTAGTAGATAGTTTCAACTACAAGCTCAATATATGTGTATGTCAATACATTTAATGTTGAAAAACAAAAATCAAGAGCAAAGATGAAATCATTACATACCTGAATAAGTAGTTGAATGACTTCTCGACCATTTGTAACTTCTACTTCCTTAATATTTTCCACATAAACTCCTTTCTTACTGTCTTCTCTTATCTGCCACGTGAATTATTAAAAAATACAATAGATGTGTTATTTAAAAACCTTTTACAAACGGAGAAGTTGCAGTTCATACAATTTTGATATATTATTTTAGTTTCAGAAGATGAACTCCCAATCCCAAAGACATGGAAATCAATTTTGCAAGATTAGAACTTTCAGGAACAAGTGGAAAGAGAAAAGATATCTTACAAAGAAGTAGCATGACTTTATATTTGAAGGAATTTCAAAAATATTCAATGGAGTAATAGTTCGCCTTACCTGCAGATTGTTAGATGATGGATCGAGAAGATCAAGTATCTGTTCATTATATATCTCCAAGAAAGAACATTTGCATGTAAACTTTAACTTTTCATCTCTGCGAGCCTCTTTTTCCTGGTGTATCAGAGCAATTACAAATTAAAGATGAAAATTAGATTTTTGCAAATATAAATACAGCGAATAATTATACTGCAACGTAAATTTACATTAAGCTATCATTGACCATCATAATGTTGTACTTGACCAATTCAATTTAAACATAAAGAAGTCAAAACCTTAAGTATTATAGAACTGGTAAGATAAAAAATTGAAAATTTTAAAATATAACATTAGAGGAATCCTGAGGCACACCCCTTGCAGGAAAACTGATTCAAGACAAGCAGTGACTTAATAAACATGGTGATGTTGCTTCATAAAAATAAAAGATACAATAGTCAATACTCAATACATAAAATTAAGAAAATGTAAGTAGAAAAACTTTGGTTTCAATATTGTAATAATAGATAACATATCACATGATATTCTTTTAATATGCAAGTGATGCACAAAAATTTAATCTATGATACATGGTTTCATAAACAATGACCAAGAGTCTAATCCCATAACAAATTTTACCTTCTGAATTCTAGAAAATAAGTGCTCAAAAATTCTTGGTGTCATTCCACAGTTGACACTGTGTCTTCTAGTTCCCCCCTCAATATCTCCAAGCATGGTGTGTGTCTTCCCACTTCCAGTCTACGGGGCAAAACAATCATTTTCAGTGATGCTAAATTATTCGAAGATAGTAGGGTAAAAATAAATAATCCACAGCAGATCGCAGACGTATTTTCTCATATTAAAAGAGAAGAACAAGAAAAGATAAAAAGATAGAATATCAGATACAAAAAACTTTCCAATCATCACTATGCAGGGTTAGACTCTAATACAAAACAAGCTTCCTCACACAATACCATGTGGATTAATCAAACTACTGGAACTACAAGAACAGAAGCAAACCAATGACTCACTTGACCATAAGCAAACATGCAGCTGTTGTAGCCTCCCATGCAATTTTCTACCATTGGTAAACCAGCTACTTTAAAGAGCTTCTCCTGTCATATACATGTGAAGTGAAATCCAAGCTTCAAAATTTTAAATTTTTTTAAAAAAAGAGGCACTACACAACAGCACCGACAACAAAGTTTTTACAATAATTGTTAGCAAAAGAAAATTATTGAAAACACAATATGAATGAAATTATTTAACAAAAGTTTACCTGGCTAACATTCTCGTCTGCAACAAGATCAAAAGTAAACCGTGACTCAGGATGCCCAGACCAAGTAATTGTCTGACAACTCTCTTGCTTAACGCACTTTCCACACCCTTGAACCGATATTTCAGCATTGCTAAGAGGGCGCATTCTAATTATAACCTAGCTCACAAAAGTAAATCATTTCAAACTTAATTAACTTAAACGAAGTTATAATCCTACCCTGTATCGAAACATAGAGCCGAGAACTTATTAAAAAAAATTATTAAACAATAACCATTGCAATTTTACTCACAAACAAGTCCCTGCTATACAACAATACGCTCTGTTTATAGAATCTCATCAATCAAATTAAAAAAAAGTATTGTCATGAATTTCGTAATTAGCAAACACATGAAAATTTGTTAAACCAAAATTACTCTCAAAACATCGCAGAGCTTCATATTAGATCTCGTGAACCTGTACCTGCACATTGTGATCTTTCCAGAAGGAAGGATCCTCGCAGAATTCGAAGCTCTGACTCGACGAAAAGGCGGTGCTACTTGGTCCAACTACACTTTCATCTTCCCAATCACGTATATTTCGAACTACAGAGCTTTGAGCGAGAGTGTCTTTGGCCGCGGATTTCAGAAGATCTGGAGTATTCTGAATCAGCGAAAGCGATTCGGAGGGATGGTCGTGGAACCCAAACCTGCTCTTAATTGCACTCGCAGCCTCCGATAGGAACGGCATTGTGCAGTGTAAATGGTTTGAATCGAGAACTTGCGGAAATGGAGTTGATGAGTTTATGTGAGAACAGAAAGAAGTAAGAACAAACAAGGACAGAGAGAGAGTTTGAGATGAAATGGGGAAATGGAGAAGAGAGATGAAAAATGAAGGCAAGCGGAGGAGAGAGAAGAATATTATATAATCGGACGGTGGAGAGCGATCAAGTTGAACGGTCCAGATGAATTTAAATTCAAAGTTTGGGACCGTTTGAGATCGGCGTTTCAAAATTTCGAAGATGGAGCCAAGAGCCGATGCTTTTGTTGATTATTTAATTTGGTAATTAGTACTACTAATTTATATGTTAGATGTTAAATTTTGCTAAAGTTTTTTTAGTCACTTGCAAACTACATGTAATTATATTATATAATTTTTTTATTAAAAAACAACACAATCTTAAAAAAAAAAAAAAACTACTATGTGATGAAACATGGTGCATTCTATGTTAAAAAAAAAAAACTTTTATCAAGTTAATTTATCATAAAATATAATTTAGAAGAAACTTTGGTTTTTGAGAATATGGCATGGTATAAATCAAAATAATCGGTGCATATCAAGTGTAAAAGGCAAATAAAAAGGGTTGCATAATTAATGGTGAGAAAAAAATTACACAATAAAATCAACTTCTGTTTTTAATCTCAAACCTTTTTTTATTATATTTTTAATTTTTTTTTGTGATGTTGAAAGTGAATTAATGTATTATGCAACTTATAAATAAATTAAAAATATAATATTTTATAATATGTTTTAAAAGTTATAATATTTATGTTTTAATCTTTAATAGATTTTATAAAATAATAATATTAAAATATTATGTATTTAAAATATGTTTTTTTAATTTTTTTAGTATAATTATAAGTTTCATTTTTATTCATATAAAACTAAATTTTATTCTTTCAATTTTTTTTTTATTTCTAAAGCTAATTAAATAATTTTCTTTGTATTTTTAACATATAGTTTGATAATTTTAGTGATTGTAGTTAAAAATTGAAGGTTAAAGGTTTGCAAAAAATATTAAAGATAAACAATTAAATAAAATTATATAATCTGGAATAATATTGTAGAAGTATTATTCACTTTCTCTTTATTTCTTCTTTATTTCATACAAACTTATTTCTCAAATTTAATAAACTAAATAATCATACTTTTCTTGTATTATTATATTTTGAATTATGATATTATAAGTAAAATTAAATAAATTTAAAACAACGTATATTTATCTTAATTTTCTTAATAATAAATAATTTGATTAAATCAAAACAAGGATAGTGACTAGATTAAACACTTAAACAACACAATAAATTTTATTTAATAAAATAATATCATCGATCAAGCCAATTCATTATCACTTAAGTGATATTCATAGAGAGTTTTTTTTTTTTTAATAATTTTTACTTAAGCAAATTTTATTAAATTTTAAAATTTTAAAAAATAATTTTACAAATACTATGAATAATTAAATCATAGATATATGAAAATTAATCTTATTAAGTAAAAGTAAAATATTTAAACTTTTATTTTAAAAGTATATATATTTAATAGTTTAAACATGTTAACTCACTTATATTACCACTTAATTACTTACTCTTTTTAAATTAAACTAAAAATTTTATCATAGTTAAATACAGTATAACTACATTTTCTTTTCCTTAATAACTCCTCAACGTGGTTACAAAGTTTTAAAAGTTATCATTTTTAGAAATATTTAATATAAAATAAAGTTTTAAATGCAAGATATTATTAACTTCAACATTTTATAAAATATCTGCACAATGAAATACTTTTAAAAATATATATAATCGAGATAGTTTGTTGGGTAGTTAAGTTTTAATTTAATTTTTCATAATTTTATAAAAGGATATTAGCAAAGGAGTGGGAGTTGTTTGATTTTAAATTTTTTTTAATTACACCATGACGCTTTAAAATAAAGTTTTAAAATATAATGATAGTGAAGTCAAAAGTTAATAATTTAAAATAAAAATATAATATGTTATAAACTAATAATTCATAAGTAGGTACCATTTTTTATGCATATTTTATCACCATTTAAGTCCATACACTGTTCTGTCCATCCTTATTGAAAACATTGGTCATGAATTTTGAAAACCCAAAATTAAAGTTAAATTAAATATCAAAAATCCATTTGAAAGATGTAATAGAAATAAAATGAATTTAAAAAACAAGATAAAATAAAAAAATTAAAAGTGTTTACTATTTAGATGGATTGAAATAAGAAAAAAAAGAAATGATAAAAAATAATTTTTTTATTAGATGAACAAAAAAAAATAGTTAAAATAAATAATTGAACTGTATTAAAAATATTTATAAAAATTAAAAAATTAATTTTATTGTATTTTTGTTAATGAAAAATATTTTTTTTATAATTCTTATATTTTTTAATATTCATTAAAAGTAAAAAATAAATTTATAAAAACCCAACTCTTGTGCCTGACCTTATGTTTCCTTTTTTTTTTGCTGGTTATTTTCACTCTAAAATGAGGAATTTTTTTATGCTTGGGGCTATAAGAAATAAAATAAAATAAAATCTCCCTCTTATCCCTTGCATCCAAACAATGTCTTTTACTTGTCTTTTTGTTTCATTCCCTTTCCATCTCCATACAATGTAAAATAAATCTATACCAAATACAAAGAGTTAATATTTACTTATTGTTTTGTTTATTTTTTATGTTGTATCTTTTTTTATATTACAATATTTACATGAAACTATAGTATATGGTATTTGAATGATTTGATATCAGTTTGTGCTTATTAAAAATTTGTACTATACATTATTAAATATGTGTGAAATCTAATGTAGAAAAAAGAAATAGAAGAGAGTTGTAATTGTATGATTTGCCTTAATAGACAATTTGCTTTTATATATAATACTTTCTCTAATAATAGTGTATTACTAATAAAATGTTTGATTTTATGAAGTATTGTTAAACTTGTAGTAGAGCTTTTAGAAACATCAAATATATATATGTAAATTGGATTAATGATCATTAATATGTATTGTTAATTTACTTTAGAGTTGTAATAGTTTAGACTAATCCTTGTACATTAAACTTATCTTTATTAAAATGTTGATGTTTAGCAAGAATAATTATTTAAAAAAATTATTTTTAAATGAAACATCACTCTAAAACATTGTAAAAAAAATCATATAATATTTTTTAAAAATTTGAAACATATAAATATATTTTTTATATTAAAAACAAAAATATATTTATAAAGAAACACAATTTCAAAATTTTGTATACCAAAAATACTTTTATATTATATTATATATATATATATATATATATATTTTGAAGATAAACAATTAATAATAATAAAATTTTATTAAAAAAAATACGATCTTATTTATAAATATTTAAATTCAGCTTTAAGAGTGGAAGTTAACAAAATTTTTAATATAATTACTAGATAAATTTTTAAATATTTTATATTTTTTTAATGCAAGATAATTAATGTATAATAAAAAATCATACATAATAATTTTAATATATATAAAACATCAAAACAATAATATTCAATCTTACTATCTTTAATAAATTTATTATTTATTACTTTTTTTTTTATCGTATGATATTAAACTGATATTAATAAATAAATAAAACAACAAAAGATTGTTTCTTTAAAATGTCGCGTGGAAAGAAATATGTAACACGAACAATCAATCACCCTCTACCGTCTAGGTTTCGTAATTATCTGTCATATTTCCCTGCCACTTCTTCCCAGAGACTCTTGTGCCGCCTTCCCAACTCTACCGCCGAACTTCCACGTCTCTCTCAGTTTCTCACGCGACCAGCTCCTGAAAAATTTCCTGTTTCTGTTTTCACTATTTGCTGGTACTCTTCCCTCTTCTCTCAACCCTCAACAATCACTCTTCTAATTATCTCTCCTCTCAATCCTTAGCTTTAAACAAATTCGTTAGTTTATAATATTTTTGGATTTTAAACTTGTTCTTATTATCCTTAAGCACCAGAACCATCACCTTCTTACCAACATTCCAACCCTTACTATTAATTGGGTTAATTAATTGCGCCGTTTCTGAATTATATTCGTTGAATTTTGTTTGCAATACTTGGAAACTCACTTTGGTGTATTGTACCCGAGACCATATGGTAATATTTAAATTCGCGTTTTGTACAATTTAATGACATGAGATAATTTAGGTGAGAGTTTATGATTATTCATCATTGGCTGAGCCAACCCTCCCTGCCCTAATTTTGTGAACTCAAGCTATTGTGAGATCGGTTATTGATTTGTGGTTTTGGCTTGGGTTGCGCATAATCTAGCTCTTTTTCTTCAGCCACAATGGGTAAAGCTAAAAAAGGACCCAAATTTGCTGTTATGAAGAAGATTGTCACTTCCAAAGCAATAAAAAAGTGAGTTTTTTCTTCCTTACATGTTTGTTCCTTCGATATGCTTGGTTTTGCTGTGTTTTCAATGCTTGAATCCTGTCAAATTCAGCTATAAAGAAGAGGTTTTGAACCCGGAAAAAAAGAATCTTCTAAAGGAAAAGCTGCCCAGAAATATGTAAGATTTCATTCTCTCTCTTTTTTGTCCCTTCTGATTCCTTTTGTATTTATTGCAAGTTTTCCTCACTTTTTATGTTTTAATCTGTTGTTTGAATTTCCATTGTTTAGTCCAAGTCATTCTTCGGCGCTTTTCTTTCAATACAATACTGCTCTGGGACCTCCTTACCGTGTTTTGGTGGATACTAACTTCATCAATTTCTCAATTCAGAATAAAGTGAGTGTGGTTCTTTTTACTCAATTTTATTGAGTTTTGTTAGAAATGTTTGTTGTGGTAACTTGTAATATTTGTTTCCCTTTTTTAAACTAATAAATGAACTTTTTTTGTGATTCCACATGTGCAACTTTCCACCGTGCACTTCTGTTCAAAGTTATAGTATATGATATGTTGCTGAGAATTGTTGTGACTGTATGCAGATGGCCTGCATTTGATGCTTATGAGATTTTCATGAAAGGATTGGAATGATAAATATAACATTCACTCTTTATTACAGAATTAAAATACTAAAGCATTTTAGTTTGTGATGGATCTAATATAGTTGTGGCATTGTTGAAGTTTCTTTGTTTGTGGCTCACAATTTTTTGGCTTTGTTTATGTAGTTGGATCTGGAGAAAGGGATGATGGACTGCCTATATGCAAAATGTGAGTTTGGAGTAGACGAGTACTTTCTTATTTTATGTATTTCATGTTTTAGTTTAGTTGAATGCTGATTCATATCAAGTTTTAGAGATTATGTTTTTGATATCATTTGCCAGGATTAAGAAGCTGGTCTGTGCAAATGTGGCCTTGTATATTTGAATCAAACATCTCATATTCTTTTATTACCTTTCTTTTATTGATACTTTGGATTTTCAGGCACCCCTTGTATCACGGATTGTGTGATGGCAGAACTTGAGAAGTTAGGTCAAAAATATCGTGTAGCACTAAGGTAGATGTTATGTTCCCTTGCCTTGATTATTGTTGATTTACATTCTAATACCTTTGGGATGTACATATAATAAGGGTGACCTGATGCACCGATGGCTCCCTCCAAATGATGTTTGGGGAGGGTATGTTTCCTGAGGTTGTCCATGCTTTCTGCTGAGTTTTATTCTTTAATGTGTTCTTTATTAAATTGGGTAAAAAGCAAATCCTTTGTATATTTCATTGCTAAACCTCATAATTTTTTCAAAAGATAAAGGATTCAAATATCCCACTTATCATTTCATTCAGTATCACATTATGTCTTAAAAGATAGACATATGGGGGATATCTAGTACAATTGGATTAAATCATAAATGTTAAAACATCTCTCTTCAAAAGACAAAGTTACAAAGTGCAACTGAAAACAATATCATGGGACTCCTTGACTTCATTTTCCTTTGAACTATCATGTGTTGTCTTGCTGTGATACTATTGATCATATTTCTCACGTTAGCTATCTCTTAATCTAGTAGAGAAAAAGATATATATTATTCTTGTATCAACTTCTGAGCATATTTATTTATCTATTTTGTACATAACAGGATTGCAAAGGATCCCCGATTTGAGAGAATACTTTGTACTCATAAAGGAACATATGCTGATGATTGCCTTGTTGAAAGAGTTAATCAGGTGAAGCTTTTTTTTTTTGTTTTACATACTAAATCCGTAATGTTCAGAAGCATCCGGGAGCAGTTTGATTATTAAGATTAATTTATTGTTTTCATGATGGATGGGAAAGTCTTTTTACTTTTTACCCTTCCTTTTCCTTGTATTGTGATCCCGGGGAATGGGTAAACATATTTACATTTTTGTTTTGTTCAATGAAAGCAAGAGCCACATAATATGATGGTAATTTTGTTGGTTTCTAAATCCTTGTAAATTGGTTGTGTTATTTATTTTCTATTATTATATTGAACTGTGAAATTTTAAATCTCTTAGCAGTATATAGTCGTCTAGATCAGTAAACAAATTTCTACTGCTATTTTTGAGATGGAAATTGAATTAAATAATGGCATACATTTTGGAGTTACCATTCATTTCCCCTCGCGTAATTTTGAACTATGAAAAGTTGGAGCAAATTTTTGGTCAACTTTGAATTCATAGCTAAGAAATGAATATGACTGAGTATTACTTGATTCATTCTTGCTGTTTATTATGGACCTTGTGTCCAAATTCTTTGCTTTTGCCATGTATATTTAATATTCATTTAAGTGAACAATTTTATTAGAAATAATTTCAAACAAAAGTAATGATAACACACATCTGCTGCTTCTTTCTTTGGTGTTTCTTTCCCAATTTATTTACACAAACCATTTCCTTGGAAGCAGCATAAATGTTACATTGTTGCAACATGTGATCGGGACTTGAAGAGGAGAATTCGGAAGGTAAAAGTCATTATTTATTTTCTGTTTTTTGTTTTGATATTGGACCCTGATACACGAGCTATGAACTGGGTTTCTTTATTTTAGATTCCTGGTGTGCCCATAATGTACATCACCAAACATAGGTACTCAATCGAGCGGTTGCCAGAAGCAACAATTGGTGGAGGTAGATACTCTGAATTATTTACGCTTAGTTTATTGGACTACTCAATCTTATATAAGTCGTTTGATAAACAAGATAAATGATGCTCCATTAAGTCTGGCCTATCAACTTTCACGTTACTACCTGCCTAGAGATAAACTGCTTGAATTCATGTGAAGTAGGATTGTATAAATGATATTTTGGTGCATTGTTAATAACCCAGGTCAGGGTGAGCCTCATATAATCATATAAGAAATTTACATACCCTAAATTATTACATTAGTAATCAAGCAAAAATCAAATTTGTGATAAAGCCAATAATAGACTGTTCTATACATACTCTTTACCTTTCTTTTACTATATATATATATCTGGCACTCAACTGACGCACTTGTGATTCTCAATGTAGCACCAAGAATTTGATACAGTGAAACTCAAACTGGTAAAGCTGGGTATACCAATAATCTCCACTAATTTCTTGGTCGAGAAGTATGAAATCCTGATACAGTTCCATTTATATTTGGTCACCAACTTTTGCTGGCTGGATTGAATTCTGACGGACGTTTTACACTGAGCAATGGCAACTTTTCCATGGTTGATCCGAGAAATTTTCGCAGAGTAACTTGGTAGATTTGGGTTCTGTCAAATTTTGTTTTCCTCATGTTGCTTATAGTGGAGTGCTTGAACTTAACATCTTCATAGTTGTAGTCGTATAAACACTTGAAAGTTGAAGAGAGAATATTTTTATTTGGGGATAGAAAAAGCGTATTTTGCTTGAATCTGAATTGTACTGAAATCATTCACATAAGTAGAAACTGGAAAATTCAAAATCACATTTTTTTCTTCTTAAGGCCTTGTTTGGACCAGGGACAATAGACTGAGAAAAGAAATAAGAGGGTAAATAGGAAAAAAAATATTTGGATAAGTTGAAATAAAAGAAAAAAATGATTAAAATATATTAAAAATAATGATAAAAGTTAAATGAATTTAAGATTAATTATTTGTTATAATATTTTAAATAAAAATGATTAATGAAAACATACTGGAACTTCCGTTTTCCTCCAACTTTATCGATTTGAAAATCATAATGAGTGTGGAAATTATAATATGAAAAGTGCACAGAAGTGTTGTGACTTAATTTTATTGATAAACAACATTCATTCTTCCTCCGTGGTTATACACAACTCGTACATTTTAAATTTGTATCTTTTGTACTTTACACCTTCATATTTAGCATTACTCTTTTCAATTCTAAGTAACTTCTTTCTTCTTTTTATTTGTTAAACCTCGCTTTCTATTCAAGGTTTTTTTCTTCCTTTTTTTTAATATGCAAGTGTGTGTTTCTAGTGTTGAAATAGATTTATCTTTAAGTGACTTTGATGTTAATTCAAACATACATTAAATATGATGTAAAAGTTAGTAATTACTGAAAAAATGATATTTTTTATGTATTTTATTAATGTTTTAATACTAATAATTTTAGATGTAATTTTTACTTAACCAGTTCATTCTTTTGATTTAACTTGTTTGCTTAATCAGCAAACTCGATTGAACCTGAATAAGAAGTTTAACTAATTTGCAGTCCTATCTAAATATACTTTATAGTTTTTAAAAATTATATATAAATATCAATTTTTTAAAGATGAATTTTAAATATTAAAAAATAGCCTTAAGGGATAATATTAGTAATATATAATAATAATAATAATAATAATAATAATAACATATATTGATATCATGTGTTAAATTTTGACACTTACACAACTTAATAATTTTTTATAAAATGCTCTTATTGTTGAACAATCTTATATCATTTTTATAATTATATATATATATATATATATATTAAATTTTATATAATTTAAGCATTTATAAATATGTTTTATGAATCTAATGTTTTTTGTATTTTAAAAATATATTACTATTTGACATAAAGTAATATAATAAAGTACTTATTAAAACTTTTAAATTAATGGTGAGACTGATTAATCTAATATTGTATAAAAAATTATTAAATAATTTAAGAGTATATTTAATAGTCAGGAAAATAACATAAGATGTGATATTTTATCGTATCTTATTTTATTTTTTTAATATTTGTTAAATGATAAGATATAATAACTTATTTTATTGAGATATTTGATTCTATTTTTTTATAGTTTAAATTTTTATCGTGAGAATGATGTAGATTAGGAAACATTGAGATGAATACATTTTTTTATTACGTTCTTACTTTTTTTTTTTAATATTGTATAAAAAGGAATTATTTAAAAAAATATAATTTTAATACCTTTTATAAATATATTATATGAACATTTTAATAAATTTTTTAAGAAAAGTATATATTTACAAATATATTTTATAAAAAATATTTTACTCACTTTATAAACTATGGTTTTAAATTTTGATAGCTTATTTTTTTATTTGTATTTTATCACCAAAAAATAAAAAATATTATAATTTAATATCAGAATTTTAATATTATATTCACACAATTTTTTAACATATATCTTTACTGAAAATTTAAAAATAAATTATTCTTAAAATTAATATTAAGTTTGATAAAAAATTATTTTATTATTAAAATATAATTTATATATTATTTTTTTATTTCAAATATTAAACAAAATAATATATCACTATCTGTCTAGTATTCATCAAACATACGATACAACAACAATTTATTTTTCTTTGATCATATACTTCTGTGATATGCATACACATGTATTATAGAAATTTCCTTTAAAAATGACTAAAATTAATTAATACTTATATTATTACTACAAATACTATATAAAACAATACATGTCTTACTAAAACGACTAGGCTTTTATTTGAAATGCATATAAAAATTCTACTAGTGTATTTTGACTGACAACATTAAAAGTTCAATATGCCCTTTTCAGTTGTTTCTTTTATAAAGAGCAAAAATTACATTTTTATACATTGTTATAATTATTCACTTAAAAGAATCTTCATGTTCATAAAACTTTACATGAATATTTTTTTTATCTAAAGATACATTAACGTTCATAAATATTTGTATCAAGTGTGAGTAAAAAATAAAAATAATATGCAAAATAAGCACACATATCGACATCAGGTAAGAATAAAAAACTTAACGTATAAAGTATAAAAATAAATTAACAAATGATCAATTAATTTGAGAATAATAACGTAGAAAATGAGTGATAATAATAATAATTGATAATTGATGTAAAAAGGAAAGAGTTGGTGTAGCGTACATGGGAGGGGAGAGCAAAGTAGTTCCTTGGTGGTGAAGTTGTAGAATATTTGGGATCGGAAGAGAAGGGAAGGAGTGTGGTGTGGGTAATGGACGAAGTGATGACGATGGCGGATGTAACGGCAAGCACAGAAGCAGCATCAGCCACCCCTTCTTCTTTGCTTCCTTCCAATCTTCCTCTCTTATCTGCCTTCCTCTCTTTCGCTCTCGCTCAGTTCCTCAAGATCTTCACCACCTGGTGCGTCTTAACATTTCTCCTTTCCCTTTTCTCTTTCTCTGCGTGTTTTCCACCTCAGTAGTTTCCCTCTTCTGTTAGATCATACCGTTATCATGTTTGATCCACCCGTTACTTCCCCTCTGTTGTGTTAATTTGGGTTCATGTTCACAATTCATGTTTCGTATTATATATGTGGCTAATGATTTACTGAGATTTGGGTTTTAGGTTTGGAATTTAAGGTTTTGTTTTTTGGACTTGCGACTTCTCTGTCATAGGTGTTGTTTTGGGGAATCGAGTAATTGTGTTAGTATTGTAGGAATTGATTTTTAAGGTTTTTTTTCCCCTAGTGTGAAATGAAATTAGAAAATAATTTTGTTTAAGTTTAATTGTATGCGCGTGTTTGCTGACATCTCGTCATGAGTGGAGTCAAATTTTTGGGCGTTTGTAATTCATTACCTGATATTGCGTTTCTGGCTCTAAAGCTTAAGAGTTTTGTCGTATGAGATTGGAAATATGAGCTTAATTTTTTCCAAAATTTTTCTCCTAGATATTCAGGTATAAGGAAAAGAGATGGGATTCTAAAAGGATGCTTGATTCTGGTGGAATGCCTTCGTCGCATTCTGCGACCGTGTCAGCTCTGGCTGCGGCTATAGGTCTCCAAGAAGGGGCAGGGTCACCTGCTTTCGCGATTGCTGTTGTCTTGGCTTGTATTGTATGTATTTCACTAAATATTTTTTTTTTTTCCTGTTAAACTGTGGCGTTCTGTTCCTTGATTAGCCTTGATTTGCAATTTTTTACTTTTACCCTTGTTGTAGTCATGGTTTTTGTTTTTGATGTCTGTAAATATGTTAATGTAGTATTTTGCCTTATATTTGTGTTTGGTCAGCAAAAATTTTATTAATTAATTAACTTGGATCTTATTTTATACGAAGCCGTAATATATTCTGGTAATTGGTTCAAGATTAATAATGGCTTACATATATTGAGATTTAGAAGAGAAAAAAATATGACTGCATTGTCTTCTTCTTTCAACTTCACGTATGAATTTTATTTGGTGGGAATCTCTGCTATTTGAAATCTCAAATGCCCCGGTTCCAAATTATTCCATACCCCCTGAATCTGAAAAGCAACTCTGCTAACAGATTCAGCATTTCCATTATGATTGTCATGATGCTTCCATTGATGGATTGTTATGTAGTCTCAGAAAGTTATTAGTTCTTATGCTAGTAACACCTTTTTGTGTCGTGTAAACCATGTTCACATTGGAAGATGCTATAATATGCTGATTATTGTTTTCTTCACAATTACTTCTTTAGAAGAAATTGATAATGAATCTCTTGACAAATGTCTTGTTGCTTCCTTATCTTTGTTATCATTATAAGATGGTACTTATTTGGAGTTTGGAGATGCAAGTGTCCTTGCTGGTCTTGTTCTTTACTTTAGTTGAGTTTGATTATTATTTTTTGTGTAACTTTTATAGGTAATGTATGATGCCTCGGGGGTTAGACTTCATGCAGGTCGGCAAGCAGAAGTAAGTTACTTGATGGCAGTGTTACTGTCTTGCTTACATTTTACCCTTACTTTATATATACACTCATTCGATTCATATGTTGCTATCTGTCACATATTGCAGTTGCTTAATCAAATTGTGTGTGAGCTACCTCCAGAGCATCCTTTATCAAATGTCAGACCTCTGCGTGATTCTCTTGGTCATACTCCATTACAGGTGTGTTGTACATTTTACTGCACTTAATACAGTTCCAGTGCTTCCTTGTTATGATAGGTGTTTGCTCTTTACTCTTTTCTGTCTGGTGAAATTTCCTTCAATATTCATTAACTATTTATATGTGGTTGGGGTATTTTATCCATAGGAGGTAGGAGCAACATTCTACTGAAGCTTTTGCAATACCACATGCTTTCATAATTGCTGGCCTTACCTGTCATAGTCCAATAGGCATCATATTTATGTGAAATAGATGCTAAGCATTGTTAGTCAATTAGTACCTTAATTTCTCATGTGTTGTATTTTAGGATGTGGGAATCATATCATGAGACCCATTACTTTGTGTGAAGCTTTGGGGTTCTCTATTTCTGACTGTTACATAAGTATTTTAAAATTTTAATCAGCGCCTACTGTTTTCTGTTGTACAGGTTGTTGCTGGTGGCTTATTGGGATGCCTTATAGCATTTTTGATGAGAAAATCAAATTAAGATTCCATGTGATGTGACTGGTATTAATGCTCTACCTTGTAACAAATGTTGGTGCATGGCCAAAATGAGAGCATGGTGGAAAGGGCATAAAAGCCTGCTGTTGCAAGTATACAAGTGGGTAAAGTGCGTTGAGGGTTCACCTTGTTGCTGGGAGATCCTTTGTCCTGACTTTTGGACATTCAGACTTGTACACATTAATAGATCCATTTGTTAATTCTGGCTTTATTTATAGTTGAACAAAATCCCGAGACCACAGTGGCTATTCTTTGACTTATTAATTTCCACTTATTGTGGCAAATTGAAAATTTGAAGGCACTTTGAAGTTTCATTGTAATGTGCCATGTTTTATCCTTAAGTAGAATCAATGCTTCTCCACGGTTATGACCCGGTCAAGAACTTCGACCAGCAGTGTTTTTTCATTTCATTTTTTTGCCTAGCATTTCAGAAAAGTTCTATAGAATTTTCAAAAAATTGAGATATAAGTTGTATTGGAATGTGCATTTTTTTATTGAAAAACATGAGAATTGGTTGGGTGAGTGGGATTTTCATCCGTTGCCGTGATTTATGCAGTGTTTCTAACATTTTTAAAAAAATTTTCCAATTCAATTTAATTACGACATAAATAGGTTAAATATATTATAAAAAATATCTTATAGTGTGTTTAAAAATTATTTTGTTTGTCCTCATGTGGACTTTGAGAATAAGAAAATAGATGGTAGTATTTTTTTAATTCATTTTATTGTAACACATTTATTTTATTTATATATAACTCGTTTCCTGTATAGTCATTGAAATACGTTGCGCGCGCTCAAAGGTAATTCCTAGCAGCGAACTAGCACGTACATGAGAAAGTAACGGATAATCTCTCGACGAGAAAATAGAAAGCGTAACTTTTTTTGAGGATTAAGTGTTTTTATTCGTTGTTTTTTAAATGAGTTTCTCAAAAATTATTTTTTATCATCACGAGACTTCTCTTTTAATGATTCATTGATTTACTCGTTCATTTATCTATATGATATTCAACTTAATTTATAACATGATACAAAGTTAAGGTTATCGTAAATGATGATATAGCATTTATATTTTTATTCACTTCATATTCTTAAATTTTATTTTTAAAAAGTTTAACTGTATAATTACAAAATTATTTAAAATATGAATAATATTGTTGTTAATACCACGTATCATTTACATCATCATGTTTTAATTAAATTATATAAGTTAATAAAAATATTATATAAACAGATAACTAAACAAATTAGCAAAATACAATTACAAAAAAAGATATGAAAATAATTTTTTTTAAAGAATTATATTTTAAACAATTGAAAAGGAGGGACTAAGTAAGAAAATCACAAATTTTATGTAAAAGTGTAAAGCTTTTGACTTTTATAAATATAAAAATAATTTAATATAATGTATTAAAATAATTTTCAATATATTGTAATGATTTTTATTATTAAATTTATGCTATCAACTCCTGTATAATAAGAACGCATTAAATAAACATTTAGTTAAATTATTTATCTAAATACAGGCTACAGGCAGTGTACGATTCGTTTCTCGTTAATGGCTTTCCGGTTCTGACAATTCAAAATGCAAAAAATGGAGGGAGATTATGGCATTTCTCGTTTACAAAAGCATGCAAAACTATACAATGCCCGGATCACAGCCTCACTTACATTTCAATGGTGGAAACCTTAAGCTCTAATCTCACTACGGCCCACAAAAGCAGGCTTCCAATGTCGGCTCGTATTCAATCTCCGGCGAGCACTTTCTTCGTGGGCTCCAACGATGATCACCTTGAACGGGCCCAGGCACGTGCAGCCCGTGCCGCCGCCATCCGTCGCAAGTCCCTTGCCGCAAACTTCCACTCCTTAACCCTTCATTCTAATCCCTGTCTCAACAAGCACCAGATCCTCGACTTGTTCCACAACTCCATAAAGCTTGCCACCGAAAATGTACTCATAATCATATTTCACTTCTCATTATTTAATTTATTACCTTTTCCTGAAGGAAATTTTATTTTATTTGTGTTTAGAAAATTAATCAGAAAAACACATGGGAGTTGGATTTGATTGATCACCTTGCTGATATTATTAGGGCTGATGAAGGGACTGATATCGAGACTAATTTTCAAATGGTAAGTTGCACTTGCTACTTCATTCCTATGTCGTTTCGTTTCAAAGATGTTCAAATTTTCGGAACGACATGAAAATGGTATAATATCATCATTCTGAATTGTGGCTTTTGTTTTCAGTAGATTTTTATGATGTTTCTTTAAATACACTTTGTTGCAACGATGGCATCTACAATAATTCTAAAATTTGGGCACCTTCAGTCTCCACCACTAGATTTTTAGCCTGTTTGGAAACTGGGATTTTAGTAAAAAATAATCGTTTCGTTTAAAGTTTTTCTCTGGTAGCAGTAGCTGTTAAAAAATGGTTATTTCCCCATAATAAGCTAACATTCTAGAATTAAGTAATTGTTTATGGTTGTGGATATGGACTTAGAAGTGTAAAATCAATGAGATATTTGTGGCACTAAAAGCAGATTCATGAATACATTACTGTTATATTAATCAATTTTTTATTTGGGCAGGCAAGCTGTACTCTTGAAGCTGGAGTCAAAATATATTCGTTAAGGGTGGATTCGGTGCATTCCGAGGTGTATAAAGTCCTTAGTAGAATTAATAGAGTAGGACAAGAAACTGAGCAAGGTTACAATAATTAATTACCTTTTCGTCAAGCCTAATATATTCTGACCTCTCTTACCCCGCATAGCAATATGCTTTGCCTTTTGGTCTGCAGATAAAGGGTTATAGGGATTGTTTTTTTTTCCTTAATTGTATAAGTTATCTAACTTAGTTAATGTTTGTTTCCTTATGAATGTCTGAACTATGAATGGCTGCAGTATGCGCGCTGCAGTACCCTGCTGCTGTTATTTTAACATTTTATTCTTTATTAGTTCTAATGCGGTGTCATGGTGTTCAGACGCTACTCTGGAGAGTGTTAATGCTGAAGATGGTCAAGAGAGCAGAAAGGGAATTGACAAAAAGGTCAATTCTCTGGATCTCTGGACTGAGTAATCTGATCTTTTCCTAAGTGCTAAGGGGTGTTTGTTCATGCAGCTGTCAACTTTGTCAACATTGGAATCATCTTTTGAGGTTCTTGGTGTTAAGAAGTTTGATGGTGATCTCAAGTCTCATTTTATATCTGTTACTTGTTTGGCAAGTGATTGAGATTGTGCTGACATGTGTTTGTGTTTTCAGTTGCATTTGCTGTGGATCCACAATATCGCCAGACATCAACACAATTTGATGAAGGCGGGGCCAAAGGGCTTTTGATGAATAATCTTGGTGTATATGGTGGATGTAGGGTGCTCTTTGATTCGCTTGAAATGCCAGGGAAGTGCACAGCCAATCAAAATGAACATGATATTTCAAATACAATTGATATTTCTTTTGCCAGAGGTATATTGCTTTTTGAAAGGCATGGCAAAACTGATGTCACATTAGTACATTACATTACAAATACAAGCATTCTATATGTATCAGGGACTCACTTGTCTTCTTTATAGATTGTGTTCAACAGATTTTATTGAGCATGCATGTGAAGGATGAAATCTCCCCAACTCTCAGTGTGATTTTAAATCAATTTGATGAAAATAATGGGAGGCTTTCTGATTTTCAAATTTCTGGTCAGAAATCAATTGAAGGGTTTGATGCACCTATTGATTTTGAAATTACCACTGAAAGAGCAGAATATGACAACTGCCCATCCTGGAGTGATGATCATTATTACCAAACATTTATTGCTGAACTGGGTTCTAATGATGCAAACCCAAGTTTTTCAAGTTGCCATCAGGTTTTGTAATGTTTCAGCCCTAGAACGTCAATGCATGTCTTGAAGAGATTTTAAAAAGTTGTTTTATCTTTGTTATTATACGAAGCAATTGACGGACTTTTTATAACATTGTAGGAAAAAGGATCTTTTCCTTCCGAAGACCTTGATATGGATGACATATTTGAAAATGTTGAAGGGTATTCATGTTTTAGTCTGGGTTTTAGGTCAAAGAAAAATGCATGGGCAGGTCCTAATCATTGGAAATATCAAAAGGCTGAAGGTGGGGTGTAGGAGGCCAGTTAGAGATTGTAATGGTTATATGTATTTGGGATTTCAGTATGTTAACCAATTCAAAATCTTTTTCTAGGCTCAGTGTTAGAGATTCATAGTACTTCTGATGAAGGGTCAATCCAGAATACTAGGCAGCCAAGAACTCAGACAGATTGAAGTTGATTTTGATTTCACAAATTTTCTCAAGAAAAAAGTATCAGATATATTTTCTCCTCCCAAGAATCCCAAATCGTCACTGCTTCCTGAAAATGGACTACCTTGTGTTACAAAACTTCCTGAGGACTGCCACTATGAGCCAGATGATCTTGTCAAGTTATTTCTTTTGCCTAATATAAAGGTATTTTATTAACCTATAGAAATTAACTTCAATTATCTATCCGCAGCAATATTTATTTGTTTCTCTGATGCTTGCTATTCTTTCTTCAGTGTATTGGGAGGAGGGTGAGACAGGTCTTAGGTAAAATGTATTACTTGTGATCCTTATAATTTTCTTTGTATCATGTCATTCTGTCTGTCAATTTAGCAGTCATTTTTTTAGTGTTTTCCATTGTTACTTAATGCATTTAAAACTTAAGTATATTTGCAGATGGATGTAGAGACCAAATCAATGACTATGAATCATTCCCTTCATGGAATAATAGAAGTGTCGGTGATGGTGATGTACATAGTGACACAGATGACTCTAGTGCACTTATTGCTCAGCCTCGTCGGGTGGGTTGAGTTTTTGAATAAATCAAAATATTGCTCTCGATATATGACATAAGTATCATACATGCAGATGAGAGGATAATATCTTTCATCAGTGCATATTTCCCTCTTCACTAATTTAGATTCGACATACATGTTTGCCAAAACTATTGCAATAAGAGCTTAACCACTATTATTTCCGAATAACACAGATCAATAAAATTGAAGTCCAGTATGAAGAAACTTCCAAACAAGTCGATGTTCAGGCTCTGAAGATCGCACTTTGGAACCATATTCAAGAATCTATTCAGCTTCCTTTTCAGGTATGCTAAGGTCTCATCATTTCTTAACAGGCTCCGCTTGGTACAGTATATTCCTCGTCTAGTTATAAACTTTCAATATGATTCCCTTCCTAGCCTTCCCTCGCCAAAATAAAATGCTGCCATTTGTTTTTTTCATTACAAATTGTTCAACTTTCTTTTCCATGACTCTTGCAGTGCTAATGCTGTATGTTTTTGCCTTAATGTTCTATATATGTAGATAATTTTTTGCTCTTCGAAGTTGAGTGTTAAGTCCTAATTCTTGCATCAATTGTTTAAAGGGTCAAAAAGAAAAGATGTCTTTCAGGCATATATTGGCCAACTTTCCTAGCGAATTTAATGCTGTTGCAACTGTTAGTGACATATCACCGCATTTGTGTTTCATATGCCTATTGCATTTGGCTAATGAGAAAGGGTTGAGGATCCAAAGCTGCCCTAACTTGGATGATCTTAGCATATGCCTACCTGATGTTGGTGCCACCACCTGATGTTAGACACTGGTTCACTCAATTATATCTACTCTTCAATAGGAAGTATTTTGGTAACTTGTGCTATTCTCGTGCTCATTGCTACACCTTTTTTAGGATATTAGATAATTAGAAGATTGTGGATAGCGGGTTTTAGCTGTAAAACATTGAAGAAATATATATAAATTAAAAATTAGTACATGGGTTGGACTCCGATTCGGCCATTAGAGGTTATTTCTTTTCATACTAATTTTTTTGCTAATCGTATTTTTATCATTATTTCGGAATTTTAATTCTGGAATGTATTGAATACTTTTTTGATAATTTAATTCTAGGAGTGGATTTAATTAATCAAGATTTTATAAAAGTATAAGTGCTTCTTACTTTTAAGTTGCAAGCATTTTGAAATGCTTCAAGTTGTTACTTGGTAGCCTATCGGGAAGTCAGCAGCCTTCCCATTTTATAAAGTTAACACTTGAGTTAGAATTTAGAGTCATTTTTTAATAGGCGATATATACTATAAATTTTCATTGAATTTAGGGATATTTATGTTATGATCTTGCATGGATGTAAGTTTCTTGTTACTCTAAATTTTCCGTCATAAACTTATTTCGTGGCAATTACAATTTTATTTCTAAGTACATATAGGTATTCTACATGTTAAGATTTGTCACTTTTGTGGTAAGTTTGACCTAGTTTTATTTATTTTGATTAATTTTCACACTCGCATGTCGTCCATTTGTTGTTAAAATTTTTCAACTTAGGAGAAATGTTTGAATTATTAAATGGAGTTTGAAAGAATTAATGAAAATAATTTGACTCTTTAAAATGTTTAGTTATGCTTTATGATTAAATTTATAAAATAAGTTCTTATATAATAAAAATTTATCAAATAAATACATAATTGACTTTTAAATTTAATTGATTTTTAGCACAATATATTTATTTGTAATTTTTACTTTTTTAAACAATAAAATCGAGGGTAATTTACTCAGTTTTCACGTCAGAACACATTTCTAATGCTTTTAAATTATTTTATTGTTAATATTAATCATTTCGTGTTTAAATTGATATAGTAATTTTTGGAATGATAAATTGACAATATAAACATTCTGCCATATAAGAATGACAATTTTCTTTTAAAGAAAATGAAAGTGTTTTATATTCATGTAAAGTAGGGATAACAAGAATTGTTGCAAATAATATATCAAATTAGTCTCTAAAGTTAAAATATTAATTTAGTTTTTTTTATTTTCTAGACTGCATATATTTTCTACAGAAAGAATACTATTTTAGTTTTTTAAATTGTCAAAAGATGATGAGTTGTTTGAATCTCAGATATTATCAAATGACATTTTAATTCACAAAATTACAAACCTATGAATTAAAATGACCATGTTTTATAAATTTAAAAATTAACATATAAAAAAATAAAATTCACAATTATAAGAATTAATATGGTATATTATTACTAATTTAACAGGTAGGGATAGGAGGAGGACGATGTTTGGGGCTGCTAGGCGACAAGTAAATAATAGACGTGCCCCCAACAAACGTGAAACTTGTGTTCGTGTAAACGCCTTTCAACATTCACTGCGTAAAAACACTCGAGACAGTATAAATATCTATTTAACATTTTATCTTTTTTCCATTATATTGTATTATCTAATCATCTATCATTTTTTACTATTATCCCTACACTCCTATATTTTATAGTTGTAGGTATTTTAAGGATATTTACAAAACATTTTTCTAAGTTTTAACATCTAAAAAATCCCTTTAGAGATAATGTTGCAAAAAATTGGTATTAAAACATCTGTAAAGAACCTTGACAAAATGGTAAGATTGCTATGTTGTTTGCACGTAAGCATATGACTTGTCGTAACAAGTGCCAAAGTCCAAAACAAGAGTTGCCCCGACGATCCCACCACATGGGCCGTTTCAGTAACCTAATTTTCAATAATTCAGAGTCCCCCCAAAATGCAAGAAAATAAAATAAATCCAAAAATATCGGACATATTAGTACTATTATACTAATATCTCATTAATTCCTTGTTTCTCTGCAACACCAAAAAAAAAAAAAGCAAAAACCAAAACATAAGCTAACACAGTGAACTCCATCCCACGCCTTCTCCTCCACCATGTCAATGCCACAAGTGCCGCCACCGCCGCCGCTGGTCACTCCGTTGGCGGCGGCGCCGACCGAGCTTCCGATCCGGCAGATTCCGGGAAGCTACGGGTGGCCGCTGGTAGGTCCTATGTCGGATAGATTGGACTACTTCTGGTTCCAGAAGCCAGAAAGCTTCTTCAGAAAGCGAATGGAGAAGTACAAAAGCACCGTGTTCCGTACCAATGTTCCTCCCTCGTTTCCCTTCTTCGTTAACGTTAACCCCAACGTTATCACCCTCCTTGATTGCAAATCCTTCTCCCACCTCTTTGACATGGACCTCGTCGAAAAGAAGGATGTTCTTGTCGGAGATTTTGTCCCCAGCGTTGCCTTCACCGGAAACATGAGAGTCAGCGTTTACCAAGATACTTCTGAGCCTCAACATTCTAAGGTACACACTTCTTCATCCATTCCTTCAATTATTATTATTTATTTCTGTGAAATATGAATTTGGCATAATTTATGTGAAGAAATTGAAGTTTTGGTCTGTACGATGAAATGAAACTGATTTTTATTAGGGGAATTATATTTTCACTAAAAAATATTAACAAAAGAAGAAGTGTGAGAGAAAATTAATTATTGTATTATGAAAAATGTGCACGTAGTTTTTTTTTAATTGTTGTTTTATTCTTTATGTGTGAAAGGATTAGGATTAGATGGGATGCGTATTGAAACTGCCTGAGTGGAAGAGAATTGTGTTAGGAAGAAAGAAACAAAAAAATATATATACACTTACTTTTAGCACTGTATGGACTAGGGAGGTATGACGTCGTTTTCACGATTCGTTTTACATGTGTACAATGACTCGCTCGCTACTTGGATTATTATTGTGTGGTTGCCACGAAGCTGAGCTGAGGTAGTTTGTTGATTTGCGCATTTGGATATGTTTCTAACTTCAACTACAATAATAGAAAAACCAAACAAATTTTAGGTGGAGATAAGTGTTAATTGCATGTTCAATTTTTTTAAATAACTATCTACATATATTAAGTTAAAGGAGCTTTGCAATTTGAATTTCTAATTTTCACCTTAACATGAGGGGTAGGGGAGAAATTTTGTTTGTGTGAACTACAAGTTCTAAATGAAGTTAAAGTTTGATTTTTTGAACAGTTAAATTTAATATAGTATTGTTGTAAAATTATTACATTGCTTTTTAATAATATGTTGAGTGTTAGCACATGAATAAAATGTTAAATCTTTTAGACTATTCTTATTATAAAAATTACTTATAATAATTAAAGTTAAGATTTTGTTGACTAATGTTCTGAAGACACTAATTAAGAAATTAAAAGTAATATACATATATATATATATATTTATTTATTTATTTTTTTTTTATAAAAATCATGTTAAGATATATCTGCCTTAAAGTAAAACCTCACTTTCTCTCTTTTTTTGGTTTCCAAAGTCGTCTCCTTAGAAACGTTCCGTTCCTTCGTTATTTTTCTCTTAGTTAGTTCTGTTTAGGTGGACAAGCTTTTTAGCAAGATTGACGAAAAAATGAAAAGCTTTTTAGCATGGAACCGGTCTTAATTCAAACCAGTTTCTATTCTGACATTAACTTGTTGTCCTTGTTTTAACTAATGTAATTTTGTCTAATTAAATTAATGATATTTCATGAACATTTTTCTCTGTCCCTCTACGGTAGCACCATGAATAAGTAATTGGCAACAGCAATAGCGTTTAATTTGTGCGTGCAGGTGAAGAGTTACATAATGGACATTCTGAAACGAGGCTCAGGCAAATGGGCATTGGAAGTGGTATCGAACTTGGACATAATGTTAGACAGCATCGAAGCAACACTATCCAAATCCTCGTCCGCATCGTACCTGTTTCTGCTTCAGCAATTCCTCTTCACGTTCCTATGCAAAGCACTTGCTGGCGCTGACCCTTCACGCGACCCGAAAATTGCGGAGTCAGGTTACGCTATGCTTAATCGTTGGCTTGCTTTGCAGCTTCTCCCCACAGTTAGCATTGGCTTCCTCCAACCCCTCGAAGAAATCTTCCTCCATTCCTTCGCTTATCCTTTCTTCCTCGTTAGTGGTGACTACAATAACCTCTACAACTTCATCAAACAACAAGGTCGTCCTTATATCCTACAATCTTTATCCATCTTATTTCCGCATTCAACTTTTACATTCTTACATCCTAAATATTTTAATTTATAGAGATTTTTATTTCATGAATAAAATTTAAAGGGTTTTAAATAAATATCATTCTAAAAGTGAAAATAAAAATTCAATTGAATTTGGAGTATAATATTCTAATGTGCTAAAATTTGAAGTATATGGATTAATTGTTAAAAATGAATTTGTACTGGTGGGACCAACTGTCATTTTAACTTTTAATTAATTATTGTTTAAGATGTGAGTTTGAATGTAACGTGTTAAAAGTAATAATTACATAACCTTGCTTAATTTAATTTGAATGGGCGATGAACAATAACAGGGAAGGAAACCATAAACAGAGGAGAAACGGGGTTTGGGTTGAGCGAAGAAGAGGCGATCCACAACTTGCTCTTCGTGCTGGGTTTCAACTCCTTCGGTGGATTCACCATTTTCCTTCCCAGTTTGATAGAAGCCATAGCCAACGGCTCCATCAGCTTGCAAGAGAAGCTTAGGAAGGAAGCCAGGGAAAAGGGTGGGTCAACTCTCACCTTTGACTCCGTCAAAGAGATGGAGCTCATTCAATCCATCGTTTACGAAACACTTAGAATGAACCCTCCCGTTCCTCTGCAGTACGGTCGAGCCAGAAAGGATTTCCAGTTGACTTCTTACGACGCGCGTTTTGACGTGAAGAAGGGCGAGTTACTCTGTGGCTTCCAGAAGCTCGTCATGAGGGACCCACAAGTGTTCGAGGAACCCGAAACTTTCAAACCGGACCGGTTCACTGGGGAAAAAGGGGCCCAGTTGTTGAACTATTTGTATTGGTCCAATGGGCCTCAAACTGGGTCTCCCAGCGTGTCAAATAAGCAGTGTGCCGGTAAGGATGTTGTCACCCTCACCGCGGCTTTGATTGTGGCCCACTTGTTTCGCAGGTATGATGTTATCAAAGGCGATGCCACTTCTATCACTGCCCTTAAAAAGGCCTAATGAAGGGTGAATATGTGTTTTCTCTGTCCAGGTTGTACTTAATCCAAGAATATTTGCTTAGCAAAATAACGATTAGTTTAATTATTATTTCCTAAATATTATACAAGAGCTTATAAATCAAGTCTATGTAACTATCTCATAGAATCATAGACCTTCTTTGTTAATGTCAACAATACCGATAAGCAATTCTTGTTCCACTTGGTCAGGTCATTTACACGATCGTATAACATTATTGAATTTAGTAAAAAAAAAATATTATTTATTATATGAATCTTTTTAATAATTTTTTAAAATTATTTTTCTATCTTTTTTACTGAATCACATGTTATGCCGTCTATTCTTTTATCCAGTATTATTTTTAACACGTGTTCAACTCACCTTAATAAATTTTATCATATTTTTTTCTCAACTAGTGCTACATTAATTTTTTTTTCTCTGTGACCATTGGTTCATTTTAGCATTCACAATGATGCATTTCTCCACTCCTCATCCTCCACCTCTTGTGTACTTTTCGTCAATGAATTTTTAATTAAACACTAGAAAATAGGATAAGAAAGTAACATAATGCAGAGAAACCGAGGAAGTAGAATGCATTGAAAAAATGTCCAAATGAGTATGATCAATTGGTAACGGCACTATTACATAGGTGAACAAATAGGAAAGCTAGCACCGTTGCCTTGCATATTGTGGGTAATGGAATCCCATACTTTCCTTTTCGGAAGAGTCCTTTCAAAAATGGCAAGTAACAAATAACCAAATATGCACAGCAAAACACCTCTCCTACCCCATATGCACGCTCATTCTTAACTAGAGGTTGCCACCACCAATAGCTGGTGACCAGTGCTATGAGTTGAATGAGCAAAATAGTTGTGCCAGGAACGAAAAGCAAAGACTCGTTGAAAATGAACCTACCATCATTTTCATCACCACTCGTGGAAGATGGTTGTTCCTTCTTTGTTATTTCAAAGATTGTGTCAGATATTCTCAACCGCTTAAGTAGAATGCCCAAGAATCCAAAAAAGCATGAAGTCATGGTGGTTATTCTTCCCATTCTTTGGTTGTTCCACCATGTTCTAGCTGACAACCCTGATATCAAATGCTCTGCTAGAGTAGATATGTTGTAGATCACAAACACGGTTACTGGGATCCACATTCCGGGTTCCTGCATGACCATTGTTTACACACAATTTAAACATATGATTTCAAAATGATCAACTACAGTTCTGTATGACATGTTTTGTGCTCACCTTATAAGGCAAGAAACTGGAATTGGTAATGATGCAATAGGCAGGGAGAACCGCATAACATATTTCAGGGACAGATCTTAAGGCCCAATTTGTGATCCAAATATATGCCAAGCACTCTCTTAATTGGAGATTACCAAATACTGTACCAAAAATTGGACAATGCTTGCTGAGGAAGATATCAAGCAACCCTGAGGACCACCTCTTATGTTGGGCCATTTGACCCAAGTTGTCTTGAGGTGAGCAGCCCATAAAGGCCATAGGATTTGGAGAACAAACTTCAGATCTCCAACCTTTTGTGTGCATTATCAGCCCAGTAAGTACATCCTCTGACGTGGATCCATATAGCCATCCTACCTAACATTCTCAATAGTCAACATAGTAAGCACTTTCTAGCATTTTTCAAGAAAAAATTTACAGAGTTTGGTGAGTAAATAGTTTAATTCTCACGCAAATATTACTAATTCAATCATAAGTCATACCAAAATTTTAAAATCCTTTATCAATTATGACACATTAAAAATAAAAATATTGAATTTTTTAGATGAAATATCTTTTAGTTCCCACCTGTTTACCCCAGGCGGTGCTGTATTCATATTCGCAACTAGCAACTTGGCTCTCTGCCTCAAGATCAAGATATTTGAAAAGCTTATCATTAGTTGTAAATGTCTTCCCTTCTAAAGTATGAGTGGCTGATTCAACAAATCCCCTTGAAGTTCCAAATTTTTGTACTAATTCCTTTTTTGATAATGTTCCTGCAGAAGATATACATGACTAGAAGTTTTATATTTCTTGGACTAACTAATATTCATGTTCTTTCTACTACATTAGTGAACTTTTGCCTTAACAGTTTTATTCATTTGGGAACTTTTGAAATCATGAAATCATAGTGAAAATTCAGTACCATTAGTGAAACCAAAGTCCTTCTTTGCATTTTGAATGGCATGATCAGGAGAAAGGCCGTAAATAACTTCTCTTCTGTGGAAGCAATTTGTTCCCGCGTATATAATCCCCTGAAGTCCTGCAAATCCACCTCCTATGTACTGCATTAGACAAACATAAAAAAAAAGTGATTTATTTATATACCAATTATTATCACTTCTGTCTCAAAGTTTATAAGCTTTCTCAGAATGCAAACTTGTTTGGTGTATGATTTACACACCATAGGCAAAGCCACCAGCTGATTTCCAAAAGCATCATCCTTTACTGCATCATAGAATCGTTGGGGACATTGAACAAATGCAACTTCTTTTTCTCCCTTTTGATCCAACAAAATGCAAAGGGCATGTAGTGCAATCTTAGGATTGTTCACATACATGTCACAATCTACGTTTAGGATAAAGGGTGCATTTGTCATCAACCCTGAGACTCTTGTCTGTCCATAATATTGATGGGAAATTTTGGATTAAAAGAAGGAAGGTATTAATGTGTGATCAAGAAAGATTTGATCCCTGAGAATGTTGTTAATGAGAGAATAGATTTATGGAATTAAGGAAATAAAATAAACGTACCAACACATTCATAGCACCAGCTTTGTAATGATGTGGATGTTGTGGCCTCTTCTCTCGAGATACGTAGATTAAGTGTGGCAACCCATCTGAAAGACCTTCCTTGTTCTCCCATATTACCTACCAACATGACTTAAAGCATTTCTTTTAATGCAAAGATGAGAGACTAGTATGTAGACATTTACTCCATGATATGATTCAATGAGCAGCAAATTTGGCATTTCAAAAAATGTTATCCACTAATGCTAATGAACAAATTACCAAGACCAATAGTATTTGACGTTTGAATATTTTAAAGATTGCTTGATGTACCTTAATTATGGTCGGATGGTTTTTCAGCTGTATTTTTGAGAAAACTGCGAATTCTCCGACAAGCTGACACGGATTCGACATTTGGGCCGCATTCTGAATTTTACGGCTAAGTTGTTCATATTCTTCCTGCAAATTATGAGAACAAAGACACCCATTTTCTTACACATCCACATTAGTTAGTTCACAGCCATAAATTCAGCTAATTACTACGCTCTACATTCACTTTATATATAAAAGAAAAGGAGAAGGGGAAAATAAATACATAAATTTTTCTTTTTCTTCTGTTACAATTGCAAAATAAATAAACAAATGAAAGGAGTATTATGTTAATTATTATTGCAGGATGTGTGTGTGTATGTATAACCAGCTTTCCTCTTTTGGTACACAACTAGCTTATAGACAAATTACCTTCATTTTGAACCATTCTTGTCGAAATTCTTGCAAGTCACCATTGTAAGCCTTGGCCGTGGCTTCATCAGAAAAGTACCTAAACGGTGCTCTAACTTGTACATTGTACTTCTTACAAAAAGGTACCCAAAGCTTGGCAAATTTAGAGGCTTCCACAAGGGCATAGAAGGTAAGAGGGGAGCATCCATCATCAGAAACATAGCAAGCTAGCTTGTTAGCTGGATAATCAAGTGCCAACAGAGACAACACAGTGTTGATTGTGATGATGGGTGGTTCAAGCACTGGATCTGCTGTCGTCACAAACAGATCCAATGGTGGAAGCTCAGGTACCCTGTTGACAAAAACGCATCCACAAACCCTCTAGTAAACAAAAATAGTACCTTCGCACCAGAACTAGAACAATACTTCATGTGGGTAATGAGCATCTCATACATTATAAAGATAGATTTTTCTAATCATTGCGACATTGCTCGTAATAACAAATCAATGAATAACAACTTTTTTTTAAAAAAAAATTGTAGCATTTTACAACATCAATACATTAAATTGCAGTGAACTTCATAATTTTTTTTATAAAAACTAATCATGTATAAATACCTATTACGTGCAATGTTCTAAAAGTTAGAAAAGAAAAAGTATAGTAAATTACCGAAGAAGTAGAAGGTCTAGGTAGGTTGTGGTGTGTGCAGGAGTCCATTTTGTGCTCATGGTGGTGATCCAAGTGAAGGTGAACCATGACTCGCATAGGAATGCAACAAACCAAGGGAATGTGTTGATGCTACGAGAGCAAACACGGTAACCAAGGAGCATGAGAAGTAGGAGCAGAACCATGGAATCCATTGCTCTTGAAAAAGTGTGTTTTACCCAATTTTTTTGGTAGAGAGGAAAAGTGTTTTGATTGGCCATTGAGAAACTCAAACTAGAAATGAAATGGACTGGTGGTAGCCTAGCCACTGAATAATGTGCTTCTTGCTTAGGGGAAGTGTTCCTTTTAAAGACAAAAAAACAATCATGGCTGCTCATGCTCGCCAGATTGATTTCAATTATAGTAGATTATACATTATTTTTAATTATCACTTGTTATTATAAAATAAAAAAGAAAGATTATTAATTTACAAGTCATATTTTAGTGGTTGAGGCAGAAAGATTGGAGAAATAAAAAAGAAATGGATATGATGAGTGATCGAACGTGAAAAAGGAGAGAGAAATATTAAAAAAAACTAGGTATAGAAACGTAAGGAAAATTAAGAGTGCGTGATATCATTGTTGTAAAATTGACTAATTCATTTACATTTTTTAATTTACTTTATTCTTTTGCTAACCTGGTGATTTTCTTATATTCAAATATTTTATATTTTTACATGTTTTTGTTCCCCTCAGATAATATCACTTGGATTAAATTATTTTAAAATTAAATACTAAAACAAAAAATGAATTATTAAATTTGAAATCTTACAAAAACATATAAATTCAACTTAAAATATATTCAAATTTCAATTAATAGACACGTAAATGACGCATCACAATTTATTTTTAAAATTTTCTTTTCAATTAAAAAAGCTTTATCACTTTGACCTTTTATCCAATAAAACTCCTATTATTGATAATAAACAGCATCTCTTATACAAACTGCGTATATGACTTGGCCCATCCTGTCTGCTCAAGCTTACAGTTAAAATGACTAATTTGCATTAACATTAATGGTAGAAAATATATATATTGAAGACTTTTTGAGATATTTATCGATTATAAATAAATAGCATTTTCATATTGAAAATGAAATTTAAACTTATATTTTACTGAAATATGAATATAATCAGTAGTAACTAGACTAATTTTTGTTGACTCGTAAACATATTGTATTTAATATTGAAGTAACGTTATGTCAAAATGAAGTTTTATTATTTAGACAGGAGTCTAATTAAATGAAACATATGTGAAAGTTAGTCATCTTGCATAAAAATAAAAACCAAAACAACCTACTATAATAGGTAATGTTTCTTCACCATTGGTGGTCAACTAATTTGTATGGACCACCGAACTGGATAGCCACAAGTGAAGATAAAACATCAAAATACTTCACATCTAAGTTCAAAGAAAGACCATGTTTTACTAATCTATCAGCGATTGAATTTCCCTTTCAGAAAATATAAATTCACTAGAAAGCATGTTTAGTCCTAATGATTTTGTACAAAGTTGCGTGACTGCACAGCTATTATCAAGAAAGAGTATCGCATTCTTCGAATTAGCTTCGGTGACAACTCTTCTGAATATTCATTTTTTAGGAATTTCTTGGCCATCTCATACACCCCATAACCCCATTTGCATGATACTGCAAATATGAAAAAGCTGCTATGAAGACAGGTGATTCCTGAGAAAATGTTAGATAGACATGGCTTATGCATAAACCCACATAAATTGAAAAGAAATAAACAGAAATGAAAAATAAAATAAAAATGATGAATGAAGGGAAAAGGCAAGAAAATTAAGACAACAGAAAATTTTAGCATGTCGGAAATTATGGAAAATAAATAGAGAGAATAAGGGCTTGACAAATTTCTTCAATTTTCATACATACAATGCTTTCCTTTATGTATTTGTTAGCTTAATACATATTAATCCTTTTGAAAATGAAAGGTTTCCCCTTTAATTTAATTTTTATATATGACTTGCACTTATTATAAAAGTCTTCTCGCATCAAGGATTTTTTTAGGTACCTCATCTTTTCAGGATCTTTATCTCATTCATAAGGAATATAAATATAAACAAGACCACTCAATAAATAATTCATAAACATTACAATACTCAAGAATGTTGTTCAAAAATTTATATTCTGTTAATTTTCGTCCTCAAGCCTTATAACATTGATGCAAAACAAAAGTTTTTCAACCACTCATTTCTGTAATCTTCTGTAAAATGTTCCAAAATGTGATGTTTAAAATAATTCTGAGTAGATGGAACTAATTTAGCGAATAATAATATTAACTTATTTTACTTGCAACCAATCCCCAAAGTTGTTTGTTTGTCTGATTCCACCATTTTATTTTTAATAGACAAAACAATTGGTGACAAAATTAACGGTTGTCGTTTTATATATATATTTTTAACAGTGCCTCCCTTGAGATGTGTTCTGATTGATTCATGGACTCAGTGCATGTTTAAAAATGTGATATGAATCACGTTAGATTGTGTTTTTAAAAATATGTTCAAAGAACTTGTATATAAATTCAACACGAGTTACAATTAAGTTTGGTTGAAATCACACAAAAAAAAATCTGTAAACATAAATTAATGCAAAAGCTCTGAAGCATGACACTTCCCATGAAGTACGGGTGCCAGGTAACTGAAAAAATTTTGCACAAAAATAATTGAGTACGAGAAGGAATTACGCGGGTACGGTTTGGTATGGAAAATGATTTTTTTTAATTAAAATTTTAGAGTTTTAGGTTTTTTTTTTAAAAAAATATGATTTAATTGTCTCTTTTTTCTCTCTAACTTTTACATGTCAGTACTTTCTTCTGCCTTCACATATCTACAGACTGTGTACTATTATTTTTCTTCTCTCATTTAAAACCTCAACCATCAGCTTTCCTTATTAATCGACAAACAACAAACAACAACAAATGTCAACAATGACAAATTTGGTGACTATCTTTTTCGACAATGATAAACCACAATTATGCTAAAATTTGTATACTTTTATTTTATATATAATTTTTTTATATTTATTTTGTATAATTTTATGTGTCTATATATATATATATATATTTATTAATTTTTTAATTAACATACCCGTACCCTATTCTTTTAGAAAATGTTGTACCGGTACCGTATCCATATCCATTCAACATAATGCAGAAGCTACATTTAATAATGTTAAAATAAACCTCAATACATGTACATTTCAAAGTAAAACTAAACAAGTTATATTAGTGTTGAAATAAATATAAACCAATAATGATTCAAAGGTGAAGCAAAATAGCAGTTATCGTGTGAAGAGGCAACATGCCATATTAAAGGCATCCTACACCCATTTGCAAATACAAATAAAGTGGAAAGAATAATTATATTCCGAATTTCATCCTCTTTCTTTCATTTATATTTTAGAAAAAAGTTATGATTCATGAACATTTATAAATCCGAATCTCAATAAATTGGATATTCTCTTGTTTAAGTTGAAGTTTCTATGTCTATTTGCAAATAAAAGCATGGACCATGAACATGACAGTGACGAAATATACGTCGACAACATGTACAAGGACAAATAAACTTGTATATTTAATGAATGGCATTCCACGGGCATTTGGAAAATCACTGCAGACAAGAACATGCCTCTAATGGCACTCGATGAAAAGTACGGTATCTCTCTTCGTTCTATGCCCATTTGCTCAGAATTTTGTATATATGTCCAACTCACTTTTTTGTACTATTTTCAGGCCTTTTGCTTTAGACTATTTAAAGTTTAACTCTGATTTATGAATATTTCAATGCGGTTACTATTTATTTGACATCTCTTTATATATATATTCTTATCACATCACATTACTTATCAAATTTATAATTTTTATTTTATTTTTTATATCTCTTTGTAAGTGCAAATACTCAAAAGTGATTATCAAACATTTTCCTTTAATAAACTAAGTGATGCAGCCTGTGAACACCTTGCAAAATATATCTACCCAAAAAGATGTTAACAAAATATATTCCTGACTCTTGTTAAGTAATTCGGAGTTGGTAGCAGAGGGTAAAATAGACCTACACGGGGAGAGATTTCAGAGACAAAATCCATGTAATCTCTGAAAACTCCTGTTGTTAAAGGAGTTCTAAAATATTCTTAGAATATTACTTTGGGTAAATTTATGAACGTTAAGATTTTATTTTACTCTAAACACGTGTGTTACGAAGAAATGTCAAATATGTAGGCTTGTAAATTTTATTCCTTTCGCTGGGCCGATGGACCTGGGCTTAGGTTAGTCTGACCTATGAAACCCATGGATGCCATGGAATTTCAATTTGGCAAACAAGTTTCAGATTTGCAACCTTTTTTTAGCATTTTGAATTTTACGCCTAAGGTGCTAATACTAGTCCAATAATAGTTATGACATTCAAAATTTGTAATTACTATGCATGTTAAACAGATGATATTTTATTAAAATCCATTCTTTTTTTCGTTGTATTATAAAATTACACTAAACCGCTTGTGTGTGTGTATAGTTACTCATTTGTAAAACTATACGTGATTGTATTTTAACTTAAATGTTGTTGTATGAAACGTCTTAAACTAGAGTGTTTTTCATATTATTGCAGGAATATACTTGTGTTTGTGCTCAATGTTATGAACAGTTGTGGAGGCTCAAACGTGCCTATGCGATGCTATAACGCATATTCGAACACACTGATAGCTTGTTTGGGTATGGTTTCAAACGGAATTGTTGGTGGTGGTGGCCTCATCAGAGAAGTATCTAAACGAGGGTGCACTTTTTAACTCTTAGCTTAATAATTGGATCCATCCTTACTTCAGAAATAATGAGGGGTACTCCTTCCACTTAGATTCATTGCATACCTTAAGCAAACAGAAATGTTATCTTTGTTGTTCAATGCCATACTTCTATGAAAAGCTACAATCAGAATCAACTTTCAAATAAAACTTTCAGAAACAAGCAGTCATAAATTTTTCTCATATAAAAAGTTTTATCACAAAAACGCTTCAGAATTTCCTGCTTTCAACAGTCGTACATATGGTATAAATAGTTAAATATAAAAAAGGGAGGGTAGAAATACAATGGCATTTGTATTGGCTTTCTACAATTTTGACTTTTCATGAATACCTTATTTTAACTATATGGGAACCTATGGTGATTTGCTACTACATATACTAAATATCACTTTCCTGAAACAAGTATGCAACAACAACCAAATGGAGGCCATAGCATGTCTAAGATGTTTGTACTTTCCCTTTAGACTGAGTTTTAGATTTGGCAATCCCTTCTTTCCATCCTTTCTGACGAGCTCTTAGTTCCCACAATGCAGTCAGCTTCTTCTGAGCCACCAATGCCATCTCAGCCTTATCCCTGGCTTCCTCGCACGTCTCCATTCCTGAATTGCACTTGTCTGCTTCTTTTTGATACTGAGATGCAATCTTCTTAGACTCTAGCAGAGCCATGTTGGTGCGTTGCTGGTATTTCAATGCTTCCGTTTCCCGTAGATTTAGTTCTTCTGACAATAACTCCGCAACATCTTTTTCAGTGTCTACATCCACCTCTGGGTTGTGCTTTGCACAATCTAAATGACAGTTCAATTAATCAAGAAAAGAAACAGCAGTTGGTAAAAGGAGTTGGATATAAAAAACACATAGAAATAGTACTTTTGTGACCATACAGCTGCAGCAAAATAAAATTTGTGTTGTTAAGGTTTTATCTCATCTCCAGCCAGACTCAATTGCTAATTTATGTTGAAAATGATACATCACACCCAACTGTGAAGTAACATGTAATCCAAGCAATTCATGATCATGCCTTCATTTAAACACAACAGATTATTGGTTGCCTCACAGAACAAAACTTCTGCAACACTAGCTAAGTACCGTTAAGTACTAGATTGACATAAAACAAATTTCTATATTGTATACTACACATAGTCCTTCATTAATTGATTTTTCAAGAACAAGAAAATAGGCCAATAATGAATCAATTTATATAGAAAAAGAAAACACACAGAAGGCACATAAGATTAACGATCAAATAGTTCATCCAACCAGGGAAGAAAAATCATGCTAGCTTACTAGTTAAGGAAAGTAACTACGTTAATTGAGCTCCTATCATCATACAAATGTGCTTCACATTCATTCATGGAGTGGTTATGGTATACCATCAAGAAGGGTTTACTCATGTACAGTACACAAACTGATTTATCTCACTGGAATTTCATTTTGGAAAATAAACACCAACCTCCAAATGAAGAGTTGCTAAACCCTGCAGAAATACAGATAAGAAACTGAAATAAGCATAAGTTTGATTTCGTATGAGATTAAGAGAAAGGAGCAAGAAATCATAGCGAAGCAACAGCCTTCAATTTGAACTAGAATTGCTCGGAAAGTACAAAAACAAATGAAATAATTTACAAATTTATTAGTGATAATTGATAACCAAAGACTTCAGAAGTGTTGAACAGTTATTTTACTTAGGTCAGTATTCGTTTTAATTGAAATCAGGCTCAATGGTTTGCAGTGAATAGTCGTGGTGATTCAGGGAAACTATATCATATGCCAGTTTTATGATAAATAATAAAAGTAACAGTAATAAAATAAATAAATAAAAAAACAGAATAGAACTAGATCTAAACTCCAAAAAACATGACTTGATTATTTTAGGAAACATAATGAGAAGGTGAAGAAGTTGTAAAAAGAAACACATAAACCCAGAAAAGAAAAAGGGAAATTGATGGGAAAGGTGTGTACTTTGAGATAGAAAAACGAAAACCTTGGGGAATAGAAATGATGGGGTGGGAAGAACAATCACAGATGCAAGGAGCGCATACAGAAGAAGAATGTTTGATGACTTCAAGGAGGTGCCAATAGAGAGGGGGTCCCAATATGTATCCTGCAATGCACACCGCTACCATCCCCAAACCCACCCTCACCACAACACCATCACACCTCTTACCCATCTCTCTCTCTCTCTGCAATGGCAATTTGGCAACTGCTAAGAACCTGTTCTTTCTTCTTCACTCTTCTTCACCTCCTTCTACATTCTTTTTTATTTAAATGGATTGTTAATTATACTTATATATCTCACTAAATACATTTTAGTGATAATTTTTTACATTTAATTTTCTTACCATATAGTATTTGAGATATATACAATAAATGAACTTATCTTTAATTAATTTTCTCCTGTTATTCTTTATTCTCAAGTTGAATCACTCTGTCTCTCGTGTGTTTATTTATTATGGTTTTTGACTTTTGACAAACACGTAGTCACACTGCTTCTGCCACCCCCACGCCTAATTTCTCATTTCTATTAGAATTGCATTTTAGACAACTTTTTAGAGGACACGAAATTCTTAAAAACTGTTTAGTGAATCTCATGCCATTCCTTTTTGACTATGTTCATATCGTAATTGAATCCTAACTAACTTTTCGAAAAATATATTAAATAAGTTTGCTTTGAAAATTTTAATATTAGATTTAAAAATTGCTCTATTGGCATTATCATTCTTATTTTCATTTTATAAAATTCAAATTTTTATCCTACATTCCACTCTCTATTTTAAATGAGAAATGTTCTTAACGTATTCTTTTTAATATATATTCAATTAAATAATCTCACTTACAATTTATCTAACAATAAAAAAATATTTAAAATATATTATTAGTATGTTATTAAAAAGTATTTATTATCACTCTTATATATCTATTGTCATTTATATTCATTTTTATAATAAAAAACTATTTTCTTTGTTTATTAAGTTATTAATTAAGGGGAATGTAAAACTTAATTAAATATGGATGATAATAGACAAGTTAAAATAATAATGAAGACTTTATTTTGTCTCACTTTATGATTGAATTGCATTTTAATTATAAAAATAATGGATTAAATCGGCTAACTTATACTAAATTTTTATCAATTTCATATCTATTTTAATTTTTAAAATTATTTAAAACCCATATCTATTTTAAATCACCACTGGATATTCGCTATTTATTTGATTGAGTTGACTCATTTTTTATTTACCTCGTCAAAATTGGATGAAAATGAATCATTTCATCTACATTATCTGTAACATATTATTATGTAATTATTTTGTATTTAAATTTTCCATAAACTTTGAAAATTTTTCATTATGTACTTATTAAAATGAAATAATATTTTTTTTTTCATTCACAAAATTGCTATTTTATTATAAATACATATTTTTTTTATAAGAAACAGTTCTACTTCAATAAAAAGATTTATAACAAAACAATTTTAATTTTTTAAACAAGAAGTGAGTCAAACATTTTAATATAAGAAGATTTATTCTTAACATTATGCATTTTTGCCTTTTTGAATTCTTATATGGATTTGATTTGTGCATTTCATCTATTTAACTTATGTTTAAAAAATATTTAAATTTAACCACTAATCTTTTATTAAATTATATATTTAACTGTAGTATGGTCAATCCAACTGGGATATTTGAGTGAAGTTTTTCATTTTTTTTCTTTTATATATAACTAAGGTGATGCTTGGAAGTTGGAGGAAGGGATTAATTCTCAACTAAATCACTTTTTTGAAAATATAATTCTCATAAATAGGATATTTGAAAAAAAAATACATAAAATATATTTAGCTAGTGTTCAAATTTCTATGAATAATATATTTACCACTAATTATCACAAGAAAATTTATCCAAAAATGCAATCAAAATATTAGTGGATGTGTGTCTTCTGATATGCATACAAGAAATCTCCCTCACAGCTGAAGCTGTTGCCTTTGAGTGATCTTTCAAGTCTCAATAACTTACTTTACAGAGTAAAGAAACTGGAGTAGCAAGATGCATTAGATAAACATGATCAATATGTGTTGGTACTTCTACAAAAGAGCACAAATAGGAAGGTCAGCACCATTGACTTGCATATTGTGGGTAAGGGAATCCCATACTTTCCTTTCCCAAACAGTCCTATAAAGAATGGCCAATAACACACAACCAAATAAGCACTACAGAACACCTCACCTACACCTGATCCATGCCCACTTCTAGCTGGTGGTTGCCATCCCAACCAATACATAACCAGTGCTGTTAGTTGAATAAGCAAAACGGTTGTCCCAAGTAGAAAAATTGGAGACTCATTGAAAATGAACCTACCAGCATCTTCATTACTAGAAGATGGTTCCTCTTTCCTTGTTATTTCAAAGACAGTGTCACATATTATCAATCGCTTAAATAGAATGGCCAAAAATCCAAAAAACCAAGCAGTCATGCTTGTTATCCTTGCCATCCTTTGGGTGTTCCACCATGTTCTAATTGACAACCCTATTTTCAAGTGTTCCAACATAGTGGCTATGTTGTATATCACAAACAAAGAAGCAGGGATCCATAGGTTGCTTTCCTGTGGGATCATCATTCACATTATCCACACACACACAATTGAAAGCAGTGAAAAAAGTGCTTTGAGTTCATAAATATAAATACAATGCAAATCATAAAAGCTTGAAGTGAGAGAAAATTTGGAAGGGCAGTTTAAAGTTTGTATAGGAAACAGTAAAAATAAAAAAAAATTCAATTTTTATATATAAATATTTTAAAAAGAAAAAAAAGTATTTTTTTAATTAGAATTGAAAATAATAAATTTAACTCGCTTTAAAATAGATATACCATTATTATTTTTTTACTTTAGACTTTGTGCTGACCTTAGGCAAGAAGGTGGAGTTGGTAAAGATGCAAATGGCAGGGAGAGCGGCATAGCATATTTCAGGAACAGATCGTAAGGCCCAGCTTGAAAAACAAATATAGCCCAAGCACTCTCTGAATTGGAGCTTACCAAATAAGGTACCAAAAATTGGGCTATGTTTGCTGAGTAAGATGTCAAGCAAGCCTGACGCCCATCTCTTCTTCTGGCCCATCACAGCTGTGATATCTTGGGGCGAGCAGCCCATGAAGGCCATTGGATCTGGTGAACACACTTCAGATTTCCAACCTTTTGTGTGGATTTTCAGCCCAGTAAGCACATCCTCTGATGTTGATCCATATATCCAACCCACCTAAAGTTCACAAAACACCAAGAGTAACATTTTTAATACAACAAATATAATTTTGCACAAAGGGATTTAGCAAGTAAATATCTTGATTCTCGACTATGTATAAATATTCAAGCATAAGTAATTCAAAAAATTTAAGATCTCGTTTTAATTACGGCATATAAAATTGAAAATCTTGATTTGGATTATACAAAAATATCTTTTTAAGGGAGAGAATCAATGTATCCACTTTTGTAAGGTAGCTATACTTAGATACATATTTAAGCAAGATACTTAACTTACATATGATTTGTTTGTCTAAATATGTGATTTTAAATAAATTTCTGGTTTAGTACTTGAAAAAAAAAATTGTTTGGATACCAATTTTGTTCCCTTATTTTGTAGTTGTTATTGCCCACCTTTTTACCCCAGGAAGTGTTGTTTTCGTATCCACAACTAGCAACTTCGTTGGCTGCCTCAACATAAAGAGAAATGCAAAGGTTATCATTTTGAGTAAATGTCTTCCCTTCTAAAGCAAGAGCAGCTGATTCTCCAAATCCCCTTGAAGTTCCAAATTTTCCTATCATTTCCTTTTCCAATAGTGTTCCTGCAAAACATATATAAGATATTGAGTCATGCTAACTATCACTTTCTGAACATTAGTTTAAAAATTTTAGAAGTTTTATTAAAATGCACAAAAAATTGCTAGAGAAGGTACAATAATATTTTTTGACAAAAGAAACTTATTTTGAAAGTACAGAATAATATTTGCCTAACATAAATACAAAATGTTTTAAGTTTGCTGGGCTAGTATGTATTAAAATATTTTGGCTCAAAATTGTATTCACTTGGGAGTTTTTGAAATCATGAAAACATAGTGGATGGCATTTGAAGTTACCACTGGTGAAATTAAGATGAGAAGGATGAAGGCCATAAATAACTTTTCTTCTGTGGAAGCAATTTGTTCCCCCATACACAATCCCTTGAAGTCCTGCAAAGCCTCCTCCTACGTACTGCATTATACAAAACAATGGTAAAGATATTTGTTGATACACATGCTTATTAGTTATTATAATTATTAATTTGTCTTAGTTCATAACACGTTTTTGCTATAATTCTTGTAAGGTTTTCATATACGTCGTTTGAAATTTGACTCACCATAGAGAAAGCCACTATCTGACTTCCAAAAGGATCATCCTTTAACCCATCGTAGAATTTCTGGGGGCATTGAGTAAATGCAACTTCTTTTTCTCCCTTTGGATCGAGCAAGATGCACATTGCGTGTAATGCAATCTTAGGATTGGTCACATGCATGTCGCAGTCCACATTTAGGATAAACGGGGCATTTGTCATCAACCCAGAGACTCTTGTCTATACATAATACAAATGATGGAATTTTTTGGATCAAAAGGAGATATGTATTAGTTTGTGATTCACTTGTGAGAATATTTATCAGTAATGAGATAACAACAATCAAAATGATAAATTTCTAAATAAATTCTTATAAAAAAATTATAAAGAATGAATAAAATTTCTTACGTAAATTAGTAGTGAGAGAAGAAGGATTATTTATGAAGTTAATAAGAAGATAAACGTACTTACCAAGACATTCATAGCACCGGCTTTGTAATGATGTGGATGTTGTGGCCTCTTCTCTCGAGTTATGTAGATTAAGTGGGGGATCCCATCTGAAAGCCTTTCCTTGTTCTCCCATATTACCTTCCAACAATTAGGGTTTTTTTTTATCTTTTCATTAATGCAATTATAGATTAATACGCTTGTTCAATTCTTCTACTTCTATCAAGATTGGAAGTGATGCTTCGTATTTTCCTCTCTCTCCATTTTATAAAATAAAAAACAAAATGGTTAATTTTTTTTATGATCAAACAAAATTAATTCTATATTTAATTATATTTTCTTTCATAAACATCTCTATTAAATGAATGAATTAGTAACATATGTATTAACTAGTTAAATATTTTATTTAAAAAATTTCCACAATAAATTAAATATATAGAAAGAATTTAATAAATAAGACATTAAAAAAAGTCTGTATTTCTTATAATTAGGATACAAATTCCTTGAATGTTTATATAAATTTTCTAGTTCTATTTATAGGATTCTTTTAACTAAATTATATATATTAAAATAAATTATTATAGTAGTTTTTTAAAAAACTATTAAAAACATTTCAATTTTTTGAAAAACAAAATTATTAAATATTTAATACATTATTCAAGTTTTTGAAAATTTAATTTTCAATCAATCAGGTAACTTATTAATATTAATTAGCTAGTTTGCGTTATTTTTTCCAAATAATTATAATTTCTAAAAATATAATATATTTTAAATTTTATAAAATAACTATTTTTAATCTTTAAAAATTGTAAAAAAATAAACACTGCTTTTTGGAATAGCCTATTCAAATGACCTGCATATCCCTTCTAGTAATGTTAATGCATTGATTATACACACCCCATTTTGTATAGGTTCATAAACATATAGGTTCATAATTGTTACACAATGATATTTTCTATTTACCTTAATTATGGTTGGATGATCTGTCTGCTGTGCTCCCGAGAACGCTGCAAAATCTCCATCAAGCTGAAATGGAGTCCTTTTTTTGGCTGCATTTTGAATTTTAAGGGTAAGTTTTACATACTCCTCCTGCGAAAATTCGACAAAAAAGAGAGAGGCAATTTTAGCGTTGTGTCATCCTTATCACTGACATTGTAGCTGTTTCTTCTCACTTTATTGTATCCAAAGATAAAATGTAAATTGAAAAATAGTATGCAGCCGTATTTACACTTAGAAAAAAGAAAAAAAATGTGATAAATAAAATGATATAACAAAAATGTTAAAATATATTATTTTAAACATAATTTTTCTAACGTATTTTATATGCTTGACTTATTTTTTCCAGGCTGGCAGCGGGGTGAAAGAATCCTATGGAGTTGAGTCGATGTTTCAACAAATTAATGAACAAATATTTTATTCCTACAACTTTTTCATAATTCAATAAATGATATCATAAAAATATATTAAAAAAATAGTCACAAAGAAGTGTAAGAATAATATAAATCATTAGTGAAAGTAGAATCCCAACACGGTTAGCACTCAATTAATTACCTTCAATTTTGGGTAGACAAAGTGGCAAAAAGACTTGAAATTTTACCTTCATTCTAAACCATTTTTGTTTAAATTCTAGCAATTCGTCTTCATTACTGTCATTAGCCACGAACTCTTCAGTGAAGTATCTAAAGGGGGCTCTAATTTGTATATGGTACTTCTTGCAAAAGGGAACCCAAAGCTTAGCAAATTTAGAGGCTTCCACAAGAGCATAAAAGGTAAGAGGGGAACACCCATCATCAGAAACATAGCAAGCTAGCTCGTTAGCTGGATAATCAAGTGCCAACAGAGACAACACAGTGTTGATTGTGATGATGGGTGGTTCAAGCTCTGGATATGCCGTTGTCACAAATAGATCCAATGGTGGAAGCTCAGGTACCCTGTAGCAAAAATGTAAAATTAAAATAGTCATGCATGAGCCGAAAATAAGTAAAAGCAAACTTATATTAAAAGCTATGATTTTCTAAAATAATATTAGAAGCATAAGATTAATTTCATGTGGGAATGTAACATCATGCATTATAGTTTGACTTAATTTTATAAGGGGTGGTTTGAAATTTCAGTTTCTATGTGAGAACTTTATTAGTAAAGCTTTGTATAAAGAAGAAAAAAGATAAGTATTGCAGGATGATACCGACACAAGAGACGGTGAAGGTAGGTTTTGGTATATGCAGGAGTCCACTTGGTGCTGATGGTGATGACACAAATGAAGGTGAACTATGATTCGCATAGGAATGCAACAATCCAAATGAGAGAATAGTGGTTATGGCAGAAAATGCGATAACCAAGAAGGAGAAGAAGAAGGAGCAGAATCAAGGAATCTATTATTCTTGAAAATGTTCGCTTTATCAAAAAATTTTCATAAAATGGGAGTCTGTTTTGATCGGCCATTGAGCAAATTGTTCAGAAACTCTCTAGTGTTTGGTTTTGTGTAGCTAATTTGCTCCTTCACTGTGGAAAGATGGTTATTATTTAAAGGCAATGAGAAATGGACAACACGAGTTCAAGAGAATCAAGACAAGTACTTTGGTCTAAACTTGAAATAATGTTTTTGACGAATAAAAACACATAAATAGATTTTTATTTCTTATAAATATTATTAGATTCCATTTTTTAAAATTATTTTTTAACAAGTTATAATAATTTATATATAGTAAATTTTTATTAAAAATGATATAGTATAATGCAATTTAACATATTAATAATATTATACTCTATAATTTTTAATAAAAATATTTATTAATTTATTTTTTGCGCAAGTTAACAAATTATCTTTTTTAAAACATAATATGTATATAATTATATCATATTAATAACGGTTTATTAAAAGTTAAGTTTAAAAAATTAATAATTACATGATTTTATTAAAATATATTAAAATATAAGTATTTTATATTTTTAATATAATAATTTTTTTAAAAAATGTTACTTTTAAATATTCGATTTTAACAGTTGAGATTAACAAGATTGTATTAATAATTATCAAGTAACATGATATATCTTACATATGTTATGACTATTTTTAAAAATTTTAAATTTATAAAAATAAATTCAACTATATTTATAAGAATAGAAAATATATTCTTTAAAAATAAAATAATATTTTTAAAATTTCAATACAGTTTAATTTATTAAGCTTTTTGTTGTAATTTTATAATTAAGATATAAAATACCATTCTTTATTTAAGTAAAATACAATAATTTGGTTTAGCTTCTTCAACATATACCTAGATAATATTTATAAAATAAATATTTTTATGGGTTATTTTGCCTTTGTTAACAAGTTATTAATTTCATTGATACATGTTTTGATCATCTAAAGAAGTCTCTTACAATAGCAAAAAAAGAAGTCTCTTATACTGTATAAATTTTAACTAAAAGAGTTAGTTTCACCGTCTATAAATTTTTATATTAAATTTTTTTATAAATTATATAAAATATAGTTAATGGCGTACATGTGTTTTATTTTAATATATATATATATATATATATATGTATGTATGTATATGTATTAATAAATTTAAATAATTATATATATAATAAATTATTTTAACAATATGAATGCTACCATAAAAGAAATACATGGTATATATTAAAAAATAATAACTTTTTAAAGTAATATAAATTATTAAATATTTTATTACTAAGTATAAATATGAAAAAGGACTGAATACGCGTTAGCATTTAATGTTGTATTCATTAAATATAATATATAATTAATTTAATATTAAATATTGACGACACAATCAAATATTATATTCAATAGAAGAATAATTTTTTAACAAAAAATATATAATAAACATATTAATTAATTTATAAATTTCTTTTTTTATAAAATTCCATATTTAATGCAATTTTTTAAGCTAATAGGTGATTGATTCATGTCCTACATACTTGATTAAGCAATATCATCATTATTTTTTTCAAAATAAAATTCAAATTTATATTATATTATATGATAAAATAATAATTATATGTAATAAATTTTTTCTAAAATAAAAATTATTTTTACTGGATAGAATTTATAATTTTATTTATTTATGTCATTTTTTAATTTACTAACTAGTGCATGACAATATTAGTTAAGAAATTTAAGTTTTTTTAAGAAATTATTATTATTATTATTATTATTATTTATATATATTTAATATTTTTATTTCTATATTTCATGTTTTTAAAGTTATAATTAGTAATATTTTATTAAGAAAATAATTTTTAACCTAAATTTTTAGAATTAAATTCAAATAGATAAAATAGTAAATTATTAAAAAATAATGTTTTTTTATAATTTTACACTGTCGATTTAATAAATATTTTCTAATAAAAAATTAAAATTTTAAAAAATAAGATTAATATATTTTAATAATATTGTTGTTTTAAAAAAATATATCCACAGTGAGGACACCCGATAATAAAGTACATTAAAAAATGGGAATTGCATGAAATAGGACAGCAATCATCAATTTTTTTGTTTTGATATACAGCAATCATCAATTTGAAATGGAAACCCTATTTTAAATTTATAAATTGGTGTAGTCTTATTTAAACTCCTTAAAAGTTGTAATTTTTTTTGTCTCTCTTTTAAAATTTAAATAATTCTCTATAAAACTTTTTTTTATTATCGTATAATCTTTTTTGCTACTTTTTATATATATCATAGTTTTTATTTATTCTCTTTATTAAGCGGATCAAACAAAAAAACAGAAGTTATAAGAAGATCATTTGATAAAGAAAATTATTCTATAAAAATTCATTTTAAATAATTAAAAATGCGAGATTTAATAAAAAAAATAAAAATTTAGACAAACTAAAATTTTAATTAAAGCATATAGATATTCAGAAATAAAAGGCATGGAAAGTAATTATGCAATGAATTGGGACTAGGGTAAATCCTTTAAGACATTTATCATAAAACTCCAAGACTTTACGTAATATTTCTAGCTTTAAATTATGTGAACCAAATTACATATGTTAGCTCGTAATTACGTGAGCAAAACAATCTTGTAGATGACACGTTATATGTTGTGCAAGCGATGCACGTCTCTCGTAAGAAAATGTTCCATACTTCAGAACTCTGATGTGTTTCAATAGCTAATTTTTCACTATGGAAACATAAATGAAAACAAATTAATGTAGCAGAATACATTAAAGCCCACTAAATGAATTCCATGATCAACCCCTAATGGCACTTTTACAGAAGTGCACAAAAATAAAAGCCAACACTGTTGACTTGCATATTGTGGATAAGGGAATCCCATACTTTCCTTTCTGGAACAAACCTTTCAAAAATGGCCAATAGCATGCAACCAAATATGCACTACATAACACTTCACCTACACCTGATCCATGCCCACTTCTAACCGGGGGTTGCAATCCCAAACAATAGATAAGCAACGCTGTAAGTTGAACAAGCAAAATGGTGGTTCCAAGTATAAAAGTTGGAGACTCATCGAAAATGAACCTACCAGCATTTTCATTAGTGCCCTCACTAAAAGATGCTTGGTCTTTCCTAGTTACAACAAAGACTGTGTCAGATATCCTCAACCGCTTAAGTATGATGGACAATAATCCAAAAAACCAAGTATTCATGGTTGTTATTCGTGCCATCCTTTGGTTGTTCCACCATGTTCTAATCGAAATCCCCATTTTCAAGTATTCCAATAGAGTAGATATGTTGTAGATCATGAATAGAGAAGCAGGGATCCATAGGTTGCGTTCCTGTTGGATCATCATTAACATTATACACTATTAAAAGCGCTGAAAAACGTGCATTAGAATTGTAAAGACAAAACTTAGTTACATAGTTGATATTGTTATTCAATGTTAACAGTATTACTTTGGTAGTGCCCTGACCTAAAATGCAAATTTTTATTATACATATTATTAATATAAAGTTTTAACTTTGATTGAAAAACAACATGAACAATATTCATTGTACTGTGTTTAAACTTTTTTTCTGAATTATAATTATTGTTAGATTGAACTTTTCTACTTTATAATTATAAATAGAAACACAATGTAGACCGGAAAAGGTTGAAGTTAAATAAAGGGATTGTGAAGCTTTGTTTGTGCTCACCTTAGGCAAGAAGCTGGAATTGGTAAAGATGCAATAGGCAGGGAGAGCAGCATAACATATTTCTGGGACAGATCGTAAAGCCCAACTACTGACCCAAAGATAGCCCAAGCACTCTCTGAATTGGAGCTTACCAAATAGGGTGCAAAAAATAGGACAGTGCTTGCTTAGGAGGATATCAACCAACCCTGAGGCCCATCTCTTTTGCTGGCCTATTACTCCTAGGATATCTTGCGGTGAGCAGCCCATGAAGGCTATTGGGTCTGGTGAACACACTTCAGATCTCCAACCTTTTTTGTGGATCTTTAGTCCAGTAAGTAAATCTTCTGAAGTTGATCCATAGGCCCAACCCACCTAACATTCGCAAGTCTCATAAGTCAACTAACTAATGACAATTGACCAAAAAAACATAACATACTAATACTGTGTGTGTGTGTGTGTGTTTTCGCTACCAATTTATCGATATACTGTCTTTCTTGCTCACCTGTGTCCCCCAAGCAGTGCCGTATTCATATCCACAACTCGCAACTTCTTTCGCTGCCTCAAGAGAGTTGCAAAGGTCATTATTGGAACTAAATGTCTTCCCTTCCAAAGCATCAGCAGCTGATTCCACAAACCCTTTTGAAGTTCCAAATATTTTTTCCTTTTCTAATAATTTCCCTGCATAAATATATTGTTGGATATTTAAAGAAAAAGAAAGATTTATAAGAATAAAATTGTTGTGTAAAGTCATATTTTATTATTGAACTAATGAAGACTTTAAATACAGCTGAAGCTCTAAAATTGAAAGTACGTGAAAATAGCAACTACACATGAGTTACGTTTACACGTTTAACCACTTCCTAAAAATCTGAAACGTGCTGACTAAGTTATTTGAATCATTCAAACAACACTAAGTAAAACATCAAATTTATTTAAAAACAAAAGACAGCTAATAAATGCTAGCATGGATGAAATCAGCAGCAACTAAAGTACAGCTTCAACACTCCTCCTTACTTTGGTTGCTGCAAATCCCAAGTTTTTCTCTAAGAAATTCAAACTTGCTTCTCGGTAAAGGCTTTGTGAATATATCGGCTAGTTGCAATTCAGTTTTGCAATATGTCAAGCAAACTGTACCTTCCTTCTGCACTTCTCGAAGGAAAAACAATTTGATGTTGAAATGCTTGATTTTTCCATGAAAAACAGGATTGTTTGAAATCGAAATAGCAGCTTGATTATCAACAAACACTTCAGTACATCCCTCTTGCTTCATTTTCAAATCTACGAACACTTTTTTTAGCCATAAGGCTTGATTCACAGTAGCATTAGCAGCAACCAATTCAGCTTCAGCCGTAGACTGTGCCACTGTATCTTGCTTTTTACAGCTCCATGAGAATACACTTGAACCAAGCAAGAAACAGTATCCTGAAGTGCTCTTCAAATCATCAAGAGAGCCTCCCCAATCACTATCGGAATATCCTTGTAAAACACAGTTCTGACTTTTGCAAAATTTAATTCCAAAACTCAAAGTCCCTTTCACATATCGCAGGACTCTTTTAGCAGTAGTAAGATGAGTTTCAGTTGCACAATTTGTAAATCTAGATAGTCGACTTACTGAATGTAAGATATCAGGCCTAGTAGCTGTCAAGTACATTAAACAACCAACTAGACTTCTGTAGAAAGTTTCATCAATTTGTTCAGCTTCATCTTCTTTGCTCAACTTCTCCTTCTGGCACATTGGAGTGTCTACTATCTTGCATTCATTCATTTTAAATTTTTTTAGGATTTCCTTCGCATATTTCTGTTGACAGATGAACACTTTTCCAGATTTCTGCTTTATTTCCATTCCCAAAAAATATGCCATTTCTCCCAAATCTGTCATCTCAAAACTTTGTTTCATATCTTCTTTGAACATTTTCACCATCTCTTCATTACTTCCAGTGACCAGTAGATCATCCACATACAATGAAACAGCAACAAAATTGATTTCATCACCTTTAATGTATAGGGTAGCTTCATTAAGACTTCTGTTGAAACCCAGTTTCATCAAATACTCATCAATTCTGCTGTACCATGCTCTTGGGGCCTGTTTCAGACCATACAAAGCCTTTTTGAGCAAGTACACATCATCTTCTTGCCCTTTCACAAGGAAGCCTTCCGGTTGCTCAACATAAATCTCCTCCTCCAAAAAACCATTTAGGAATGCTGACTTGACATCAAGTTGATATACTTTCCAATTCTTTTGTGCAGCTATTGCAAGTAACAACCTGATTGTGTCTAATCTGGCAACAGGAGCAAATGTGTCAAAAAAATCAACACCAAAAATTTGAGCATAACCTTTTACAACAAGCCTAGCTTTATGCTTGTTGACTGAACCATTAGGATTCAACTTGGTTCTAAATACCCACTTCACTCCAATCACTTTTCTATTTTTGGGTCTTTTCACTAGCCTCCATGTTTCATTTTTTTTAATCATTAACAACTCTTCTTTCATTGCTGTAACCCATTTCGGATCCTTTTCTGCTTCCCAAAAATCTGTTGGTTCAAGCACTGCAACATTGCATCTTTGATAAATATCAGAAAGTGATCGCATACCTCTAGTTGGGATGTCATCAACCAACTCATCTTCATCAAGTTGATTTTTTGAAACTTGACCAAGACATTCAACTCCTTGTTTTTTATCCCAATCCCACTCATCATTCTCCATAAAATGCACATCTCTACTGATCAAAATTTTCTTAGTGTTTGGTTGGAAAATTCTGTAAGCTTTAGAGACCAAGCTGTACCCGACAAAGATTCCAGCTTCTGCCTTTTTATCCAACTTATCCCGTTTTGTATAGGGAACATAAACAAAACATAAGCAACCGAATACTTTGAGATTTGTTAAAGAGGGTTTGAAACCATACCAGGCTTCATATGAAGTTTTTTTTTACGACAGCTTTGGTAGGAAGTCGATTAAGAAGGAATACGGCCGTATGTGCGGCCTCTGCCCAGTACTCTTTTGGCAAATTCTTCTCAAACATCAAACATCTCGCCATCTCCATTATGGTGCGGTTCTTTCTCTCGCTGACTCCATTCTGTTGTGGAGTGTATGGAGCAGTGAGTTGATGTTCTATCCCTGCTTCTTCACAAAATTGGTTAAATTGATTGCAAGTGTACTCCTTGCCATTGTCAGATCTTAAGACTTGGATTTTGTGACCACTTTGTGTTTCAATCCATTGCTTGAATTTCCAAAAAACACCAGCAACATCTGATTTGAATTTAAGAAAATAGATCCAACACATTCTGGAGAAGTCATCAATAAATGTCAAAAAATACCTGCTGCCATTGAGAGATGTTGTGCTGTGAGGTCCAGCCACATCTGTATGAATCAATTGCAGTTTCTCAGTAGCTCTCCAGGTTGATTGCTTGAATGGAAGTCTTGATTGCTTTCCTTGTTGACAAACTTGACAGTTTGGAATTTCAGATTCAAGACAAGGGAGACCTTGAACCAATTCCATTCTCTGCAAGTTGACAATAGCTTTCTGATTGAAGTGTCCAAGCCTCTTGTGCCAAATTTTTGAATGGGCTTTTGCTGCAGGAAACGCTGCTTGCTCCTCCTCCAATGGATCAAGTGCAAAACTTTTTCCATTCATTTTAACTTTGAATACATCATTATCATTCGCATCTTTGATCAAACATTCATTACTTTCAAATATAACTTTGAAACCTTTTTGAATCAACTGGCCAACACTCAACAAATTTTGACTGATATTAGGCACAAATAAAACATCTTTGATAAATTTTGTAACTGAAATACTTTCAATTGCCACTGTTCCTTTTCCTTTGACTGCAATTTTTTTTCCATTGCCAATCGTCACTTTAGAAACAATGGAAGTATCCAATTCCTTGAAGAGATCACGATCAAATGTCATATGATTAGTGCAACCGCTGTCAATTAGCCACTTCTCATTTGAATTAGAGGCTGCAAAGCAGGTGGCTACAAAAAGCTGCTCCTCTTCTTCATTAGCAACTTGAGCAACATTCTTTTGTTGCACATTCTCTTGTGTCACCGTCTTTTGTTGACTGTTGCTTTTGCAGATTTTTTGATGATGCCCCATTTTCAAGCATTTTTCACATTGCTGGTCTGGTTTTCTCCAACACTTCCACGGTGGATGATTTTCTCTTCCACAATGTTTACATGGAGAGAAATAAGACTTTGTTGGAGAATCAAAACTTGAATTTGCTTTCTTATAGCTTTCAAATTTCTTTGCTTTTCCCCCATAACTCGAGCTAGCCTTTGCAGCTAATGCACCTTCGACAGACCCTTCGGACCTCATCATCCTTCTCTGTTCTTGTGCCTGCAATGCATTCATCAATGCTGCCAAACTAATTTTCGACAGATCTTTAGAGTTTTCCAAGGAGGCAATAGTAGTTTCAAACCTCTCAGGAATGGTGACAAGAACTTTTTGAACTATTCTAGAATCAGGAAAATCAGATCCAAGTAATCTTACGTGATTTGCTATTTTGAGCAGTTTGTCAAAATATTCCTTCACCGTCTCCGATTCCTTCATGTGTTGGACCTCAAACTCCCTGATCAGATTTAGAACTTTCATTCCTTTAATTCTTTCATCTCCTTCATACTCCCCTTTCAAGAAATTCCAAACTTCAAACGCTGATTTCATCGCCATGATCCTGAGAAAATATCAGAAGAAACAGCAGCAAATAATGAAGCTCTCGCCTTGGATTTTCTTGATTTCTTCTCCTTATGAGACTTGATCTGCGCCATTGTTGGATTTGCAGGTAAGGGGAGAAGTTCATAATCCTCCTCCACAGCTTCCCATAAATTGTTTGCCTCTAGATAGGCTTCCATCTTCGCTGCCCACACATGATAACCTTCGCCATCAAACACTGGTGGAGCCAATGCCGTGAATGGTGTTTCAACATCCATTGATAGAGAAAAAACAAGATAGAATATTGTTTCACAGGTCCCTTAAAGAAGAGGGCTCTAGATACCAAATTTGTTGGATATTTAAAGGAAAAGAAAGATTCATAAGAATGAAATTGCTGTGTAAAGTCATATTTTATTATTGAACTAATGAAGACTTTAAATACAGCTGAAGCTCTAAAACTGAAAGTACGTGAAAATAGCAACTACACATGAGTTACGTTTACACGTTTAACCACTTCTTAAAAATTTGAAACGTGCTGACTAAGTTATTTGAATCATTCAAACAACACTAAGTAAAACATCAAATTTATTTAAAAACAAAAGACAGCTAATAAATGCTAGCATGGATGAAATCAGCAGCAACTAAAGTACAGCTTCAACATATATATACCGAAAGATGGTAGTTTAAATAAATATAGTTATATATCTCTAAAGTTAAAGGTATTTGATAACTTTCTTAATCATTTTACAAAACCCTAATGGCTAATCTTTTGAAATTAAAATTGAGGAAGTATCATACTTTGCTCTAGCACGTTTGAAATAATCTCAAGAGTTTGTCCAAGTTATCCCATTGTCTAAATAATTTTGTTCTAAGTAGACTAATAGAGTTAAAACATTGCATTAAACTCCTATATTAATTTTACTTAATTTTCATAGACTAAATTTATTAGTCCACTTAACATAAACTTATATATCCCACGAAATAACTTAAACAAACCATCTTCATAAGGATAATAGTGATTCTACAGTACCGTTGGTAACATGAAGATCGTTCCTTCCATTTTGAATATTCTGATCTGGAGAAAGACCGTAAATTACTTTTCTTCTATGGAAACAATTTGTTCCCACATAAAATATCCCTTGCATTCCTGCTAATCCACCTCCCATGTACTGCATTAGACAAAACATGAAAAACTTTACACACCGCTTATTAGTACTTGAAATGGTTAAAAACACTTTGATAGCTTTCTTGACGCACCGTAAAAGCAGCCACAAGCTGATTTCCTAAAGGATCATCCTTTAGTCCATCGTAGAATTGCTGGATACATTGGGCAAATGCAACTTCTTTTTCTCCCTTTGAATCTAATAAAATGCACAGGGCGTGCAGTGCAATCTTTGGATTATTCACATACATGTCACAATCTACGTTCAGGATAAAGGGAGCATTTGTCATCAACCCAGAGACTCTTGTCTGTTCATGATACAAATCACGGTAAATTTGGGATCAGAAGGACAAGTTACAGTAATAATTTGGGGTCATGTGGGACTGACATATATGGTGAAACAAGAGATCTGTCAACTCTGTTAAACATGTCCCACTTTAATTGCGAGACTTCAAGTTATCATTATCTTTCACTTTACTTATATTTGAAGGCTTGTAAATTCGTGTCTTGAAAATTATTAGATAAAAACTTAGAAATGTATTTTTATTAAAAACTATGCCGAAATACATTAAAATTATGACATATAAATATTTTTTTATAGTACTCTCAGAACTTTGTTTTACATTCATCCTATATTTTTAATGTTAATTAAGTTACGTAAGAATTAATTGTTAGAGAAGAAGTAAAAATTCCATGAATTAAGAAGAGAAGAAACTTACCAACACATTCATAGCACCAGCTTTGAAATTATGTGGATGTTCGGGCTTCTTCTCTCTAGATACGTAGATTAAGTGTGGTAACCCATCTGAATGACCTTCCTTGTTCTCCCATATTACCTACCAAAACACAAAAATATTTTCGATGCTGTATTCCCTTTTAAAAAAGCAATCTATATTGATCAGTTCAGATTCAGATTATAATGTTAACGTAAGGTTATTTACTCATAAATTGTTTTATTTTAACAAATTAAGGTAAAGCCTCTTCTCAATTTTTCACAGCCGCGCGAATAACAAAATTTTTTTGAAAAATGAAAAATATCAAAATGTGTATCATGCACCATTACAGGACTGCATTGGCATTCATCCGTCCCACCCCATCACAGCTGTTGCTGCAACTTGTTCTTATTAGTCGACCATTGTAGTCACTAGTCAAGTTCAATGAGAAAGTGATGAATAATTAGCTTGATTTAATTCAACTTTTGATGTTGAAATTTTAAAATAAAATGAATTGAATCTAAAATATAAAATTAAAAATGGTAAGAGTTTTATAAATTTAAAACTTATGAATGACAAATATCCTCCACAGGCCCTTAAACAGTGATTTTTTTTCTTAATCGCATTCTTTATAAAAAGTTTAAGAAAATTATTTTTTATATATAAAAAAATTATAATTCAAATTAATTAAATATACATTTCATGAATTGTATTTAAAGACTTAAAATTAAATTTATTAAAATCAATTATATTTACTTTTAAATCAAACTTGCATTAAATTGGTCTTATATGGTTTTATGTGGTCCACCCGATTCAGGAATTATTTGATTGGATCAAGATTAGACAACATTTCAGAAGACTAGGCGTTTTTTTAGCAGAAAAAACATTTGAAACTGAAAAATCAAATGGTTTTTTCCTTAATTATTTATACTGTATGATGATTTACTGCATTAATAATAATTGGCGTACCTTAATTATGGTTGGATGATTTCCCAGATTTGTATTTGAGAAAAAAGCGAATTCTCCGACAAGTGGAACTGACTGTCGTGCTGCGTTTTCAATTTCACGAGTTAGCTGCTCATACTTTTCCTGCACAAACAGACAACAAAATGTTGACAAAAAAACGGGTAAGGTTTGTTTGCTTGCGTTTTTTTTTCAAATAAACTTCAAAAATATATTACAAATTATAATGACTATATAATAATTTTAAAAATAAAAGATAATATCATACAGTTTAAAAAAAAATTGGAATATGTTCTTTATCTTTATGAGAAAATATTTAAAATGGATTTTTTTTAAAGTTTATATAAGAGTATATTTTTATTAATTTATATTATGGTCTAGTAAGTTAAATTTATTTCATTTCAAAATAAATAGACTTTTTAATTACTTTAATTATTATTGTGATCTAGTTTTAAAAGTTGATGCACCTTTTCTCATCTTTGCATGAAAAATTATTTTCTATATTTCTTAGCCACACTCAAAAAGGCAAATTGTTCACAGCCGTACTCTGGCTGAAATTTGTTTCATTGGTGGCAGAGAGAATATTAAATTTAATTTATAAACATCTAAATAATATTAATATTCATTTAATATTTCCTTATATATTTTCTATCACATTATTTATTTATTTATTTTTATCTCAATATATAAAGATAATAAAAGAGTGTATATTAAACATTATTCGATGGATATTAAGTTGGGCAAGTTGTGGACACGTTTGGATAGGCTCTGCAAATTGAGATGGGACGTTTGAGGATGCAAAAAATTGTTGGAAATTGTGTGAATTGTTTAACAATTTGAGAAGAAAACTATCAGCAACTTTAACGGGGTGCTTATTATCACAATTTTACTTTGATATCATCTAGACATTCATAAATAGAGTCTAATAATATTAATTTTGATATAACAATTTCTAAACATATAAATCACTACTTAATCATAAATTCATTTCTCAACAAAATCAAGTTCGAACGAAATTGAGTTTGCATAATCTAATACGCACGATGCATGTCTAAGCACTTAATTACCTTCGATTATGAATAGACGATGTGGAAAATATATAGTATAAAATTACCTTCATTCTTAACGATTCTTGAATAAATTCCGATGACTCTCCACCTTTGTTAGCAATAGTGTCATTAGAGAAGTATCTGAAGGGTGCTCTAACTTGTATATCGTACTTCTTACAGAAAGGTACCCAAAGCTTAGCAAATTTAGAGGCTTCAACAAGCGCAAAGAAGGTAAGAGGGGAGCATCCATCATCAGAAACATAGCAAGCTAGCTTGTTAGCTGGATAATCAAGTGCCAACAGAGACAACACAGTGTTGATTGTGATAATGGGTGGTTCAAGCCCTGGGTCAGCCGTTGTCACAAATAAATCCACTGGGGGAAGGTCAGGTACGCTATTGAAAAAAATGAATCTATTAGGTAGCATTAATTATGCAATAAAAAAAAAATTAAGCAACCAATATTTTGATTTGTTTATAGAAGAAACGGACGTAAAATGCAGTGATTAATTAGGCATTATAAAATACAACTTAGGCTAGTTGCATGATTAATTAGGCAAGCAATATTATGAATACTGATTAAGGCATAGGAAGATACCGGGGCAAGAGACGGTGTATGTAGGATTTGGTAAATGCTGGAGTCCATTTGGTGCTGATGACGATAATCCAAGTTAAAGTGAACCATGACTCGCATATGAAAGCTACAAACCAGGGGAAGCTATGGTTGTCACGAGAGAAAACGCGGTAACCAAGAAGCGAGAGGAGAAGGAGCAAAGTGAGGGAATCAAACACCCTTGAAACGGTGTGCTTCACCCAAATTTTATCGTAGAGAGGAAGAGTGTTTTCATTCGCCATATTCATCTTCAAAACAAATGAAAACTCAAAACTACGAATCTGTCAATAACACAAATCTTTCTGTTTATATTATCACCACTTACTCTCCACGCTTCGTGGACTTTCTAAGACCTGATGTTGAATGGTATTAGTTTATAATTTATTAGTTTAATTGTAATTGAATTAGAACTAGACTGGTAATAATAAATTTATATTTTTAATATTATATAATATATTAAATAATAAAATAGTATAAAATTATGTATGCGTTTTTATTTATTTATTTTTAAAAAATAAAAATAAAAAATAATAATTTTTTTTATGCAATGACCAATTCAAACCCATTTTCTGTCTCAATTAATTCTTTTCTGATTTTGACTTTGACTAACTTGACTCGTCTTTGTTAATGAGTGATGCTAAACCAAAAAGAGCGAGAGAGAGAATAAGTTTTATTTGTCAATAAAATTAGGTTCTGTTAATCACATACTGAGTTTAAATATTTATAAAAATCAAGCTTTTCATAAAAAATACACATTTATTATATTAAAACTATAAAATATAATAATTATTTTATAAATTATTATTAATTATTAATTGCTTATGATCTTTCCTTAAGATTCCGAGTTTAACAAAAACATATGGAATTAAAGTCATGACACTTTCGTAAATTTTCGTATTCTACCGTTTTGCACTATTTAACATTTCTCTTTTGATATTGAACTATTTACTTCACTAACTCACAGATCAACTAATTGAATCGACCTATTTACTTTGATTCTAACAAGCAATAATATAGAGGTAGCTAGGATAAATAATTTTATATTAATGTACTAACTTTTTTCTTTTACCTAATTTTTAAGAATAAATTAAACTCAAATTTTTAATATTTCTTTTTTTCTCCCCCAATTTTAATAATATTATTTTTCTTCTCTTTATATTATAATATTTGATTGTTTCACGCCCCAAAATCACATACCATATTTGATTTTTTTTTCTCTTTTTTTTTCCATTACGTGGACAAATACATTAATGTAGGAAAAAAGTTATAAATTTTAAGGTAATTTTTTAAAAAATTACAAGAACCTATAAATTGAAATTGTTAAAGCTATTTTCAATAACCCAAATACTAGGGTTTTCTTTCATTTTTTTCAAAATACGGACATGAAAATTACAAATAAGTCTCAGTAATTTATATATATAATATCTGAATCTACTGTAAGTTTCCTACAACTCTACAAGAATCTAATTGAAATATGCTTTTGAAATATAAAGATTAATTTATAAAGTTGATTTACTTTAAATTTTTATAAAAAATGAAAAGACTTGCAAAGTTATTTAACAAAAATGGTTATCTGTTCTGATATTTGTTAGCATTAAGTTTAGTTAAATATTTTCTAAGAAATTAGAAACAAACTACATAAAATATATGCCAAATATATTGAGTCGTGTTTCACAAATTTTGACCAAGAGAATGAATAGCGTGTGGGGATTTTATAACAATACTGAATGTTCAAAATACCCATTTAGTTATCATTTATAGTTTTGCGTTATTTCTTACAGGTTTGTAGTTATTACAACATATCTGTCAACTTTGTTTTCTTCGTTACCTGATAAGTGAAAATATGACTACGATAATCTTCCAAAAGGTTGATGGTCGTGTTTCTCATCATCAACCTCTTTCATTTTCAAGAAGTAGAAACTTTGTTTACGTTACTAATTAACGTCCTTGTTACTTTCAATCAATTTTACGTGATTACAAAATCTAACTTTGCTTTTATTCTATTTTTTATTTTCAAATATTTGTAAAAAATAATAATTTTTTTTTATGTTTTACTATTCTTTAAAATTAAAAATTAATAAAAATAAAGTGAAAATTTTGTATTTAAAAACTAAATAGCTCCTTACTTTCCTTATTTTTCTATTTTCCATTCTCATATATAGCTTTGTTAATATAGGTGTTATTAGCCTCTAATAATGAATATAGATCTGTCATTAATAATATACATTATACTCTTCAAATTTAAATTTGTAAAATTTAAATCAAAATTCAAATACATAATAAATCTATAATAGAATTTATCCATGAATTGACGTTTGACATCACCATAAAAGTATTTAGTATAATTTAGTTTTTAAAACCTTTTAACTTTAAATTTTTTTAAAAACAAGCCATTATTCTTCAAGTAATTTCAACCAAACAAATGTTCACTATAAATGTTTGCACATAAACATCTTCCGAGCCAAAAGTCACGCTTTACAGCACGTACACACTATTAGACCCTCCTTCAGTTCAACACATTCATCGATCGTATGTTGAAAAGTTGTGGTAGAAAAGAAAGGAGTGGAAAACCATTTTTAATTATAATAAATATTATCTAAAATCATGTAAGTTTATTGCATTATTTTATATTTTAATGAAAGCTATATAATTCTTTTACTTTTAAAAAGGTATTTGTCTTTCCTTCATTCTGTTTTAAAATTCAACTCCAAGTTATATCCTTACATAGAGACTCACTCTCATATCAACATATTTTTAGTTAAAGTGTATCTAATAAAACGTAGCCTCAGACCATATTTTGACTCAGGTCAAATTATCACTTCTAACTAAAGATGTCTAAGCATAAATAATCTAACATAAATTTAATTTTTTATTAAAGTCAAAATTTTAAAATTATTTGATTCATGATCGATTTCTTATAATCATTTTAAGATATATCAATAATATTTTTAATAAAAAAAATTTTAACCAATATTTTTAAAGTTCTCGCTATTATTGTAAAATTTTTAATGTGGTATTTGGACGAAAAAATTTAAAATTTTCTAAAATATTAAATCAATAATGAGAAGATATTTTAAGTGGAATTAAAATATGAGATGAATTATGAATGATTAATATTAGAGTTGAATATAATAAATAATTTTTTAAATTATTTTTAATGATAAAATATTTAAACCATTTTATTTAATATATAAATTACTTGGTTAACATTCTATAATAATTTTAATTTTTTTTTTATCATTCAGTCGATATGTATCTTATCAAAATATTAAATATAAGCTTATATACCTAATTTGACGAAAAGTTTAAAAATAATTATTATAATATAATATTTTTTAATAAATTTTCAAAAAATTTATTTTAAGAATTGACATATCAAATTATAGTATGATTCAGATTCTCTTTTATTATGATAAAAATTAGACGTTTAGTTATATTTTTTTATAAACCAATTGAGTTTTATTAAGAGAATCATGCTAAAATAATGAAAAATTATATAAAATTAATTTAAATAAATTTAATTAGCTTAAGTGAATTTTATATAAAATATTAAAAAATTCACTGTTAATTATATGATTGACTTAAAAAACTAAAATTTTACACTTATTTATAAAAAAATGATTAAAGAGCATAAGAAAAAGGGTTATTATTTAAAAGTTTTAATAAGTTTGATAGAAATTACGAAGAAAATTATTGTAATCAATACTAAAAGTTAGAATTGAAGACACAGTTTATTATAAGTAAATAAAAATAATTTAAATAAGATTTGTTCAAATAGTTGATGCTAAGATTCTAACTATAATTTCATTTAAATGATTAGAAAAATTAATGATAAGGTGTTAAAGGATTTTGATAAGCAGGAGAGAGTAAGCAAGAAGAAGAGTTATAACTTTTGAAATATGATATGAAAGAGATAAAAAGAAAAAAAGAAATAAAAAAATTTACTTAAGCTAATTAAGTTAATTTAACATAATTATTTATATTTTTATATAATCCATTTAAACAAATTTTAATTTATTTTTTAAAAAATTCTAGAAATCTAATTCCGGACAAGAAAGCAACAATTCATTCCCATGGACACAGAAATAATTAAAAATGACACAATCCAAAATTGACACAGTGAATTAGAAACACTGACAAGTCTGAGTGAAAATGAGGTGATGAATGTACATTCATTCTTGTCCATAAATTATTTTTTGATAAAAATTTATTATTATTAACTGTTTATTTTCAACTCTAAAAATTGAAATTAACAAAAAATTTATCATCTGTTATTATTTTTAATTAATAATTATAAATTTATATTTTATATGATTATTTATATTTATAATAATGATAATGTTATTTATTAATTTAAGTCACATAAATTATATAAACAAATTTTGCATAAACTTTTTTTTATAGAAGAGATGCATTACCAATACTCATACACTCCTGAATTTTCAAATTTAGATCACTTGAGACTATTTAAAAATTTCAAAATAATAGCTGTTTTTTTTTTTTTTTGTCTTTTTAGTTTGGATAATTGTTGTCTTTTTAATCAAATAAACTCTTTATTTTTAAAACTAACTAAACTGAATCCTGTCATTTATTTTACCAATATTTTTAAAATTATTACTTTTAGTAAAATATTTATAAATTTATGATGAATTTATGATATGAACACCAAAGGACAAAAGAAAAGAGACAAAAGCCGATTAAGTGCAAGAGAGACAAATAACTAATTGGATTGGAGCTATGGAAAGTTATCATATTCTCCAAATTAATTGTCACCCTAAATAATCTAATAGTTTAATAACTAATCAAGTAAAAATGCACAAGGTTGAGAAAATAAATATGAGAGCAAAACTAACTGAGAAATTCAATATCAAGTGATCAACCAATAGCGGTGCTTCTGCACAAGTGCACAAAGACAAGTGCAAGAACTGCTGATTTGCATATAGTGGACGATGGAACCCCGTATTTTCCCTTGCCAAACAACCCTTTCAAATATTGCCAGTAGCACGCTAATAGATACATAACACAAATCAACTCCCCTGGTCCAGACCCATTTCCACTCTTAGTAGCTTGCATTTGCAACCCAAAAATCCAGATGATTAGTGTTGTCAATTGGACCAGTAAAATGGTTGTTCCTGCCACAAAAACTAGGGACTCATCAAATGTGAACCTTCCATCATCTGCATCCCCTCCATCAGCATCAGAACTTTCCTTTTGTGTTACTTGAAAGACAGCATCTGATACCCCAAAAACCTTGAGCATGCCATCCAAATTTCCAATAAACCATGCAGTTGTGGTTCTTATTATGCTCATTCTCTGGTTGTTCCACCAATGTCTTATGGGCAACCCAATTGATCGATACTCTAGTAGAGTATGTACCATATAAACCACAAAAAGTGCAATAGGAGCCCATAGGCCAAGTCCCTGGAATAAAAACAAAGTGAAAAGTAAAAAAAAAGTAATGCAATTGAATTTTTTGTAGTATGTAGTATAACCTTGTCATTAAAATTGGATCTAACCTTAGGAAAGATATTGGTGTTGGTAATTATACAATATGCTGGTAGAGCAGCATAACAAACTTCGAAGACACTACGAATGCCCCAGTTGGCAATCCAAAAGTAGGACAAGCATGTCCTGAATTGGATCTTACCAAAAAGGAAGCCCAGAAGAGGAGAGTGCTTTCCAAAGAAGCTTACAGTGACGCCTGAGGCCCATCTTTTTTGTTGGATCATTGTAGAGACTAATCCTCTAGGAGCACACCCTGTGAAGGCAATTGGATCTGGGGTACAACACTCTGATCTCCAACCTTTTCTATGGATGTTAAACCCGGTAGGAATATCCTCTGATACTGATCCATATAACCACCCTATCTAAAGTTCCCAACATCATCAAAGTTAATTAACAGCATGCAAATTTTGCAAAAAGGGTAGTTACTTTTGGCTGAAAAATGAGTTTCTATAAAGTACCTTATTACCCCAGCTAGTGCCATATTCATATCCACAGTTAGCAACTTGGATTGCGGCCTCAATAAATTTGGAAGGACTAATATCATTAGCATAATATGCGCTCCCCTGCACAGCATGAGTTGCTGATTTGATAAACTCCTTTGAACATCCAAATTGTTGCATTAATATCTTCTCTGGTAATTTTCCTGTAGAAGATCTGAATATTATGTGTCTTATGCATATCATACATGAATCAACTAGTAATAATATCCTTATGTATACTTCACCCGTATGGTATTTTATTTTGAGTCTCATTGGAAATTTTGAAATAACCAAGAAACATGAGTAAGTGAAGTTGTGTTAAGGCAAGACCTTTTTTGCTGCTTTCAATTTCATTTGGATAAAGCCCATAAATAGCCTTTCTTCTATGGAAGGTGTTTGTTCCTACATAGTAAGGTCCTTGAAGTCCTGCAATGCCTCGTATTATGTACTGCATTACACAAAGCAAGAAAATGTTTGTTTACAAGGCTTGTAGTCCACATAATTTGTAGCATTTGATAAACAAATATGCGCAGTTGAAGAGTAAACTGAGAACTTCATTTAGAGTAGAGAAAAAAACACACCTCAAATGCAGCCACCAACTGATTTCCAAAAGGGTCATTTTTTAAACCATCATAGAATTGCTGGAAATATTGAACAAAAGCAACTTCTTTACCAATCTCTGAGTCCATCAAAATGCACATAGCGTGGTAAACAATTTTTGGATTGTTCACAAACATGTCACAGTCTACATTCAACATAAAGGGAGCATCGGTCATCAACCCGGATACTCTTGTCTGCACATATTAATTAAGAAAGATGAGGAAGGATTTTTGAATCATTAATTGAAAATAAATTAGGGATTGGATCATTAACTTCTTGAAATGAGAATCAGAGTTTCATGGACTAAATGTTCATTAAAAAAATTACCAATACATTCATAGCTCCAGCTTTGTTATTATGTGGATACTGTGGCCTCTTCTCTCTGGATATGTAGACTAAGTGTGGCAACTCATCTGAAAGACCTTCCTTGTTCTCCAATATAATCTGCCCACAAGTAATGTAAATAAAATTTTTGGGTTACTTTGTTGTTCCTCTTCAAGCGAGGTAGAATTAGTACTACAGCAAAAAAAAAAAAAAAAAAAAAAAAAAAAAAAAAAACCATAACTAGAATGATGTACATGAAAGTCACTTTCGAATAAACAAAATAACATGTTGATAAAAAAGTTGAGGCTTTTTAATTGTTACTAGTGGTAGTACCCGTGTAAAAGCACAGGTTACTTAAAAAATAAATGCCATAACAGATTTTAGATAATCATTTATACATAATAAAATTTCATTTAATAATTCTGTATTTTAATTGGATGATCTGATTTGTCTGACATCATTTTCTTAGATTTTTTATTTTATAATCTCGTAATATTTTTTTAAAATATTATATGATTTTTCAAATATCATTTTATCATGTTATTTTTAGTTTATTTTTCATTTTGTATTTTATTAAAGTTTTAATTCTTACTTTAAAATTTGATAATTATAAGATCATGTGTGTGTGTGTGTGTGTAAAGGGTGACACACAATAATGAAATAAAGTGTAATTTTTTTTAACTATATTTTATTTCAAATATTTCCCACTATTCTATGGAAATAACAATGGTTATTATCATATTATAATAATATTTTGAAATTATTTTTTGTACTAATAATTTTTAATTCTTTAAATTATTGTAATTTTTTTCTTAATTTAATATATCATTCCGTTATTTTCTATTTTTGATTATTACTTTGCAATGTATATAATAGTAATTTGTTAGTAGTATTGTATTTATATATGACTTATTTAAATCTTGATGTAGAAAATGTATACCTAGACAAATAAGAGTGTAAAAGGAGCACATTTGAATAGTATAATTAAAATGGATAGTTAAGATTAAAATTAAATAAGATACATTTTTTTATCAAATGATAGATGAAAGAGTAATAGGAGAAACTTTCAAGAAGTGTATCATGTGAGAGGTGAAGAAACTTCAAGTGTATATTTAAAATTAAAAAATAAATGACATAAATAATATAATATGATAATAAAGAGATAAAGAATATTATATAAATATTTATACTGTTTGTGTATTTAAAAATAAAAAAAAATATTTATTTGTTAAATAGAAGTATTTCGTGGATATTTTTACTATTATATTTGTTACCTTAATTATGCTTGCATGGTTTCTTCGCTCTGCGTTTGAGAAATCTGCAAATTCTCCGTCCAATGGGAACGGAGTTGGTTTTTGGCTCACATCTTTGATGTTTTGGCTCAGACGACCATACATATCCTGCAAAACACCAAAACACAAACGACAAATATCATCCTTATTTCCTTACACAGAGTCACAGATTTCCCTTATTTGCTTTTCTTCCTGGCTCTGTACTACCTAGCCAGCACTTTTCCTCTGCTTTGGGAAACTGCATTCAAGATTTATATCATTTTTATAAGAATGTTTTTTTTTTTATCACATTATTTATCTTCATTTTTAATTTATAAAAAAATAAGCACATAATATCATATAAATATAATTTCTGAACACGAATATGGTGTCTGAATCAATGCTAAGAAATAATGTGGTATACTTACCTTCATTCTAGACCATTCTAGCATGAATTCCATGGACTCGTCACTTTTGGTAATGGGAACATCAGAAAAGCATCTAAAAGGTGCTCTAACTTGTATGTTGTAATTCTTACAAAAGGGTACCCAATGCTTGGCAAATTTGGAGGCTTCCACAAGGGCATAGTACGTAAGAGGAGAACAACCATCATCAGAAACATAGCAAGCAAGCTTGTTAGTAGGATAATCAAGTGCCATAAGAGACAACACTGTGTTCACTGTGACGATGGGGGGTTCAAGTATAGGATCTGCTGTTGTCACAAACAAGTCAACTCGCGGAACCTCAACTAACCTGTTTACAAAAATAATATAATCTTGAAGTAATGATACTATAATTTTATTAGCTTTTATTGAATAATTTTTTAAATAAAAGCTTATAACATAAATTTAACAATTGTTAAACTATATTTATATTTTATAAAACGTCGTTTAAATAAACTTCCGCTAGAATTTTAGCTAATAATAGTAGAAGAGTACAAGACTCAGCATTCAATAGCTTTGTGTTAACAGTGTTACGTACCGTTGCATGAGACGGTCTATGTGGGTTATAGTTATTGCAGGACTCCATTTGGCGTTGAGAATGACAATCCAAGTGAAGGTGAACCAAGATTCGCATAAGAAAGCAAGGAACCATGGAAGAGTGAAGGTGTTGATGGAGAAAAAACGGACACTGAGAAGCATGAGAAGGAGTAGTAAAACAAGGATGTCCATAACCCTTTGAAATGTGCGTTTGAGCCATATTTTTTCATAGAGAGGGAGATATCCTTGGTTCTCCGTTGAACAAATTGTGAAAAGACTAGAACTGTAGCTAAGGGTTTTGAGAATGATTATTAATAAAGAACAAGCTTACAAGCATGCCTTCTAAGGCATTCGTTATAAACAACGTGCCTATGCTAGCTGTTAGGAAAAGTCTTCAGTACATTGAATAGTGGCCACTGGCCAGATTGCGATTTAAAAATATAAAAAGTAAAAATTTAGCGAACAAAAATATTTTGACTTCTAGTGATGTCAGGATTGATGAAAAGAGGACAATACGTAGACAAATAATTGCTGACAAAATTATCAGAACTGACAATTTTGGAAAAGGAATTCATGATATTACCTTTTTTTTTTCCTAATTTTATTTTTGAAGTAAATGAAATAAAAATTTCGAATCCAACATCTTTAGGATCAAAATTTGAACTGTTATCTTGTTATTTTATCATGTCCATTAGACGAGTCCTAAGAATTTTAAAGTTTTGTTAAGCTGATAAAATTATAAAGTTTTATAAGGTTAATTAAATATAAGTTTATTTTTGTTGGTTCAAAGAAAATAAAAAAAATACTAATAACATGTTTTTCACCATATTTTTTTAATATATTATTAGTTGTTAGTTAAATTTTATTAAATTTATAAAAAAGGATAATTTTTAATAAATTTTAATTAATAATTAAAAATATATTACAAAAAATATGTTGAGAAATTTATCTTAACACTCCTCTGGTAAAAAGAAAGACACGTCCGTGAGGTGATGACAACGAAGCTTTTAAGCAAAAAGCTACATGGGTGTATTTATTAAGGCTTGATAGATTGTAGAATTCTTAGCATTAGCAGCGTTCACTTCTAAGAAATTGTAATTATCGACCTTACATTTTCATGAATAAAAAATTATTTGAATTTATCATAATATTTTAAATGACTAATAATAAGTTTAAGTTATATTTATCTAATATTGATAAATATATTAGATGCATTTATTTTAAAATTAAACATATAATGAGTTTTTATTATCGAACAGTGTAAATCAAATTATAAAAGTTATTTTATCTTAAAATAATTTCGAGTTCGAATCTTGTCAAAATGCAGGTGTGTTAAATAATATAATTCGAATTTATATTTGGTGCACAAATAATAATTGATATTTTTATTGTTTAAAAAAAAAAATTCACTTTTGAGAGTACGGGAAAATTCATTGTATTCTCCACAACAAACATGTCCACGATTTGTAAATATATATTATTATATATAATTTGTCACTTAAATACGTGTTTACCTATTATTAGTTAACTTTTTTTACAGTATTTTAGATGTTTTTAAGAGTATTACAGAATTTACATATTTTTAAGAGTCCACATAATTTACCATTATTTTAATATTAGTCATACTTTTGTTTATTTTATAAAAGGATATATATTTTTTAATTTTTACTTTATTTTAAATAAAAAAGATAAAAAGTAAATAATATCTTATAAAGTGAATGCCTTTTAACTGTTTAAAAATTAAAATATTCAATTCATATAATTTTGGTGATTAATTTAAACATTTATTCTTGAAAGATGACTAATTAATTTACTTCTTGAATATGCAGATGGAGGAGGCATAGGTCATCCTCAACAAATAAACAAGAAAATAAAGAGAAATTTATTTGGTTACAAATTTAAAATTCATCATTGATTTGTTCAGGTAGGAGCAGTACTAGAAACTGATGATACTCTCCAAATCAATTTTGTCATCTTTCATTCATTTAATAATTAAGATACAATAAGCACCCAAAGGTAAGATATATAGATAAGAACAATATCTATATAAAATTCAAGTCATCATCGATAACGTTGCTTCTACATAAATATACGAACACAAATGAAAACACTATTGACTTGCATATGGTGGATAAGGGAATCCCATATTTTCCTCCTGCAAACAACCCTTTCAAATATGGCCAATAGCACACTAACAAATACATAATACAAATCAATTCCCCAAGTTCAGATCCATTCCCATTCTGAGTTGGTTGTAACCCAAAAAACCATATAAATAGTGCTGTCAATTGCACCAGCAAAATGGTCGTGCCTGCCACATAAACTGGGGATTCATCAAAGGTGAACCTTCCAGGATCAGCATTATTTCCATTAGCACTAGAAGTTGGATTTTCCTTTTGTGTTACTTCAAATATAGCATCTGATATACCCAGAAGGTTAAGCATGGCATTCAAAAATCCAATAAACCATGCAGTTGTTGTTCTCATAATGGTCATTCTCTGATTGTTCCACCAATGTTGTATGGACAACCCAATTCTAAGGTACTCTAATAGAGTATGTACATTGTATATCACAAAAAGAGAAATTGGAATCCAAATGCCAAGTCCCTGGAATAAAAATTAATAAAGTGAAAGGGAGAAAAAAAAAGAATACACTCTTAAAGGAGTAAAAAAATTATGCAGTAAAATAATCAAGTATACTTAAAAAGTATAAAGTTGGTTTTAATTTATAAAAACAAAATTATATTTTTATATTGATTTTCTTCTTTTACAAAATTATATGAAAACTTACTCAAACTGAAACTATTTGAGCTTAAGTGTACTTGCCAATTAAATTGGCTTGGAATCGGATCTAACCTTGGGAAAGACAGTGGTGTTGGTAATCATGCAATATGCAAGTAGAGCAACATAGCAAACTAGGAAGAAACCACGCAAGCCCCAATTGGTGAGCCAAAAATAGGACAAGCCTGCCCTCAGTTGGATCTTACCAAAGAGGATGCCCATAATGGGAGAATGTTTTCCAAAGAAGACTACAGTGAGGCCTGAGCCCCACCTCTTTTGTTGTATCATTGTAGAGAGTAATCCTCCAGGAGCACAACCCGTGAAGGCAATTGGATTTGGAGTACAACATTCTGATCTCCATCCTTTGCTTTGCATATTCAAGCCGGTAGGTACATCTTCTGAGATTGATCCATACAACCAGCCCATCTAAAGTTCCCAAAATCCTCAAGTTAATTAACAAACTTTAAATGTTGCAGAAGTGGCCAATTTCGTCTGAAAAATATATTTGTTTATGGGAGAGTCTCTCATGTGTCCATTGTCACTTCTATTTAAGTGATTTTTGTTTGAAACATCAACATCATTACTAATACTATGGTTATAAGAGAGAAAAATGATGTTTTAAATAAAAGTCACTTATATATGAGTGACAATAAACACTTGGGAGTGATAATAGACACTTTTGTTTATGTTGCATACCTGTTTACCCCAGTATGTTCCATTTTCATATTCACAGTTAGCAACTTGAGTTGCTGCCTCAATAAAGTGGGATGGACTGATATCATTTTCAGGGTATGTACTCCCTTCCAAAGCATGAGCTACTGATTTGACATAATCCTTCGAACTTCCAAATTGCTGGGTTAATATCTTATTTACTAATTTTCCTGCGGAAGATAGAAAATGTAAATGCATCTTGTGTTTGCTATACAGTAAATACCTAATGAATAACTTTCTATTTAGGAATATATTGGACAATTTGAAATAATGAAGATACATAATGAATATTCAGAATTTTATGTATTTGTGTTAAGATAAGGACCTTTTCTCCCGGTTTCATTTTCATCAGGAGATAGACCGTAAATAGCATTTCTTCTATGGAAGGTGTTTGTTCCTCCATAGAAAGGTCCTTGTAGTCCTGCCATGCCTCGTATTATGTACTGCGTTAGACAACAAGAAATTTTTTATTAAGTTCCTTAAATTCATAAAATTTACTTGTGAAGAGTAAACTTAGAGATTCATTTAAAGATGAGAAAACACCTCAAATGCAGTGACCCATTGATTTCCAAAAGGGTCATCTTTTATTCCATCGTAGAATTGCTGAAAACATTGAACAAAAGCGACTTCTTTTCCATTCTTTGAGTCTATCAAAATGCACATAGCGTGTAGAACAATCTTTGGATTATTCACAACCATGTCACAGTCTACGTTCAACATAAAGGGAGCATTGGTCATTAATCCAGAGACCCTTGTCTGCACGTAATTAATTAAGGAAGATGAGAAAGGATTAACGAATCATTGATTCAAGATTTGTTTGAGGTTTGATCATTAATTATTAGAAAGAAAATCAAAATTCCACGTTCTAAGTAGTATGAGTTAACAAATTCCTTACTAACACATTCATAGCTCCAGCTTTGTAATTATGTGGATATTGTGGCCTCTTCTCTCTAGATATGTAGATTAAATGAGGCAACCCATCAGAAAGACCATCTCTGTTTTCCAATATAACCTACGCAGACGAAATGTAAATAAGTGCTTTGTTGTTTGTTTTCAAGCATGCAAACTTTGGCAGAAAAAAATATTGAGAAATGGATATAAAAGTAGTTTGAATGAACAAAATAACAAGTTCATATAAAATAAGTTTGTTTTTAATATGACAGTCTATAAATTTGGAAGCAAGAAATGAATGGGAGAGAAGTGAATTGGTAATGTAAATTGAATAATTTGTAAAGTAGAATTGGTAATGTGAACAGATTTGTGGAAGAGATGCAGAACTTCTCACATGTTCGTATATTGGAATTGGTAATGCCAACATAGTTCACGGAAATATTTTTTAACTTTTCACTTTTACGTTTATTATAATTATCATAAAATTGTTTTTTTTAATTGTTACCATGGAAACAACATTTTTATGAATATTAATAAGAACCTAAAAATAAATCAGGAAACTTTTTCAGGGACCAAGCGAATATAAATTATGTAGCAACTTAAAATTGTAATATAGAACATTACAAAAACTCTGTAGGTGCATGAATATTTTTGGCTGCTACATTTGTTACCTTAATTATGCTTGGATGGTTTCTTTGCTCTGTATTTGAGAAAACAGAAAATTCTCCACCAAGTTGGAATGGAGTTGGTAATCGGGTCACCTCTTCAATTTTTTGGCTAAGAGTGTCATACATATCCTGCATAACACAAAAGACAAACCATTTTGCAGTTCATGGTCAGAGCACTGGAAAGTTTGAGCCTATCTGTAATTTTCTTTCTCCTTAAGATTCGGTGCTTATCTCATAATAGTTTATGGCAATTACTTAGAGAGACATGAAACAATTTTGATTGTTGATGTACTTAAAGTTACCTTCATCCTTAACCATTCTTGTTTGAATTCAAGTGCATCTTCACTTTTAGTAGTAGCAACATCAGAGAAGTATCTAAAGGGTGCTCTAATTTGCACGTTGTACTTCTTACAAAAAGGTACCCAAAACTTGGCGAATTTGGAGGCTTCCGCAAGGGCATAGAAGGTAAGAGGGGAACAACCATCATCGGAAACATAGCAAGCTAGCTTGTTAGCAGGGTAATCAAGAGCCAAAAGAGACAACACAGTGTTCACTGTGATGATGGGGGGTTCAAGTATAGGATCTGCTGTTGTCACAAGCAAGTCCACTGGTGGAAGCTCAAGTACCCTTTTGAGATAAAGAAGAAAAATGTTAATACTCATGTATAAGCATAAGGCATGCCACTAACAAGCTTCAAGAAGCATTCAACGTAATAGAACTTCAACTTGGTCAAATAGAGCAATGGAACTATGGAAGCATTCATTTGAATAGGGAATAAAATTCAAAATAGCATGAGTTATCAAAGGATAAGTATCAATAGATATATGTTATGACATACCCTTGTAGGAGACGATCTATGTGGGTTATGGTTATTGCAGGACTCCATTTGGCATTGAGAATGACAATCCAAGTGAAGGTGAACCAAGATTCACATAAGAAAGCAAGGAACCATGGGAAAGTAAAGTTTTTGATTGAGAAAACACGGTAACTGAGAAGCATGAGAAGGAGGAGTAAAATCAAGGAATCTATTACTCTCTGAAATGTACGCTTGAGCCATATTTTTTGATAGAGAGGGAAATATCCTTGCTTGTCCATTGAGCAAATCGTAAGACCCAATATTTGGGAGGATCTGAACAACGTCAGACTCTTAAATGGACAAATATTGATTTATAAAACAATGTTTTTCCAATAAATAATTAACAGACAGAAATCCTGACAATGATTGGTGTTGAAAATGTTCTTTATTGTAATCGAATTTTTTGTGGGCCTTTTGGCTCTTGTTATGGAATTTTGTAACCAAAAGAAAAAGTTTATTTACTGGAATAATCTACGCCATTAGCTGTTTAGTGGGGTTTGTGCCTCTCTGTCCCTTGAATAATCAAGCAAGTTCACCACATAGTTTCTCAATGATATGTGTAAGGGCCAATCAAAATACACTCTCTACGAATATCTTGGCTCTTGAGTTCGCAAGCATTTGGAAGATTGATTGATATTTGAGACGTATTGGCATTATCTAAACTAAAACAAACAAATCCTCCAGTTAGTGTCGTCACGTGGGAGTATCCTGCACAAATTTATTATTACTAATTAATTAACCAAGATAAACACGTTCGATATTATCTTATTAATTTCATTATTTTTTGGACAACCATATCCCTTTTCTGCAACTGAATAATGTTAAAATAGTACCCAAAATTTGTATTAAATGATTCATTTTTTTCATTTTATTATTTATTCCCCTCTCTAAAAAAATCATTTAATGTTGTAGCACAAGAACTAAAAACTATGTTTAAGAGTAAAATTTAAAGGAAAAAAATAACAATACAACCTTAAAATTATAGCATAACTATTGGCTCAAGAAAAAAATTAATTAAAGAAACTACTTTTCAGGAGTATTATTTTTTTTATTATAACACAAACTCATAAAATGTTTAATAATTAATAAATTTTATAAAGTTTTTTCATTTTTCAAAATATCCTCGATCGATAAATAAAAAAATTACGAAGCTAATTTTAGACCATCAGATTCACGAGTCTCTTAAATTTGTTATTAGCTCTTATATATAGTTTCTATTAAAATTGTGTCATATTCGATGTGCAAATCTGATTTTTTCAATTGAATATATATAATAACCATTATTTTTTTTTCCTAATCCATATGGAACTTCATTTCTTCAAAAAGTTAGTTTAGCCTAATAAATCTTTTAAAAAAAGGGTATAAAATATTTTGAAGTAAAGGATAATTTGTAAAAAATATTTATTTTTATCTACTCCAATATTATAATATATACAGCCGAGTGTAGGACAATGTTATTTGATAAAAAACAAGATTTTAAACGATGTCCTACAAAACTAAATAATATTAAAATCTTCAGAAAACGCTGAATAAGATGTTCTGAAGTCATATCAATGTTCCTAGTTTAAATTTGTCATTTCTAAAAACATAATAATAGTAAATAATAAAACAGCTTAGTTGAAACGCATGCAAGTTAGCTGCTTAGTTTCTGGATGATTGACACAATTGCCAATCAAAATACTTTCCCTATGGAATATCTGCCTCAAGAGTTAACGTCTCCAAATGGGATTCATATTCTCACTTACAATGACGTTTGTATTTAGTACTTTATCATATTCATTAGGATTGTTTTTGATAAAAAAAAATCTATAAAAAATAGAAAAAAAATATTAAATAGATGCCATTAATTTATCATCATATGCATTTTTTGTCACCATTTCATTAATAATTTTTTGACAATTTTAAGAAAATAATATTTGATATAAAATATCCTAATAGATTTACCAAAAGTTAATCAAAATAAAATTTTATTTTAGAATAGATTTAATTTTTTTTCTTTATACTTCAATGTATTTGTAATTTTTTTAATTTTAATCTCTCATAAATTTTTTTATTCAAATTAAAATTTTTATCTTAAAATTTTATTCAATAATTAATAAAAATGTAATAAATATAATTAGAGTTAGCAAAATAACCATTCAGCTTATTTGGATCGGTTGATTACACAAATTAAAATCTTATGATAAGTAGTATGATTTAAAAATTTTAAAAATTTGACACAATAAAATACAAGTTAAAATTTAATGAAGCCTTGGAAATAAAAGCAATGAATGAAAATGTGTAAATAGATTTAACCTCTTCCACATCGCAAGTGGCATGGTGGCAGTGAGACACCAAAAGTCAACATGAAAGAGTTTGTCAATCAAGAATCATACTTGTACATTCATGAATTTTTTAACACAAATAAAAAATTGTTATCTGTAATAAGAATCAAAGCTTAATGCAACTCGGATTGTGACATTTGTTTTCCTTAGAACCTTGCAAAAAGGACAGAATATTTTTCAGGCAGAAGAGTAATTTATTAATCAATGTTAGGATAAACTACAAAGTGGTACTGCGGTGTAGAGGATAGACATTAAGCCTCTAGAAAAGGAGATGACCAATTGATATGTTTTCTTTGATATACGAAGATAAAGGGTGATAGGTCACCAAAATTACAAGAAAGGGAAAGGCAAATTTGGTTAGAAATTTTAAATTCATCCTAAATATTGGTCAAGCCGGAGTTGTAGTAAGTTAATTCTAATTTATTTTATGAATATATAAGCCTGTTTGGCTAAATTAAGCTGTTTGATTTTATTCAATTAATAACTAATGGAACAAAAGTACATAAGGCTGGGAAATATAACAAGATGTATAGAGAAATTTAATTTATATATATGATGTGATCATAATGGTTCTTGTACTGAAGTGCAAGAAAGCAAGTGCAAGCAGGGCTGATTTGCATATGGTTGATAAAGGTATCCCATATTTTCCACAAGCAAACAACCCTTTTAAAAGTGGCCAATAACAAACCACCAAATATGTGCTTCAAATCAATTCTCCTAGTCCACACCCATTCCCTCTAAGAGGTGGCTGCAACCCCAAAAGCTTGATAAACAAAGCTGTCAATTGCACCAACAAAAAGGTTGTGCCTGCCACAAAAACTTGGGACTCATCGAAGGTGAACCTACCAACATCAGAATCATCTTCATGATCAGCACCACAAGTTGGGTGTTCCTTCTTTGTTACTTCAAAGACTGTATCAGATATGCCGCAGAGCTTAAGCATGCCACTCAAAAATCCAATGAACCATGCAGTCGTGGTTCTTATTATGTTCATTCTCTGATTGTTCCACCAATGTCGTATTGACAACCCAACCATGAGGTACTCTAATAGAGTATAAATGTTGTAAATCACAAAAAGAGCAATTGGAATCCATAGGCCAAGCCCCTTGAATAAAAACAAAAACGAAATAGAAGATAAAAAGATATATATTAAGTTCCCAATTCATGAAATTGAATACTTTGTACTAACTAGTATAAGTATAACCTTGCCAATAATATTATTTGGATCATACCTTAGGCAGCAAATTGGTGTTTGTAACTATGCAATATGGCAGCAGTGTAGCATAGCAAACTACGGAGACAGAACGCAATCCCATGTTGGTTACCCAAAAATAGGACAAGCCTTGCCTGAATTGGATCTTACCAAAGAGAGTGGCCATAACAGCAGAATGCTTTCCAAAGAAAACTACAGTGAGACCTGAGGCCCATCTCTTTTGTTGGATCATTGTAGAGAGTAAATCTTTTGGAGAACATCCTGTAAAGGAAATTGGATCTGGGCTACAACACTGATCTCCAACCTTTTCTATGAATATTCAACCCAGTAGGTACATCCTCTACTATTGATCCAGCCCATCTAAAGTTCCAAAATCACCAAAGCTAATTAACAAAATATTAGTTTTGCAAAACAAAAAATTAAGTTTAATAGCAAAAATAAACATGTACATATTTGCAATAAACCAGTAAATATTGATGATTTAAAAAGAGCATTTTTATTTGAAACATATATATGTTTGTATATGTTGCATACCGCATACTTGTTTACCCCAGCTACTGCCATATTCATAGCCACAATCTGCAACTTGGATTGCAGCTCCAATGAAATTAGATGGGCTAATATTAGGAGAATATGTACTCCCTTCCAAAGCATGTGCTACTGATTTGACAAACGTCTTTGAACTTCCAAACTGTTGCACTAGTACATTGTCTGCTAATTTTCCTTTAAGAGATACGAAACAATAAACGCATTATAGGCATATCAGATAGAAATTAACTACTTATACTATCCTTAAATATCCTTAGGCAAATGTTAACCATTACTTTCGGGGAACTAGTTAAGGAATTAAAAGTGGAATTTTTTTGTTAGAAAATATAACAATTATAATAAAAACTACTCTTCAATTCCTCTTAACATGTCTTTAGAACACTGGTTAACAAGATCCATATACTTAAATCATTTTGTATTTAAACCCTTTCATTTGGGAGTCCATTGGAAAATTTTGAATAACGAACAAATACAATAAACAAGTGAATTTTATGTATCCATGTAAGGGCAAAGACCTTTTCTTCCAGTTTCGATTTCATCTGGATAAAAACCGTAAATAACATTTCTCTTATGGAAGGTGTTTGTTCCTAAATAGAAAGGTCCTTGAAGTCCTGCCACGCCTCGCATTATGTACTGCATTAGACAAAACAAGAAATTGAAGGAGAGTTACTCTACATTCGTTTGGTTGCAAACATAATAGTTTCAAATAAGACAAAAAACTTATTTAGTCTAAAGAATCAGAAATGCCAAATCATATTAGTTCTTAGTTGCCAGAGTTCTTTAAATGACTAATATGACTGATTCATAATTCTCAAAACAGGTCAAATTTCTCAATTCCAAATTTGAAGTTTAATAAGCATATTTTACAAACCTCTTACAAAATTTAATGGCGGTCAAGATCTTCATTCAAAGTTTACCTCATAGACAACCGCCCATTGATTTCCAAAAGGGTCATCTTTTATTCCATCGTGGAACTGCTGGAAACATTAACAAAAGCAACCTCTTTTCCACTCTTTGAATCCATGAAAATGCAAATAGCGTGTAAAACAATCTTCGGATTGTTAACAAACATGTCACTGTCTACATTCAACATAAAGGGAGCATTGGTCATCAGTCCAGAGACTCTTGTCTGCACATATTAATGATTAAAAAAGATGAGAAACCATTATTAATTCAGAGTAAATTTTGGATTCGATCATTGAATTGGAAATAGAATTCCACGAACTGAGTCTAAATGTTAGTTAACAAACTTACCAACACATTCATAGCTCCAGCTTTGTAATTATGTGGATGTAGTGGTCTCTTCTCTCTAGATAAGTAGACTAGGTGAGGCAACCGGTCAGAAAGATCGTCCTTGTTCTCTAATATAACCTGCTAAAACGCAAGGCAGAAAAAAGAACAAGAAAAACGTATACAAAATTTACTGTTGAATGAACAAAACGACCGCTTTATATAGAAAGAGAGCTCCATAGTTTAGTATCTTTTAGGCGAGACAATCAAAATAAGGGTGAATCCATATAATATGATGGGCTAGTTCTTTTAGCAGGAATTTTATTTATTTATTTAAAAGATTGAAAAATGATACCTTATTTAATCGAAATCAAGTATACAACCATCCCCATTAATAAAAATAGTATTTTATTTTAAAAAATGACTATTGATAAATATGAAAAATATAAAAAATATATTAAACAGAAACGAAAAATTTGTGATAGATTAATATTTTAAAAACACTTGTATTTTCACACACTTTTTCTTGAATTTCTTCTCTCTCTTTTTTCATTTTAATTTCTGTTTCTATCCCATTTTTATTTAATTTTTCTCTTTTTTCCCCTTTTCTTACCCCATTCTACAGCTTAAAAGTGGATTGTCAACATAACATTTCTGATATTTTAAGGGTAATGTTTATTACCTTTATTATGCTCGGATGATTTCTTTGCTTTATGTTTGAAAATACTGCAAATTCTCCGTCAAGTTGAAATGGAATTGGTTTAAGGGTCATATCTTCAATTTTTTGGCTAAGACTCTCATACATATCCTGCATAAACAAACCATTTTGCGGCTAATGGTCAGAGTCAAGGGCTTGGAAGTTCGAACATATTCCTAGTGAGTGAAACGGAGTTTAAAAAAAAGCAAAATCAACGGTTCTTTGCTTGCAATTACGAGTCAACAGGTAATTTGAATGGCTTCTTTTTTATTTAATTTAATTTTAATTCTTGGAGAATCGATTCTGATAAATGTCAATCAGATCACATCAATCATTGCATGGCAATGTTGTTGTACTTACCTTCATTTGTATCCATTCTTGTTTGAATTCTGAGTCTTCATTTTTGGTAGTGGCAACGTCAGAGAAGTATCTAATGGGGGCTCTAACTTGCACATTGTACTTCTTACAAAAAGGTACCCAAAACTTGGCGAATTTGGAGGCTTCCACAAGGGCATAGAAGGTAAGAGGGGAACACCCATCATCGGAAACATAGCAAGCTAGCTTGTTAGTAGGGTAATCCAGTGCCAAAAGAGACGAAACTGGGTTCACTGTGATGATGGGTGGTTCAAGTTTAGGATCTGCTGTTGTCACAAGCACGTCCACTGGTGGAAGCTCAGGTATCCTATTGAGATAAGGAAAAAAATAAACGTAAATACTCGTGTAAGCATAAGCCTTGGCTGTAATAAGCTTCAAGAAGGATTCAATAACCTAAAACTTCAGCTATTTCAAGTATAGAATAATGATAGCCTACGTGGGAATAAGGACGCAAATTCAAAATAGCCTATATAAGTTATCAAAAGAGTAAGTATCGATAGATTTATGCTATCACGTACTGCTGCATGAGACGATCTATGTGGGTTATGGTTATTGCGCGACTCCATTTGATGTTGAGAATCACAATCCAAGTGAAGGTGAACCAAAATTCACATAAGAAAGCAAGGAACCATGGGAAAGTGAAGTTGTTGATTGAGAAAACACGGTAACTGAGAAGTAAGAGGAGGAGTAAAATGAAGGTGTCCATTACTCTTTGAAATGTACGCTTGAACCATAATTTTTCATAGAGAGGAAGATGTACTTGGTTATCCATTGAGTATGAGAAACTAGAATGGCTGCATGTTTACTATTTTTAACCAAGGGATTCGAGATTCTCCGGATATTGCTGATTTATAATATGCATTTTCATTCTATTCTATGGTACTTGCATGCATTTGAATTGGGAGGGCCCCAATCAGATTCTCCTAATGTTGGAAAACACGTATATTGCCCCAACCACATTTTATATAGTATTTTTTGTATTAATTTACAAGTTAGGTGTGGTTAGAGGGAATGTTTTAACGATGAAAGGACGAGAGATTAACTTAAAATGCATAATAGAATTTTGATGATACCAAGTTTGAATTTGATGTTGAGCAAGGAAGTATTAACTAAAATTTGTATTAAAAAAAATATGATTTTGATGAGGCTTCGGATGATAGAAGTGACACTTACGATGGACTCAAATATAATAGTTATTGTGATGAAAAAGGTAATGATTATGAAAATAATAGCAGAGATTGATATTTAGTAAACAATTAAATTCTTTAAACATTAATTAGAATTTTAATAATTAGTTATACATATAATAATATTTTATTAAAAAGATGAAATTTTCTTTAATAATTTTTAAATTTGAAAATGTTATTATTTCCTGTTAACCTCAGATATGTGGCTTTTTTTATAATATTTAAAAATAATATATATTAAAATATGAAATTTTGGAAAAAAAATATGAAAATATGAAAACTAAAAAATTGTTATTAATAATTCTTAAATGAAATTAGTTAATTTCAAAATTTTCATCTGATAATTTTTGAATAAGTTAGCTAATTTTATGAAATTTAAAAATTGTCCTAAATTTTATTAAAAAATCATTAATAAATTATCATATTTTTATAATTTTTTAATCAAATATCATATTTTATATATAAACTATTAGAATTTCATGTAAAAATAAACTGAGATATGTTTTATTTTTTAAAAAATCTCAAAAGGTCTCGAAAATGAAATTACTTGTGTTTAAATAAGTTTCCGAAAAAAAATCTTAAGATATACACACCGTAGACGCATGTCATTTCATGATGATGGGGAAGTGCAACACCGCACTCGGCATATTCGGGGAAAAACAACTACAATCGACCCAAAAAAAAAAAAAAACTCCATTTTTTTCTGCTTTTGTTAATTAATTTTAAATCAAATAATAGTAAATAAAAAATTTTAAAATTTAGAAATTAAACATTAAAAAAATAGTAGTACAAAAATTAATTACGAATCATAATTTTATTTAAAAAATATTAAAAATATAAAAAAGAATGAGTCTATTTTTGCTTTGTTGGGATAGGGAGCATTTACTTGTATAATATTCCAATGGACTTTGCTCACTATATTTTTTTTATTAAAAATAATTGAGTGTAAAACACGTAATTTCAAACCGTATTTAACTTCTTCTAAAATCAATTCTTTTAAAATTAGTTTTTGTATATTTTGACACAAGCCATTTTTATCCTTTGTGGGCCAAGATTAAAATTAAAAAAATTGTTTGGATTTTTTTAGTTAACTTTAAATATATTATTTTATATTTATTCTCTTTTCTATTTTTAATATAACATTGAATAAATGGTATTTTTTAATATTTCACAAAATCTTAAAAATAAAATTTTTTATATTTATTAATTCAGTTGTTTAATTTTTAAATATATTAATTCACAATATTTATAATAATATTTATTTCTAAAAAATAAAAACAAACAATAAACTATGAATCTGTGTAGTTTGATAAATATTTTTATTTTTATTAATAATTAAAAAATTGTTCAAACTTGCTCCATCAAACAAGTTTCGCATAACACAATTATTGCCTAATTAATTATAGTTTTTTCTTCAGTTACATGAGTAAAAATTTATAGTAAAATACATTATATATATATATAATATTGATAAAAAAATTATTTATTAAAATTTTTAACTAATATATTAAAGATACTAATCAAATAAAACTCTAAATTACATTCACACTTTTAGAGGTTTAACAAAATTTTACTTTATGCTTTTGTAATATTACTTTTATCACTTTGATTCCTATAAGTATATAAAAAATTAAAATAGTTTGTATGATTAAAGAGAGTATGCGATGTTATGTTGTTATATTTGTAAAATAAAAAATATTAAATAAAATTTTATTAAATCTTAAGAAGTATAAGTATAATGTAAAATACTTTAGGCCTGTATAAAAGGAAAGACATTATTTAAATGTCTTAATTGCTCAGTCGCAAAGTGATTACGTTGTTAGAAACTTCATTTGTGAAACTGATACTGAAGAAGTGGCATAATTATTGAACTCTGGAAGTATTCTTCAATCCCATAAGCATGCAGCTACGTTGTCACATTATTAGGACACTGAAACTTCAACAACGGTCTATCACCTTTGAATCTGGATTCAAAGGGAAGACACTGAGTATTCCTCTTGATTCCCATTGCCCTTTTTAGACCACATTCACTCTTATTATTCATTTAATTTCCTTCTTTTGCTAACTAAATTTCATTAGTTTTTTTGGAATCGCTAGAACTAAATTTATCTTTGACTTGTCTACTATTTTGCCCTTGATGGAATTTTGCGAAGATTGTTTTGTTTCCAGAGTACCCAAAATAAAAGTTACAAGCTTTTTGATCAATGTGTTATAATGATGAATTAGTACAGAAAAATAATAAATATAAGAACACAATATGTAGATAAATTCAATTTCAAGTCATCACTGATCAACCAATAACAACAATGCTTCTACAGAAATGCACAAAGACAAATGCAAGCACTATTGACTTGCATATAACAGATAAGGGAATCCCATATTTTCCTTTGGCAAACAACCCTTTAAAATATGGCCAATAGCACATTAACAGATACAAAACACATGTCAATTCCCCTAGTCCAGATTCATTTCCATCATGAGTTGGTTGCAACCCCAAAACCCAGATAAACAGTGCTATCAATTGCACCAACAAAATGGTCGTGCCAGCCACAAAAACTGGGGACTCGTCGAATGTGAACCTTCCAACATTTGCACCCTCTTCATCAGCATTAGAAGTTGAGTGTTCCTTCTGTGTTATTTCAAAGACAGAATCAGATATGCCCAAAAGCTTGAACATGCCACCCAAAAATCCAAGAAACCATGCAGATGTGCTTGCTACTATGCTCATTCTCTGGTTGTTCAACCATTGTCGCACGGACAACCCAATTGCAAGGTACTCTAAAAGAGAATGTACTTTGTAAATCACAAAAAGAGCAATTGCAATCCATAGGCTAGGTCCCTGCAATAAAAACAAAGCGAATAGAAGGAAAGAATTAAATATATTTTCATTCCTACATTTTTACAAAATTTTTATTCTAGTTTATTTTTTAAATTCAGCACTTTTGGTCCTTTGCCGGTCGCATAAAAAAATGATACGTGATAACTTTGTGCCAATCACATCATCGTTAAACTTTTTATTTTATCATGTTCTCATTTAACCATCACTTGTGATCCAAAGTACTGACTTTAAAAAAATTTGAGAGACTAATATATACACACACACATATACATTGAGAGTAAAAAGAAAAGGTATATTAAGCTCCAAATTCATGAAATTGGATCTAACCTTCGGAAAGATACTGGTGTTAGTAATTATACAATGTGCAGGCAGCAAAGCATAGAAAAATTGGAAGGCACTACGAAGGCCCCAATTGACAATCCAATAATAGGACAGGGCTGCCCTAAATTGGATCTTACCAAAGAGAGTTCCAATAATGGGAGAATGCTTTCCAAAGAAAACCACAGTGAGGCCTGAGGCCCATCTCTTTTGTTGTATCATTGTGGAGAGTAAACTTTTTGGAGTACACCCTGAAAAGGCAAATGGATCTGGGGTACAACACTCTGATCTCCAACCTTTTCTATGGATACTTAACCCAGTGAGTGCATCCTCTGTAATTGATCCATATAACCAGCCCATCTAAAATTCCAAAACCACCAAAGCTAATTAATAAAATTTAGCTTTTATAAAACAGGAATTAACTGTAATAGCAAAAAAGGAATATGCACATATTTGAAATAAAAACATTAAATATTAATAATCTTAAAAAAGAGCATTTTTACATGGAAAGAATATCTGTATTTGTTGCATACATGTTTACCCCAGCTAGTTTCATATTCATAGCCACAATCTGCAACTTCGATTGCTGCCTCAACGAAATTTGATGGACTAATGTTATTAGGAGAATATGAACTCCTGTCCAAAGCATGCGCTACTGATTTGACAAATGTCTTTGAACTTCCAAATTGTTGTGTTAGTATCTCGTCTGCTACTTTTCCTTTAAGAGAGATGAAACAATAAACGCATCATAGGCATACCATATAGGAATTAATTATTGATACTATCCAAAATATTTTTGAATTTAAACCCTTTTATTTGGGAGTCAATTGGAAAATTTGGAGTAATGAAGAAAGACAATGAATGAGTGAGTTTTTTGTATCCAAGTAAGGGCAAAGACCTTTTCTTCCAATTTCAATTTCATCAGGATAAAATCCATAAATAGCATTTCTCTTATGGAAGGTGCTTGTTCCTATATAGTAAGGTCCTTGAAGTCCTGCCATGCCTCGTATTATGTACTGCATTAGACAAAACAAGAAATTGAAAGTGAGTAACTCTGGATTTGTTTGGTTATACACACATTAGTTTCAAATAATAAAAAAAAGGAGAACTCTCGCCAACGAGTGACAAGCAAATTATCCAAATAGACTTAGATATCACATCTAATCCGATATTAGACTTCTTGCCTCATATTTGCTGCATGACAAGGTATATATGTAGTTGAAAACTAAGTCAAGAGCTTCATTTGAAGTTCATTTAGTTTACCTCAAAGGCAGCCACCCATTGATTTCCAAAAGGGTCTTCTTTTATTCCATCGTAGAATTGCTGGAAACATTGAACAAAAGCAACCTCATTTCCACTCTTTGAATCCATGAAAATGCACATAGCGTGTAAAACAATCTTGGGGTTGTTCACAAACATGTCACAGTCCACGTTCAACATAAAGGGAGCATTAGTCATTAGCCCAGAGACCCTTGTCTGCACATATTAATCATTAAGCACAACATTACTGAGTTATTAATTCAAAGTAAATTTAGGATTCCATCCTTAATTGTTAGAATTGGAATCAGAATTCCATGAACTGAATGTTAGTTAACAAACTTACCAACACATTCATAGCTCCGGCTTTGTAATTATGTGGATACAGTGGCCTCTTCTCTCTGGATATGTAGACTAAGTTAGGCAGCCCATTAGAAATATCTTCCTTGTTCTCTAATATAACCTGCCAAAACGTAAGGCAGAACAATAACAATTAGGAAGATTTACACAAAGTGACTGTAGAATGAACGAAGAATCTCACTAATCTGTACTTAAAGTGATTGATAAATAATAATTTTTTTTTATTAAAAATCACTTTCATATATATTAAAAATTATGAGAGTAGGTCCATTGTTATATTTTTTTTATAAAGAAAATTACTATAAATGTTTTAACATTGCCTCAAGAGTACTTGTTAACATTTTTAATATACAACACAACAGCTTTATATAATTATTGCTCTCAAAGCACTTGCTAGCGAGACTCATATTTTAATGCTATATTTATTACCTTAATTATGCTTGGATGATTTCTTTGCTCTATGTTTGAAAATACTACGAATTCTCCGTCAAGTTTGAATGGAATTGGTTTGCGGGTCATATCTTCAATTTTTTGGCAAAGATTGTCATACATGTCCTGCAAAAACAAGCCATATTTGCAGCTCATGGTTAGAATATTGCTGTCTCAATCATTGCAGGGCAATATTCCTGTGTACTTACCTTGATTCGTAACCATTCTTGTTTGAATTGAGGTGAGCCTTCATTTTTGGCAGTGGCAACGTCAGAGAAGTATCTAAAGGGTGCTCTAACTTGCACGTTGTACTTCTTACAAAAAGGTACCCAAAATTTGGCGAATTTGGAGGCTTCCACAAGGGCATACAAGGTAAGAGGGGAACAACCATCATCGGAAACATAGCAAGCTAGCTTGTTAGTAGGGTAATCAAGTGCCAAAAGAGACAACACTGTGTTCACTGTGATGATGGGTGGTTCAAGTATAGGATCTGCTGTTGTCACAAGCATGTCCACTGGTGGAAGCTCAAGTACCCTTTTGAGATAAGAAAAAGTAAACGTAAATACTCATGTATAAGCTTCAAGAAGCATTCAATAACCTACAACTTTAGCTATTTCAAGTACAGATCAGTGATAGCCTTCATGGGAGTAAGGAATCAAATTCAAAATAGCTTATATAAGTTATCAAGGGAGTAAGTATCAATAGATTTATGCTATAACATACTGTTGCATGAGACGATCTATGTGGGTTATGGTTATTGCAGGACTCCATTTGGTGTTGAGAATCACAATCCAAGCGATGGTGAACCAAGATTCGCATAAGAAAGCAAGGAACAATGGAAGAGTGAAAGTGTTGATGGAGAGAACACGGACACTGACAAGCATGAGAAGGAGGAGTAAAACGAAGATGTCCATAACTCTTTGAAATGTGCGTTTGAGCCATATTTTTTCATAGAGAGGAAGATATCCTTTGTTCGCCATTGAACAAATTGTGAGAGACTAGAATTGTAGCTAAGGGATTTAAGAATGATTATTTAAAGAGAAGAAACAAGCCTTCTAAGGCATTCATTATAAACAATACTTGAAAACTTGTACTAAAATTTTGTTGCATTGAGGAAATTATGAGATACTAGAATAGTTGCATGTTTACTATTTTTAACCAAGGGTGAGATTCTTCTTTTTGCTGATTTATATATTATTTGCAGGGAATTTATGTAATGTGCATGTTCATTCTATTCTACCATACGTGTGGATTTGGAACTCCAAATCAGATTGGTAGGGATGAAAGTTTGACTAACATTTAATGGACGTGGGGGGTACAGATATTTTCGTATCCAACTCGCTCAGCATATTCCTGCATTTTTAAATATATTAAATTGATCAATTAATTTGTTAAAATTACACACACAACATTACATATTAAATGGTGCAAGCATTAAAACTTTAAATTCACGAAATAAATTATTTCAACTAGTTTAAATACTTAATGTACACTATGTTGTATAATCAATTGCTTTATTTGTATTTAGAGTTTGATTCGAAATTTATTACTTCTTTTGTATATTTTATAATTAGAATATAAAATAGTGTTTTTATTCAATTCAAATGTTACCCATGACTCAATCAAAAAAACGAGAGGATGAATTCAGATATAAGCAATTTGTAGTATGTCTAGAACTATGTTTAACATGATGCTTACGTTAAAAATGTAAAAGCTTCAACTTTTCATAACTGTTGCGTTCATTTATAAAAGGGCTTTAATTAAAACTTTTGCTGGGCTGATATTGACTTAAAATCCCTTTAGAAGTTCTTCTTGCTTTATTTATTCAGTATTAATCAATCATCAATCAATGTTGTAAAAGTACTGTTGCATCGGCTTGACACGTCTTCCATGCTCAATGTGAAAATTGGGATTAAGCTTAGATGAAGTTCATTTTTCATGTGAATGAGAATAATATTTTAAAATTTCTTGGATCCAATTCCTTTGAGGAATTATATTGTAAATATATTCATTTAAAAATAAAAATTAAATTAGAAAATAAAATAACATTTATTTATAAATTGGTTAATTAAAGAATGCATACATATTTATTTATTATTTTTCCCTTTTAAGACTGATATTAATATCTATTTAAATTTAGAGATATCGAAAAAAATCTTTAGAGATTGATTCGGGACTGTAGAAAATACACAATGCACATGCATGCCATGTCATGATGATGTAGAAATGCAGCACCCCACTTGGCATATTCGCGAGACTTTTTTGTTTTTTGTATTCTTGTAATTAAAATTCAAAGTCAAATAATAGTATGTAAATATTTAAAAAATTTAGATATCTCATTAAAAAAAATTCACGAATCATAATTTTATTTGAAAAATTAAAAAAATGTAAAAAGGTCTTATCTAATTTTGTTTTATTGAGCTGTCGCGCTTAGACAAAAGGATGGGAACAATTTATGAAAAGTGCATTTTGTCTTTATTTTTATTTTTTCAAATCAAAATCGATTACGTAATAATTAAAAATAAACGATAAAAGAAAGTTATACCCGGTTTCTAATATAAGTTGAATAAAAATAATAATTTGTCAATTTTAAGGATATGCATTCCTTAAATTTTTCAAACAGGCCAATAATATTTCATTTCACACAAAATGGACCACATTAGGTTTTGTATTATTCGTGTCAATTTACAGCTAGTTTGGTCTGAGGCTTAGGGCATATCTTCAATTTATGTTTATAATTTTTTAAACATATCTTCAAAGACATATTTAGGCAAATAATAAACATTATTACATTAACACATTGTGTTTGGCAATTTATTATATTCTTAAATTTAATACTTGAAAAAAAAATTCAGCTATTTAAAAAATAATAATTTATGCGTAAAACACATCAAGTGGACGCTTGAAATTTTATTTAAATTCTTTCGGCATCAAGGCTATAATTTAATTAAATTTAAAATAAATCCTTTGTATCTTGTGTAGGCAAAATTAGAATGGAAAATTTGTTAGGCTGTTTTATTTTTTATATTTTCAATATAGTATGAAATAAATGGTAGTTTTAATGTTTTAAATAGTAGTAAAACTAAGATTTTGTTTATAAATACTTATTGCTTCTTTCATTAAATTTTTTAAAAAATGAATAATGATTTTAAGATTATATAAATGAAAAATAGAAACAAACAATAAAATAAGAATCTGTTTAGTTTAAATAAATAACTTTAACTTTTTTTTTATTAATAACTACAAAATTGTTCAAACTCGGTCCATCGAACGATTCTTGCATAACACAACGATTATCTAAGTTATAATCCTTCCTTTAGCTACATGAATTAAAAGTTATAGTAAATTACCTAGCAGTCTATCACATATCACCTATCAATGACTTTTTTTTTTTTGGGTAATTTATCAATGGATTTTTTTGTTTTTTGGTTTATACAAGCAAAAGAAAAAACAGCTACTATCTATCTCTGAGTTGTTTGAAACCACATATCATTTTGGTACTGCAGAATTTGGATTGGGTTATTTATTTTTATTTTGGATTTGGAAAGAGATTTTATGTCTAAGGAAAGAAAGCATGAGCACATCAACTTGGCTTTAGACCATTTTCCAATACGTTTATTTTTATTTTAATGAAGATCTAGTATAAACGATAATACGCCATGTAAAAAATTTCAAAATGAGAATCTGACCCAATCTATATATTGAGAACCTTGAAAATAAAAACTTTGAGAGCCCAAGGCCAAATCAGGAATACCTTACATTTGTCAATGCTCGTATTCATAATTTGATGATTTTTAGACCAAAAAAAGCGTATTCATAAGTTGATGGGAATGTTTCTCTATCCACACACATACTAATTAAAAAGTAATTATTCGGATGATATTATTAACTAAACAATCACTTATAGTCATTGATATTTTCATTACAATTTATTATTATATTATTATTTTTAATTAAATATTATCATAAACTTAAAGCATATATATAAACAATTCATTTTATAAAGAAGATAAATATAAATTATTTTGTTAATCAATGTATACACATTTTAGGCCTTTTTAAAAAAAAGGGGGAGGAAAGACATTATTGGTTACAAAGTGATAACGTTTTGTAACGTCAAATGATGTCTACAAGCCAACGCTGGATTCATACTCTTTCTAGCACCTTATTAATCAAATTATTTAATTTCACTAATAATGGTTGGTGTTCTAAAACTCAAATTGAACGACATCGTTTAACGGTCATGGGCGTTCTCTTATAATATTCGCCGTGATTCCCTTGAGCATGTGAAATTCTGCTCTTTGCTTCTCGCTGGGATTCCATGGCTGACTCTGCATCATCCCCTTTCAAAAAGATCCAGATTCAAAGGGATGACACTGTGAGTGTGCCCTCTTTGATTCTCATTTCCCTTCTTTCTATTTAGACCACATTCACTCTTATTATTATTTATTTTGCTCCTTTTGTTTACTAAATTTTCATTATTTTTTTAATACTATAAAGTAGAACCGTCTGTGTTTTTTGCAATTTCCAGAACTAAATTTATCTTTGACTTGTTTATTATTTTGCCCTTTATGGAATTTTGTGAAACATCTGTAGTGAAGACTTTTTTGTTTACGGTGTACCCAAAGTAAAAGTTACAAGCTTTTTGATCAATGTGTTGTGATGATAAATTTTCAACATAGATGTTGTCTTGGGTCTTTATCAATTTCATCCTTTGAAATGGAATGCTACCCACATTCCACTTACCCTTTTGGTCCGTGCTTACTGTCTGGAAACTGTTATATTATATGCCATGTGTTGCTTTTCAATAATCTGTGCAAGTGACCTACCATGTCAAATAATTTTGATGCATTTTGATCAAGACCAGAGTTGTTTTGACGAACTATTGCTTCCAGTCATGTTGTTGGACACTTGGACCTAAAATTTTCTTATGTCATTTGTCTCTTGCGATATGTAACTATTCCATGTCTGCTATCTGCGCTGGAACTCAAATTTTAATTTTTTATGCAATTTTTGTTTTCATTGATCATTGATCAGACATTTGATGCATATGTGGTTGGAAAAGAGGATGCTCCTGGAATTGTTGTGATTCAGGAGTGGTGGGGTGTGGATTATGAAATTAAGAACCATGCTGTGAAAATTTCTCAGCTTGGAACTGGGTTTAAAGCTCTCATCCCAGAGTAAGATAATAGCACTTCAATCTTTTCCTTACTCCTTATATATATGGTAATGTTGCATGCTACATTTCGAAGACTGATGGATTTGCCTTTTTTCCAGTCTGTACAGAGGAAAAGTTGGTCTGGAGGTTGCAGAAGCTCAGCATTTGATGGATGGTCTTGATTGGCAAGGAGCTGTGAAGGATATCTCTGCTTCAGTTAACTGGCTTAAAGCAAATGGTTCAAAGAAGGTTTGCCACTGTTCTTGTTGTCAAGATAAAAAATTCTCTATCTTAAATATGCTCTACCATCCACAATACTTGCCTAATATAAACATTTGATTTTGTTGACCTGTGCCTGATGATTTCATTGTGATTTTATCATCATACAATAGTTGCAGAAGGTTCTTATACTTTTTATCAACTCATAACAACATTGGGCTAGCTACCCTTTGCTTGATATTTTAAATGATTTAGTTTAAATCTTACTTTTGAAGTTGGAGACTGAACCAGTGAATGGGAAAATTTATTTAGGTCCTAAAAGATTGCTCTAACTTGTAATTTAGAGGAGTATTATGCTATGATCATGTTAAGAGATTGATCTATTTTACGAATATTACATAATCAATGGTGCTATGTGATCCATGTAATTGATTTCACTTTGTGAGATAAGACTTAGTAGTTGTTGTTGTTATTTTGTGTGTTTGACTATAAATGTTAGTCTCTGTCGATAGTTGTGTTTAGAGTTTATTGGGTTAAGGTAATAAGGAGTTTAGAGCCAGAGTATCCTTTTGAAGTCTGATATGGTTGAGTATATACTTAGATTAAAGTGCCAAATAAAACTGGTTTGTATTTTGTTTAACTGTATCATTTTGTGTTAAATATACAAAATGTGACATTGTTATTTATTGCAACAGGTTGGTGTGACTGGATTTTGTATGGGAGGTGCACTGTCTATTGCAAGTTCTGTCTTGGTTCCAGAGGTTGATGCTGTTGTAGCATTCTATGGAATTCCTTCTTCAGAGCTTGCTGACCCTGCCAAAGCCAAGGCTCCTGTTCAGGCTCACTTTGGAGAGCTGGACAATTTTGTTGGCTTTTCAGATGTTACTGTATGATATTTTCTTTGCAATTCTATCTTAATCTCACAGATTATCATCAGCAAGACGTATGAAATAATTTTTTTATCATGAGTTTGATAGCATCATTGAGTGAAAAACAAAACCTTTCTCCCCATAAGATTTTCAACCGCCTCTGCCCATTATCAATCTCTTATACCAGGCATACCCTGAAAAGTGTACCCTTTTTTTAATGAGTATTTTGTTGGACAAGGTGCATTTTTTTGTTATTTTGTTGTCAGTATAGTTTGATAATAATGAATAGGAAAGAAAGGGGATAGAACACTATCGTGTTGATGTTCGTGAATGAAAATGTTTAAATTTAATCCACTGATTATTGTATTGACATTGTTTGATATCTTAGGCTGCCAAAGCCTTGGAGGAGAAGCTGAAGGCATCTGTAGTTGCACATGAGGTACACTTCTATCCTGGCAACATGCATGCATTCATGAACAGGTCTCCAGACGGAATCCAGAGGAGGAAGAAAATGGGAATGCCTGATGAAGATGAAGCTGCAGTTCAGCTGGCTTGGTCTCGCTTCGAGACCTGGATGACACGTTATTTGTCTAGCTAGATAATTTCCTACCTCAGTTCTTATGCCAATATATATTCTGTATGTATTCAGTCTTGAGTAGTAATAAACAAACCTCAAGCTCTGTGTATGCTGCTTGTTTCTGTTTGGTTGTTTTATGCATATTTGAGAAATTTGACTTGGGAATAATATTGAAATGGTTGTCTTTTCTTCAGTTTTGTTTATTATTTTGGCCAGTGGTGCCATTATTTACATTGTTCTTATCATTGACTCTATCTGTTCTGCTTTCCCCTCTGCCGTTCATTAGACTAAAATTGTAATATATACAATAAAAAAGGTAACTAAGCGGTATAAGAATTTTGTAAAATATTTTTTATATATTGGAAAGGTTGGCATCTTAGTGAATATAGAAGTATTAGGCTTAGTTTTTGGGAATATTTTCATTGCATATTTATACATATAGGCAATTTATCTCTTTACGTTAAATTTTTTTGGCTGCAAATCTAATTTAATTCCGTCAATATTTATCTTTTTGCAAAACCAATTTGTGGTAGAGATTAAAGAATCGACATCGCAATGCTGATAACCTCTGATCTAATCCTCTAAGGTGCAATTTTAGTCCGTGTTACACTGACGTGGTAAGAAACGACGAAGACTTTCACACTCATTCATGAGCTTAAAGCATATCAAAACATTCAGCCTTATGTTTAGGACCTCATAGTGTTTAGTTTCAAGTTTGAATTGCCATAAATTTATGTTTACTTTAACGTTGATAGTTAAGTTTTTTGCATTAAATTCATGTTAACAAAATTTTCAAATACTACGTCCCGTTTCTTATTAGATAAGCTCGTTTGAGTTGAAACTTGAAACTAAGAATAAAAGAACCATGTGAGAAAATTGGAAAACTTCGAAATACTTGCTGAAAACTGTTCCATCTGTCGAATCTCTTGCAGCATTTATTGTACATACCAACCATTAATTCAATAATTGGACCACACATTTCAAAAATTTAATCAGTTTAAGATGCAGATGTCTCACCACAACCTATTTGCACCTAAGTATGAGTATATGCTCTTATTGGATCTCCATCCTAGCATAATTTCACTTTTTATCAATTTATGAGCAAAATTTTAAAATTGTCGTGAATACAAAAAATTCAATTTTTAAAAATTGAAAAAATACTGAAATTCTTCGACCGTATACAACTTTAGCATATGGTTAGCAATTATAGTGATTAACCCATTATGTATAGAAAAAAACAGAGAAATATAGTTACGTCACTATCTAATATTTACCACTAACTTAGAAGTGTCGTGTGTGTATTCTGCTTTTCTCATGGCCCTCTTCGTCTATTATGTCGGATGATTCCACCGTTCTTATGGTAGAAATTGTTAATAATATATCTTTTATTATTAACTAAAAATTATATTAAAAATTTAGTAATTCTCATTTATACTTTAATACATTTTAATTATTAAAAAAAAATGTTAAGAAAAGTATGTTAAAAAGTATATATATTCTTAACACTACTTTAGAGAGGAAACAAAAATGAAACATTGCTCTGAGAAGTTTGCAATTATATTAGGAGCCTGTATAATATATGCTTGCTCGTCTTCTTTAAAGTGCGATTATTTCCACACGTCGCCTTTCATTAATTAAAATTTATTTAAAATTAAAATACGATATGAGTGTATTTTTTATTTAATAATTTTTTTTACATAATATTTAATAAATTTGACCAAAAATATAAACTATGTTAAATATATATATATATTAAAGAATGTTGTTAGCAGTCTTAATCTATGTATATTTGGCAGTCAAAATCAATATTTTCAAAATTAAACTTGTCATTAAATAGGTAGAGATATTAATCTGCAATTTATTGATTCAATCATAGTTAAATTCTAATCAAATTAATCATAAATAAATGTTTATATATATAATATGAAATAATAAATTAAAAAAAATAAGTATTAGATAAACACATGTTTTATAACATATAAAAAACATTATAAATTATTAAATGATAAAAATTCATAAATGAATCTCGTATACAAACTATAATTTATTTTTAAAAGTAATTCAAAATGATCCTATACCATTATTTTTTAACCAATTTGAACTCAGTTGAAACCCAGTTGTTCGATTCAACTTCAACGCTAATTTTAAAATGGAGTGATGACGTGTGCGTGTGATTTGTATGCCGAAGGAGAGAGAGGGTTTGAAGACAAAGCAGTAATACAGGAACATGATTATGCCGACAGAAATAGTAAACACACTAATTAAAATAATGCATTTTACGTAATATATAAATAAGTTTAAAAGTTTTAAACATTAAAATGTTATATTGAGGTGCAGCCGACTATGGTTCTGTTGATCAGAAAGTAGATATAAATGAATTGAATCACGTTTTTCTTCTAATAACTAACAACTTTCCATGCAAAAATCAAATTCATTAAATTTTATATTAAATTTTTTAAAAATATAAATGTGATAATTTATTTTACGTATTTATTCACAATATAATAATATGTAGTTTTTTAAATATATTAAAAAATTAAGTAACTGTATATCAAACAAAAATTTATAATTTTATTCATATAAAAATAATAAAAGAATAAAATAATATTTGAGTTTAGTGATTAAAATAAAAAAATTCAAAATCATGTCAAAGTTGTGTGTTTTTAATCTTCTAAACATGGGTTGTTTAAAATTAATTCACACATAGTATAGCGGTTATGTATTGTGTTTGCTTCAAAGAATGCGGCCTACAAAACTTTCTAATAAATCTTAATCTTGTTCTCATCATATCTATACACTCTGTCTTCTATTTTTCTCTTTGACCACTAAAGATTTTTACTTTATATATCTAAACTAATCATCTGCCTTTTTCTTTTCGAAGTGGGTATTTGTTTGCTGTGTTCACTTCTTTGTCCCATATATAGATCATCATTCGTTTGCTTGTTTACGTTCTAGCACTTCCCATTGCACGCATTTATGCTTATCATATTAGTTTAAGCCACCCTTATAATAGATCATCAATCTATGAACTTTTCTTGACCATCAAATCGTGTAACTATGATAACAATTCACTGACCTTGTATGATTTTGTTTAAGCCATACTGAACTGTTTATCATTCAAATCTAATTTCTGTTAATATTTTTGTTAGTTTTTAACAGTATTATCTAGTAATGATTTAATAATAAGCTCAATTTGTGTAATATTGGAAGGTTTCATTTTTCAAGGATTGTTTTCCAATATTTTGAGCATTCGATGATGTTACACAACATACTTATACGTGAATATCTAAACAAAACAGGAAAAAAAAATCCTTAAGATGACCTATAACAAAATAAATAAAATATTTTTTTTCATAATTTCTTTTACAAAAACGTGCAAACTTTTCGTGGCTCGTGACTTATTTGTGGGTTCTGGATAAATTTTGGGAATGAGGTGGAAGAAGAAAGAAAGTGAAAGAAAAGTTAAAAAAAGTGTGTGGGACTGAAAATACTTGGACACGAGAATTACAGCAAAAAGAGATGGAATCGACGAGGGTCGACTGGGTCAAACTGAAACCTAACTGTTCCCCTTGATCCGAATCTAGCTATTCTATTTATACGTGTCTAAGAGGTCCTCGCAGTGAGCTCTAACAACTCAGTCAATTTTTTACAATATAGTTTTCATAATTTTTAATTTTAATAATATTTAATTACATATTATCAAATTAATAAATATTTTGAACCACTACTCAGAAAAACAACTGGGTCGTTGTGCGCAAATCTCTGTCATAAATATATATGCTCCATTCTGAAATATCTCATAATTTACGCGCGAACTAGTCGAATCTATAATAGTATTAGACTTGGTTACTTGGTCATCGTTCATGATTACAGCGTTAGTTTCAACGGTCTTGTTGTAACTCGTTCGGATAGAAATCACCAGAATATTCAAGAAATTTACGAATTTGTTCTGGTCAAAGTTACAGTAAATTAAATATTTGATAAGAAAAATAAACTTTGATGTCAAAACATTTATAACTTTTCCAGAATTCTCGCATTTTGGTTTGCTAAAAAATGAAGAGGTACGCGCTTTGAGTGGTGCACGAAAGACTTTGCATTAAAGAACTGAATATAAAATTAAAACTTATATGACCTTGTGTGAATGTAAACTATAAATAAAGTGGATTTCTTACATTTTGAGCTGTTCCTATAATGTTTCATAATGAAACGAGGTTGAAGTCGTTTATACCTAATAATATATGTTATATCAATTTATCAATTCATGTCAAATGTGGGGTACGCGGCTTATTATTCCAAGATTTCTTTTTTCAGTGGTGCTATATTTCTGGGAACTTTTTTACGAAATCAATCAGAAATTCAAGTTACTTTTACATTTTTTTCTTTTTGTAATTTATAGCACCAGAAATCATGAAAAAATGAAATTGTTTGACTAACATCGCGGCAACTCATTCGTAGGCAGTTTCGTAGAAACAGTTCCATGAGAATTGATATTTATTTCCTTTTTCTAAGCATTTTGATACCTTTTTTTAAAAAAAATACACAATAATTATAGACGTGCAAACTGCAATCCCAGCACCAGTCAGAACTCAAAACAGACAAGAGTTACTATCATTAATCTCATCCCCATTTTCAAACAAAAATGACGTATCTACACTTAAAAAACGGAGTGTATAAAGAAAAAAATAATATTTTTTCAGAAATTTAATAAATAATGCTATAAAAATAAAAGAAGAGTTAAAAGAGAAAACGAATAATCACAAACATTTTCAAACCTATACAGCCCTAAGTATATGAGTTTAATTTTCATATATTATTAATATAAATATGTTTATGCTGTTAATTTAAAAATTATGAATATCATTTTTAAAATAATTTTGTAAAAGTATAACAAGTATTTTATTATCAAGTACTTAAATACAATTCTAAAGACTAAAATTGTACACATTCATAAAATGGTAAACATTATTGTTGTATTCTAATTAAATTTTAAGAATGTAGAAAGAGAGGGAGAAATAAAAGTGATGATATTGTGTATAGTATTTATTTATGGGCATTAAAAAAGCAAATCCAATGTTACAATATTCAAACACTTCTGAACTTCACTTTTGGTCTTGTTCAGAAGGCTCAACTCCCCTCTTTTATTGCCGAGTCCAATTACATCGTTTACTATGACTTATTTCTCTCTCTCTCTTTCTCTCTCTCTCTCTCTTTCATTCCATTGAAATTGATGGGCAGAGGGTGTGGACTCTCCATTGATTCAGATCCAATTGGGAGCTTCATCCTTCACAGCCCAACAGTTCTCAACTCTTTTCCTGAAGACAACAACAACAACAAGTGGAAAGCTGGTCCCAACAACAACATGGATGGCACAGTTAGCAGAAAGAGGTCTCCATCATCCACTCCCAACACCACCATCCCCTTCCAAGTCAACCTTAGCTCTCCTCCACCCTCTCATGACATTGATGAAATGGACTTCTTCTCTCCCAACACCAACAAACACCACACCCTTCCCTCTTCATCCACCTCTGCACCTCCTTCACTTCACCACCTTCACCACCATCATCATCATGACCCCACTTCTTCTATCTTGGAATTGAAAGTAAACGTGAGTGCTAGTGTTACAATACCCTTTATCCTACAGACATGTTTCTTTCATTCCTTTCATTCATTAATCATTATTACTATCACACATGTGTGTATGTATGTATGTATTTTATATGTTATGCATGATCTTGATGTGCTTATCAATCTTTAATTCTTTTATTAGACTGGTCTGAATCTTCTTACCACCAACACTAGCAGTGATCAATCCATGGTGGACGATGATATGTCACCTAATTCAGAAGGTAAAAGAGCTAAGAGTGAGGTAAATAACATTCATTACATGTAACGCCAAATTCAGTTCTTTCTTTTCTTTTTGTTTCTCTTATAATTTCTTTGTGTATTCTTGGGCTATGTTTTTTTTTTATCTCTGGCATCTGATTTTTCAGGTGGGTAGTCTGAGAGCTGAGATTGAGCGAATGAGAGTGGAGAATCAACAGCTGAGGAACATGCTTGATCAGATTGAGGCCAATTACAATTCCCTTCGGATGCAACTGATGAGTCTGATGCAAGAGCAGAAGGGGCAAGAACGGGGTGAAGAACAAGAAGACCAAATGTTAGAAGAGAAGAAACAAACTGGGAATGGTGGAGGCTTGGTACCAAGGCAATTTATGGATCTTGGGTTGGCTACTAATGCTGACACTGATGAACCCTCGCTCTCTTCTTCTGTGGGAAGAAGTCACGACCGGTCAAAGTCACCGGCAAAGAACGTAGAGGTTGCATCCAAGGACTTTGGCCCAAGGAAGAATGGGAATGGTAGTGATGAAGGACTTGTGTTTGATCAAGACAAGAAGGAACTTGGTAGGGGAATTGAAAGAGAGGGTAGTCCCTCGGATCAAGCCTTGGCTGTTAACAATGTTCCTAAGTTCAGTCCTCCTAGAAATGTTGATCAAGCTGAGGCCACTATGAGGAAGGCAAGAGTTTCTGTTAGAGCTCGATCAGAAGCACCTATGGTATGTCCTAGAGTACTTCTTCAATTTGATGTGCCTTTATTTTATTTTATTTCACTTTATACAAAATTGCTTATTGTTTCAGATCACTGATGGGTGTCAATGGAGAAAGTATGGGCAGAAGATGGCCAAAGGAAACCCATGTCCTCGAGCATATTATAGATGTACCATGGCTGCAGGTTGCCCAGTGAGAAAACAGGTATGTCATGTCTATTCTCAAGCTCGCAAATTTAGTTGCATAACTCATATCTTTGTACTAAAAATTGTGATGAGTTTGAGCTTAATTTGAAAAGAGTGACAAATGTTAAGTATGCAATAAAATTGAATTATGGCTCATGTGAGGTATGTTAAAGTTAGCAGATGGTTTACACGTTGGTAAACATCTGAGGCATATATATGTATTAACAGGTGCAAAGGTGTGCTGAAGACCGAACAATACTTATTACAACATATGAAGGGAATCACAACCACCCTTTGCCTCCAGCAGCTATGGCAATGGCACAAACCACTTCCTCAGCTGCAAGAATGCTGCTTTCAGGATCAATGTCAAGTGCTGATGGACTACTGAACACAAACTTCCTCTCAAGGTCACTCTTTCCTTGCTCTTCTTCAAGCATGGCAACAATCTCAGCATCAGCTCCATTCCCAACTGTTACATTGGACTTGACTCAGTCTCCAAACCCATTACAGTTCGCAAAGCCACTCCAAATCCCCATCACTGGTGTCCCTCAGAACTATGCCAATTCACCAGGCTCATTACTGCCTCATATATTTGGTCACGTAATGTGTAATCAATCAAAGTTTTCTGGCCTTCAAATGTCTCATGATGCGGACCCTTCCCAATTGGGTAATCACTCTCAACTATCAACACCACAACTTGCTGACACAGTCGGTGCCTTTGCAGCTGATCCTAACCTCACTGCAGCTTTGGCTGCAGCTATCACTTCCGTTATTGGGGTTGCACAGCCAAACAACAGTACCAGTACTAATAATAATGCCAACACAACTACCAACACCACCAATGCCAATATTACGTCAAGCAACAATAATAGCAATGGAAAGCAATAAAATTCCAATTTCACATGGAACTAGTTAATAGTTATAGTTCAGATATTACTCTTTCATATTTTTTCCCCCTTCAATATTTCTAGATTAATTTGATTTTTTTTTCCACGTTAATTGGGCTCAAAGTTTAAATTGAGCTGATTACGTCTTTATTTTTATTTACATTTGTTGGAGTCATCAGGATATTATTACAGACATTTAGTTGATATTCTTTGTTATGTGTAAGTGATACGCTCAAAGTTGTATGCCCAAACAAAGCAAATCTCAATGGATTGAAAATAATTTTTTTTATATATAAGAAAGCAGATTAGCTCCCCAATTTATTTTTTCTGTACGGATAGGGAAAATGAAAAGGTTGTTTTCTCTTGTGTCTTTTAATGATGATGTTGATGTCCTTCGTTTCTTTTTTGATGGTTATGAAAGAAGCTAAATCCTGAAGGGAAAAGAACAAGCAAGAGGATAAAAGAAGAGAGATAGGAGTTGTTTTGTGTACCAAATGGCAGAAGCTAGGAGGGAAGGAAAAAGAAGTCAAGAAAACCGTCTGAGAGTGGTTGAAAGAGGATGTCATTCCTTGGACACGTAAAGAAGAAATTAAGATTATAAGAGACAGGGAGACATTTTCAAGTTGTCTTTTGCCATTTATAACCCACATGGCAGGTAGCTTATTAGACCAAATGGATATGATCTCTATCTCCATTTTACTTTCTTTATTCAATGCTTATTTTAGTGGAAATAAAATAATGGAGAAAAAAGTTTCAAAATTGCAATTCAAAAAAAAGAGAGGAAAATTTAAGCTTTTAATTATTTTTCTTCAATTGAATATAAAAAGTATGTCATTATATGTATTTTTTTTTATTTATTCTTTTTCAGTTCTAAACAAAGCATCAGTCTTTGTTTGGATTAGTAGAATAGAGTAACATTACATTCAATTGTTTGAATTATTTGAAATAAAATAAAATTTGACGAAATAGGTTTTTGTTATTTTTTATTGAATTTTAAAGTTTGAGATGAAATTGATTGTTTATTTAGTTTGTCAAAAAAAATATTTAAACAATAAAATTTTAATTTTAATTTTTTTATTTCATTATACTTCATTTTATCTTATTTAATTCCATTCACTATTTCTACTGCAAAAAATTTTCCATTGAAATATTAGGTCAGTTTGAGAAAACATTATTTGTTTTTATTTCCTTTTTTTACTAGTAATTATAAATATGTACCCTATTTTTTATTTACTTTTTATTTTAAAAAATTTGTATAACAGAAAAAAAATAATGTTTTAATAATGTTTCGATCAAATGTTTAAAATAAAAAATAGATTATAAACACGATAGTCTTTTTGTAATTATTTATTAAAACAAAAGAATAAATTATACTTTTCTTAATTTCTTGAAAGTTGCTTAATTGTATCGCTCTTTTTTATTTTAAAAATTTCACTCTCTTTCCCTTTAAGACTAATTTTAACATGAAAGAGTCTAATATTGATGGTCAACAATTATAAATGAATCCCCTGCTTATATTTTTATTTTATCATCAATTTCTAAAGTCAGAAAAAACTAATTTTGAACTTCAATATTATCGATTTTCAGATTTTAGTAGATGATATAACGTTTTGAATACTCATTATCAGTTTTAAAACTTCAATCAATCTTTATATTATATTTTAAGTCTCAAAATCAATAATAAAAATTAAAACTAATTGTCGATCATACTACGAGTCGTAACAAAATAAATGATACTAAAATATTCTTTTTATAAACATAAATTAAATTATAGCAAATAAATCTTAAGGAAAGTGAGTCTAATTTTTAAAATAAAAAATTATGTAATTTAAACACAGAACAAGAAAAGTTAGGAATGTAATTTATTCAATATAAAATAGAAACATGATACTTCCTCAATCTAAACATAATAATAATTCATCAATAAAGTCAGGTACAGATAGTAGATAATTGAATTTTTTAAACATATAAATAGAGTTTAATTCTTTATCATATATTCATATATATATATATATATATATATATATATATATATATATATATATATAGGACTTTATTTAAAAAGCTATGTTTATTATGCACATCAAAAGAAACTAAACACAATTCGTTTTATTGGTGGCGAAATTCTTTTTATTTTTTCTTTTAAAATCAGAAAATGAAGCAAAAATCGTACAGTAATCTTTAATCGGTCCTTACCTAGAAAGATAAACAAATGTCAGCTTAATTCTTATCATCAAACCTTATGTTGGCGGCGAATGCATGCGAATATGAGACACACTGATTCCACAAAATCTTTCGATGACTTGTCTAGTTGTGCAAGTATAATCAGTACTCTTCAGGTTTCGCCAGTGACAGTAACTTCAAAATTTCATGAATTGTTTTTCCCATAATAGAACACAATTCGTCGAAGGATTTTTAGTTTGAGAAATTAGATGTATGTACCTTATTTTTATACAATAATTTGTACCAAAGGTATATATATATATATATATATACTTGATTTCAATGCGTTGTTGTAACAAAGGCCGAACCTAATAGACAAACTGAACAGTAGTAAAGGAAAAGGGTGCCTGAATTTCATGCATATAGGTAGCTTTTTGAGTCCAATTTGTAACTGGTATGTTAGCACTTGTGAGGGAAAGTTTTGATGGGTTGGTAGTGAATTGTGGGCTTCATCATTTTATTGTTGCATGCCTTCGCTGCCAATTTGAAAGCTGAAGCAAGTAATAGGTTATGATTCTTGAATAGTCAGGCTAATTGACTATTCCCGTGCTTCTGACTCGTATGTTACTCAGCAAGAAAAGTAGGAATCATATTGCTCTTCAAAATTTTGAGTAATTATGAACAAAGATTATAATTCTCTGCTGCACGAGCCCTCCATGATCGTCCAATAAAATGATTTTTCACGCTAACTGCATGAAAATTTGTTTTTTGTTTGATCAAATAATGAATTGATCCATTGGGTGTGTGTGAACTTGGAATTGGATTATATTGATGCTATTACCCTTCCATGATAGCATTTGCATGTTCTAAATTTTCTAATCCCGTTTCCTTACATGGTAAATGCATTTTAGACATTTTATATTCGCATTTATAGATCAGATTATTCTAAGTATTGACTTTTGTGGAGCACCAAACACTTTGGTGCTTAGATTCTTTTAATATTTGACTGACTTTTGTACAACAAAAATAATAGTACTTTAATTATAGATTACAATCTTAGTTTGTTCAAGTAAAAAATCATCTCACACTGGTGGCTATTTTGCTGATAAAAATACAAACAAAATTATGTAATAATAAATGTATAAAATAAGTAATTTGAGATGGTAACTTAAATACTTTTTATGTTAAAAGTTGAATTATTTTGTTAAATTCCCTTCAAATTTGAAACTTTTATAAATATATATATATAGTTTTTTGAAATGAATGTAATTTTACGATTTTAAGCTCTTTTTGATCTATTTTGTAGTTGGAATCACAAGAGAAACATCACTTAAGGTTGAAGAAGATTAGAAAAAGTTAGAAGAGGAATAATTGAAGCATGAAGTTGCAAAAAAATCAGCTTCTAGAGGTTTCTGGTTGTAGCGAGACACACTCGCTGCAGCGAGAAAAACTATTGTGAAAATGGTGATTATGTACTCTTCTCGCTACAGCGAGAATGACTCGCTATAACGAGATACTTTTGGATAGTTGTAGTGAGAATCCTAGCTGCAACGAAAAGCAAACATAATGACTTAATTTCTATTTTCGTTTCTCGCTACAGCGAGAGACTGTAGCTGTAGCGAGAAAAGTCTGACCAGACCAATATAAAAAGTAACATTTATGTTTTACTCCTTTTGTATCTCCATTTTTGTTCCAAAACGATTTTCAAAGGTCCAAAACGGCGCAAGGCAAAAAAAGAGAGTAGGAATACTTAATTTTTTTATGTTTTACTCCCTTTGTATCTCCATTTTTGTTGATATGGTTGTCATGAGTAACTAAATCTTATATGGGATTGAATGTAAATTTTCAAACCTAATGTATTCTCAGTAATCTATATAAATATAATTGTTTCTTCTTCATTTCTAATGATTTGGTGATCTCAATTCGTTTTAATGGTTGAATCTAGTTATTTGACGGTTTTTGGAGTTCAGATCTGAGTTGTGTTTGGAAAGATATTATTTAGATATAGATCTGATTGAGATTACTCAATAACTAGTTGTTCTAGGAATAGATTTCAAGTTATTGATTGCTTTTAAATTATGATTTTAATGTTATATAGTTTATTAATTATTTGAGAAATCAACATTTAAGAAATTATCTTAGAAATATATTTTCAAGGAATTGAAATGTATGACTTTCATGTTTTGCATCAAATTCATTGGAAGTGATTGCTATATTTATCATTGAATTACTAGTATATAGAGGGGAAGATAGATGAAATTCAATCTCAGCTTTTTAACTTAAATTTTACCATTTTTACTTTAGTGCTTTACATTTAGTTTGTTGTTTAATATTTCATGAAAATTATTCACTAATTCTATTATATATAAGTTCAATTAATTTGTATTCTATTAATTAATACATTTGAATTGCTCTTTAAGAACCATATTCTGATACTCTACCGGTTATTACTTGTAACAGACTCGGTATACTTACCGTGTTTGAAGGAAAAGATCCAACATACAACCAAAAAACAATTAAACAAATTGAATGCATTATCTTTAACAAAGAAAAAAAAACATTATGCGGTATATATTTGATTTCTTTTTAATAAAGTTTAACGTTCAAATTTTATAAATGAAAAAAAAAATTTGTTGAGGGAGTTAGTCCTAGTATAACGTAAATGTTCTCTTTTAGAAGACGACTGTAATAAAAATTTTAAAAAAAATGTTACATGCTTAATTTGGTTATAACAATTTAAAAAAGACCGTTAAAATAATTTACTTTTTCATATTGTAAATATTTTCTGTTCGATTGTTTTCAATAAAAAAAATATATTTTCAAACATATGCTGCATTTATTATTTCAATCCCTGACTACTGATTAATTTTTTTATCGGTACAATTGGGACATTAATTACTCAATATTGATGCATGAGTTTTAATTTAATTTAATTATGTTATGCAATAAGAAAAACATGTTAGCTAATAAATATTTTAAAGAAAGTTGTTAAGAAATTTTTAAAAACTAATTTAATATGTGAATTTTTAAAACTTGTCATGTTATTATTATGAAAAAAAATAAAGAAATTTGGGCACACTTGTTAATATTCACATATATTTTATAATCCTTCAGGTCCTTTCGAAAG